ACCAGACATAAACCACTCGTTTAACCAGTGACCTATAAACCACACTCAAGAGGTATCAGCTATTAAAGACGGCTTTTGATCACTCACTTATTTGAAAAAGCACACTTTAGTGGATTGTGTTGCAATTTCCAAATAAAGAGCAGTGTAGATTGTTATTTTCATTTCAGTCTTTAAGTCCTCCTTGTGATTTGCATTCCACTTTGAACGCCATACAATCAGCCAGAAGAGAGTAAATGACACAGTTCAGGTTCCTAATATGTCAACATTTATCTTTGGTATCGAGAAACCCAAATACCATTTTCTTTTTTAAAAAGCAATTTTCATATATTTCCTCACTCCAAGGGAAAAAAATCCCAATGATGGGATTTCAAACTCAGAAAATGTTGCTCCTGCACTGTGGCTTCTCGACAGGAGGAGGTAAACTGAGACAATCCCAGGGGTGCTCGTCACACTGGAGAAGTCTACATTTTTTAGAGCTGCTTCTCCAAGTCTGACTGAGCCTGTTAATCACACTACTGTGGCTCCGCAGCCAAGAACAGAATTTGAAGTACTGCGCAACAGCCTTTAATTACGTTTTGCTCAAAAACCTACAAACTACAGTGCGTTTGGTCTGAACAACGAGAAAAGAAAAAAAATCTGTATTTTTACACATAAAAGCATTTAAGGTCCTAACATTTCATGAGAGGCATCTGTGCAGAAACAGTTGAAAATACCAGAAGAGGTATTAAAAGGGAGATATTACATCTTCAGCAGTGGGTTTTTAAGTATTTTTTAAAGGGCTGTTCATCACAAAGGATGTTCGTAATGAATAAAGTTTTCCTGTAATTTAATATTGTAACACACTGCAGTTCTTACATATTGTAGAGTGAAGTCTGGTGGTTGGTAAAATATTGCCATTGCCATGATGCAGCAGCAACCAGAGAGATAATATTTTAGAAGGACTGGTGAAATGCCTAATTTCCATTCCTATAAAAATAAATAAAAGCCATTAATCCCTGTCTGGATATGTCCAATGTAAACTTAAACTGCTGAGCCTTAGGGTGTGTTTGAAACCCAGTGCAGTTGATTAAAACTGAGCAAGCGATCCTTAACCCATAAATAATAAAAAAAAAACATGATTTCACAGTATCTTAATTTTAGTAGCCCAGAAAAAACGTGAAACCCTTTACATAATATGCAGACAACATTTTAATACTATGCACATGGCTACTGGCACATCGTGACAACTACCTGATAACATTTTCAGAATGAAATGCCCAGTCCTGTGGGATTCCTTTATTTTTTAATTAAAACTAACAGAAAAATAAATGAAACTGTCAAATAAGGAAGGCACATCAAGTTTGAAGACAGCTACCAAATTCCAGTTGCGTAGTTTTTTTTTCTGGTAGCTTTGTTGCTCAGCCACCTGAAGGAAGTGCAGGATTGCTCTTATCCATGTTGCTATAAGCACAGACAGGCTCTTCTGCAAGTCCTTGCCTGTCTTCTCGTAAAAAGAAAACCTTCCCTGTTATTGGTTTTTTTTTTTTACTGAAACTTCAACCAAGTAAAATCTGAAAACAAAACAGGCAGATACACCTAAAGTTAATTCACATCTCATGCATGACGGATAGTTTTGTAAGGGAGAAAAAAAATACTTACGGCCTTTTAGTCAGCCAAATCTGAGGTGGGAACAATTACCTAAGCACCCAACTGAAGAAGCTAACCGTTTCAACAGTGGTACAGCACTTACTCCTCCATCAAAAACACCCATTTTGGTAGAACAATCACAATTTCATTAAGGGAAACACTTTGGCATAAAGATGTGCTTATGCCCGTTTTTTAAAACGCTCACACAGATCATATACACTGAAAACATAATGTTCTCCCCTAACAGCAGTATCAATACTGAAAGTTTCATAGTATTGGTTTTATACATGACCTACGTCCCACTAAAAACATGTACTACAAATATAAATAGTCAAAAATATTAGTAGAAGTCTAGAAATAATGGTCAGTTTCAGATTATACAGTAAGTATACCAACCTGAAGAGCTTGTGTTGGTGAACCAATTTGAAACCATGGACAGATTTTAAAATAAAAATGAAACAACCATAATGGGGGAAAAAAACAAACAAATGTTCTACAATCCAGAAGAAGAAAAATAAAACGCTGAATAAAACTGGTGCCGCAGTTTGCAACGTAACAATGACCAGTGCAGTCAGATACAAATCAGAAGGCTAACTCATTATTACTGACTTCATTTTAAATTATTTCAAATCTTATTTTCCGATCTCAAGTGAAAAACAAAGCCCAGACAATTCAAATAAGTCTTTAATTTTGAGCTAATGTTATATACAGCAGTTCCCTAAAGTCAGCACATTATGCCAAAGCCACTCACTAGTCCAGTCCATGCAGCAGATGACTGATCCATAAGTTTCCTCATTACCAAATGGAAATGCCAAGTTCCAAGTTTAAAAATCAGCTACAGAACCTTAATTATTCATTTCACAATAATTGGGACAAGTATAGCAAAGCAGTATTCGGTTTTGCCACTCCACTTGTCAGCAGAATAATGAAGCTTTCTGCTGGTCTTGTTAAATCTTACAGTATCTATTTCTCTCAAAACTGAGTCAATGGTATTGATTGAAGATCTGCTGAGGAGGGAGTGTTGTGTAATAAGGAATTTAACAAAAATAAAATGGGATTTTAAATTGCAGGGAACTGTAATATTTAGTGCATACATTTTAATTTATTTAATGCATATACTGCCATAACTAAGCTTGGCTTTTGTATTCATGTACACCTGTTTTTTTCTTTACAATGACCAAATCAGCTGTGCTCCTGTGTGTACATATCACTATGGAGTACTGCATGTTTGTGCAATTTTTCCATTAAAGGTCTACAAAGGTTTCCAAAATTATGTCAAATTTGATACTTCAGAATCTCAAGTAGAGTTATCACGTTCAAGGTTAAAAGGCCTGCTCCTCTTGGGATTAGTTCTACAAATCTCCTGCTTATTCATTTTCTCCATGCTTTACTTTCAGGACAGAGAATGAAACAGAAAATGGCAGAAAATGTGTACTTTTTTCAAAAACGTCTGACAAACCACTTGAACATAAGCGCAGTTACATTATTTAATGCCTGCATAGACACTGTTTTCCCCCCCAAATTAAAAACAGTTAAAGATCACAGTATGTACTGTATATCTGAGTCTGACTTCTCCCTGCTCTGACCATGCTGAAAACTAAGACTGCCAGATTCCATCCTCTTTGAGGAAAAAAAAACAAATCAGTCAGCCATATGTTTCTGCACCTCCAACAATTAAAATTTTCTAATTACTTAGTTTCTGTGACAGCACATTTCCCCGCTGGCTTGCTTTAACCTAAAATTCTGCATCTCAGCTACGTGACATCTGCTTAGATATCAGAACGTTCTGGCTTTGTATAAAAAATTAATTTACAAAAGACAGCAGGAATGACATTGTTATGGAGGTGCTGTAACATATTAATAACTTAATTTGCTCTGCATGGCTCTCATCTCTTATACACCCACGACTCATTAAAAAAAAAGAAGACTTCAGTTCAGCACAGGATATTGACTATTATGGTACACAGTAGACATACTGGCACAGACTCCTCTGACATCCAAGCCATTATAAAATGAAACTGCACTCTAGCACCTTTAAATTTAGAAAATAAAATCCTTATGCTGATACATGCATCACAAAAGTAACTGTATTTAAAATAACACCCTACCATGACCTCCTGGCTAAAAACAAAGTCGAAATCCCCAGAACCTCTAGGGTCTTTAGATCAGATTTAAACCTAAGCACATTCAATTTACTTGAGTGCATCCAACAGAATTCACCCCAATATGACTAACCAATGCAGTACAGCAGAGCCTAAGCAGGGTTAGTAAGCATCTGGATTGGAAGGTTGCCTGAGTCCAATCTCAATCTAAAGAAAGGCTTACCCTCAACAGAAAAGTGAACATCTCTTCTTGGCATCGCAATGGACAAAAAATACACAAGACTTGGCGTAAACTTCCATCACACTCCCTAAGCGTATTATCCCAATAAGGAACGCTTGACAAAAAACAACTTTACTGCATGCTCTACAAAAATACCTGAGCCAGCCTTCTAAGGGAGTCAAAAAGAAATTACAAAAAATAATGCTATTATCATTAACGAAGAGATAAACAAGAATCATATTAGCTCGGTCCCTGTTACATACATAAATACAACCTATAGAAACAGCTGAGTCAGACTGGGAATTTTTGTTTATCTACTTAGCTCAATTCCTGTTATTTACTGTATATTTCTTTTATACTCCCAAACAAAACAAAAAAACGGCAAAACAAAACTGAGTATGTTGCCTACACAAAGCAAGACAATATAATCACCCCCCCCCCTCTCAAATGTAATGTGTCTCTATGCCAGAACTGCACCAGGGCTCTACACAGGTAAGCACACCTTAGCCAGTTACATCAGCATCTACAGGGGTGTGGGAAATGTTCCAAAATCCACTCCCCCTATGCATTGTTTTCTGATAGCAGAAAACATATTGCTATACCAAGATATTGACAAAGACCTGTAAATCTGAAAGAACAGTCACATCCCTACTGGTCTATTTGAGAGATGTTTTAATAAATAATGTATACTATTTCTGGAAAAAAGTAAAGCCTCCTGGGCATCTGCTACAGAAAAAGACTTGCTCTGAAAGTGGAATCACTGACCTTCTATATAGGAGCTATATGATGATAATAAAAACAAGCAAAAGGTATTTCAAACTCATACCTAGCACACAGGTAGGCTTAAGATGAAAAACTGTGAATGCTAGGCTTGTCATTAAAACAGTATTATTAATACAGTATAAGACAAAAATACATTTTGGTATACTACTTCAAGGAATCTGATGTAATGTTCATTACTCATATATGACCAAGTGTCTGAGAACTTTCAAACGATCTCAGGAGATGTGCCCTGCAGAACAGTGTTAATACGGCTGTAAATCTCACCTGACCTTTTAAATATTTTAGAAGCTGTCTTCGTGGACAAGGTCCTCCAGCTACAAAAACTTTGTAACCACATCACCACCAGTGAATTCATGACAGCCTCATTTTGTTTTTATGGCTGCGACTATGCCTCTGAAAAGGTTAGAGTAACATGCACCATAAAAAAAAAACATGGAGACATCTGTTAACTGCAAATTATCTAAAACAACATTCAGACGGCAAAAAAAACATAACACTTTGGACAGGACTTAATGAGGTACAACACCGTTCTTATAAGTATTATTCTGCTTCTATCATATGCAGATGCAGTAGTCTTCAAATGCATCTTAGTAATTTATCTTAGAAACCAAAAATAAAAACGACCTTTTAGAAAACATGAAAATTGCAAGCTTACCGTCATCAAGTCTAAAGATCGATCCTCAGCCAACAAACACACCATCAGTAACCCACTCAATGAGCAAAGCATCGGGTGTCCCCTGCACAACAATGTGAGAGCGGACCCAGTTCAAACCGTGCAGATAGATACCCGCTTGATTTACGGCATGAAGCTCTCCTAATCTCTTGCTTGTACCCTGCATGTCAAGCAACCCTTATCTGAGAGTTTGTAATGAGTTACTGTCATGTATCACATTTTGAACAGATATGCACAAATCCTGCCCCTGCCTCTAACGTCTTTTAATGGATCATAATCACAACTACTTTCAACACGGATAAGACGAAAAGCAACACGGTGCACTGCACGTGTAACTTGTAAGTTTTAAAATGTCCGGAAATACTTATTAACTGTTAAATACTTACAGTTACAAACTTCTTGTAATATAATGTACGCTGTTTTTTGTATGTAGGATGCCTATTACTATGTAGGAAAGAAACCAGAATCGGCGTTCATTACAGGCTACTTTGCAGTTCCTCAACACGAAAGTGCAACTAGCAAGAGTGAAAGCTAGTTTTATCGACCTACATTCGACTGCAAACAAAACACGTTGCACCCCACTACGCAAAACTATAGTCATGTTAAAGACGCGATTATGCTACTGTAAAATACTCAATGTTTTCAAAGAAAGAGGCGTTCCCTCTCTTTTAGTGAGGGGGAGGGGAAAATGTTGAATGTGTCTTGAAAAACATGGTGAACTTCTGTTAGCTTACCCATCTTTTATATAACAATCCCAAACTAATCGTGCCCCAGTCTACGACAGCGTGTATCCATTTTTTTTTAACTGTGCCCTCAGTTGAGTCACTTGAAAACCGACAGAAGTCCAAAGACCCGCCTGTGCTTCGCATTTCTTCTCAGTTCTACAAAGTAAGCATGCCATTTAAAATTCTCACACCGCACATTCAAACCACAGCAGGCAGTTACAGTTGTATGCCAAGAATCCGTATGGTGCAAGGCTCTAGTTGTCCCTGACCCGTTTTCTCCATCGACTTCTGCGGGAACAGCCCTTAATGTACCCCATATGTGGGGCAACCCAAATCAGGGGAGAACCTCCACTCTAATTCCAGGCTTCCGTTTCTCTCCAGGAGTCTGTCAGGCCGAGCGGTTTCTTCTCCTCGTTCACACACTGGCCGAGCCCGGGGTGACTCGTCACACCAGCACCGAGTCACGCATACATACCGAGAGACAAGAGTGGCTTAAGAACAAAAACATTCGTACTTATTACAAGATAAGTGTAGTACTTACCCCTTAGCACCAGCTATGTCTAAAGCGGTAAAAAAAGAAGAAGAAACGCTTCGTTCTAGCTACGCTCGACCCGCAAGCTCCGCCGTCTGGGGGTTGGGGTGCCTGCAGATTTTTCACAGAGGCGGACGGGGCTCGCCGCTAGGTCCCGGTTTTGTGTTGCTGGCTGGTCTGGTGGGAGAAATGTGAGAAGGTCTCTTTTTATTTCTGCAGCACACAGCGAGAAAGAAACGCTCAACGGTCGCTAGAGGGCATCGGCGCAGCCAAGTTAACCATCTGTGTGCTGCGAATGAGAAAGGGAGGAGTGTTTTTTTTTTTATTATTTCTGTTTCTTCTTCGGATTGCCCCCTGCTCGATGTGTGCGTTATCGAAGCGCTTAAATCAGCTTTGCAACAGGCATGTCATACAGCAGAAACCGATAAAGACTGTGTGGTGATGTTGAGGGGGGTGTAGATTTACTGTCGTCCCAGAGAGCGTGTTTTTTTTTTCATTTGCCCTGTACCTATTACCCGCATCTGTTATAAATATTATATTTTAGCACTAGTGTTAGAGCAAAACGTATATGGTGCCCCCGACGAAAAAGAATAAAAAACGCGTAAGCCTTTCTTTCTTATAAGTTTACACAGATCCATGTGTTTTAAATTAGATCGCCTGAATGTATGCTGTGCTCCACTTCCAAATCCATACATCATCGTTCTTTTCCGAGGGTTTGGCTGCTGGAGTTTCCACTCGGAATGTCTGGAAAACGACCACATTTTTCAAAGCAAATGGGAGCAAAGCATGAAATGACATAGTTTATGAAAAAAAACGGTTAAGATTACTTCTAGGTTTACAACAGTTTTATTAGGATGCATTCAAGGACTGAACTGATACAGCTATTGTGAGAGGGCAAGGTCTTTACCTATATAGAACATTTCATTTTACAAGATAATTTCAGGTTTTTGTTTTTGCTATTTCAAGACTGCTTAACAGATGGCAGGGAGTAGAGTTTAGGATGCTGGACTCATATCCAGAAGACTGGAGGTTGATCCCCAGTGTTGGGAAGTTCTTGTCCTCTCAAATAAGGTATATCGCTTAGAGATTCTTGTGTAGTACATGCTGAGGTAGATCACTTTAGGATAAAAGCCTCAGCCAAATAAAATAATAATTGCGTGGTCGCCAGTGGAAGATTTTCACCCAGTTTAAGTGTGACAAGGAATTAAATATAGTGACTCTTATATGAAGTCGTGTTTTTTTTATTTTCTTCTGCAGTTATGTTCAATACCTGGTAAATGTATTTCTTAGATGTTTATTCAGGATTCTACATTTGTATGCCTAATTGTTTTGAGCATACCTAAACCACTGAAAACATCTGAATTGAAAATCACTGTATGCAAAATTATTACAATAGCTTTAACAAACATCACATGAAAAAGCTAGGTAAAGGGACGCTCAAAAGAATTCTGTGTAAACATTGCTTATAATGAAAGAGAAACAGATCATGTCAGTGCACTCACACAGATGTGAGTTGAAGCACTGGAACTCATTTTCACTCTCAAGAGTTGAGCCCGCAGATTAAAAGTCAATTTTGTAGGCTTAGGTCTCTGATTTGTGACCCGTTTAAGAATGCATTCTGACACTACTGGGTCAGGACACTGACATCATACTCCAAGCCTCAAGGATTTTACCCCCTCACATAATTTGCAAACCCTTTATGCATTAATTTTGCATGCAACCAATCTGGTACCCAGCCTGCTCTCCTATGGTTGTGAGCTACACGTTGCCCTACTTCGCAATAATGGCACTTATTACTGATTTGCTTTTGTCAGATCACGTAAGTGTTAAACTAGCAGTGGAGAAGTCAAACAATGTATGCCCCCCAAGACTAATGAGAGCTTCTCGTTTCTGTTACAAAGTGTGTGAAGGAACAGAGCCTGACCTAGATAGCACTGTAACCCCGTGGTCCAATTAATCATCTAGTTCACCAGTCCAAGAGAAAAATCCATTTGTAGACAGCATTACAAAGAACTGCCAAAGGTCTATAGTTTCCTTATCTACACAGCCTTCTGGGTTCGGGTAAAACTTTTTCATATGGGAACGGAGCATTAGTCTTTAATTGGACTTCACCACCAGAAAGTCAGTGTTATTACCCTTTAGCTTAGATCCAGAAATATTAAAAGCAACTTTTTAATTAGGAGCCATATTTATTTGAGCCCCTGCTGTTGCATCTCTGCTTTTTTTGTTCCCCATGTTCAATGGCTGATATGTTTTTGTAGTTCTATTTTGTAATCCATTATGATACCGATGCTTTCAGGATTTAGGTACTTATTTTTTTCCGAAGACAATGGCTTTGTTTTATTTCAGACCATACGTTTGTAGCGAATGCAAATAGCAAAGAAATTGACTTGGTTAATATGCAGTTTGACCTTTGACTTAAAAATGCTAGATTATTATCAGGAAAGAATCTTGTAATTTTCTTTGCAGGGAGCAAAGAACTGCAGTTTCTTTGCAGCTTTAAAATATAAAATCAAAATGTTTTGTGCCCCTTTTTTGAAAATGAATCCTATTAAATTCTATTTTATTTTCTCCTACTGTAGGTGCTGTTCATGGAAAAAAAGCTAAATATAAATATCATCCTCTCCTCAAACACATTTTCTAATTGCCTTATAAATCAATAGTTGTAAACCACATATGTGTTTAAGGACAATACCAAAGAGAGGTTCACGAATTGTTTTTTGCTTATCAGCTAGAAAAGTGTGTGGTAAATGCTATATTCTGTCCTGCTTTTGAATGTCAAAGAAGTTGTTTAGTACCACATGCATCACATAACCTCAAATAACATTTTTCTGAGCTAGTAGATAGGATGAGTCATTTTTATTGGCAAGCGTCTTTTATGAAAAGCTTTTACTGAGCTCAAAAAAAACTTTTACAATTATCTAATAAGATATGCCTCATGAGAACATGGTTCACAGCACAATAGGTTTTAACTGTATTATTGGCATTATAGCTATTCTGTAACAGCTCCTTTTATATGGACTGACTGATTAACATTATGTATGGATTTCTTGGATTGATCACCAGACCTTTACAGCCATTAAGGATCCTGAAATAATTTCAAAATAGAAGCCTGCAAACGAAGAATAATATTCCTCACTCTTTGAAGAGGTGATCTTGAGGAGGTTATGATTTCAAATGATGGGTTTGTAGTCATGGATGTACTGAAAGGAAGTGAATAAGAACATTATTAGACAATAGAATGTACATCACCCAGTATATTCAACCCATTTTTTTCACTTTCCAGACCTGTCTTAGGGAAAAAGCCCCCCGATTCTCTTCTTCTTCTTCTTCTTCTTCTTCTTCTTCTGAATCATGCTAAGCCCTCATCACCAGATTTTGTCAAAAAAGCTTTGCTCCATCGTTACAGGTACCATTTCATTTTCACCTGAACTTTTTAAACTTTTTTTTTTCATTTTGAATTTGCAGTTTAACACCTTCCTGGCCCAAATGCCCCGGACAGGGACTCACGTTGCCCACTCATAAGCCTACACCTCTTCATGTGACAATGTCACTCTTCGTGTTCTTGGTTAATTTAAAAGAAGCAATGTTTTTGAAGTAAGGCAATGAAACCTTCACTAAGGGTGCAGACATAATCATTTATGATTCTGTTACCAATGTAATTTAGTGTCGGGGTATTGCAGCAGAATAGTCAGGAGAATAGGCAGCCACTATGAGCATAGACACAAGGACGTTCTTCTCCAGTTTATTATGGGGCCTAATGATATTTATAAATCATTTCTCAAAACAAGATATCTACAGATGAAAGCTTTTTTATTCAACATCCAATCTTGTACTGAAAATTTAAAAAGGTTTATTAGTTCAATGATGGCACTAGAGGAAGGCAATGAAGACATTACTGAAGTATACCTGTGGACATTCCATTGTCTTACACTCTTTAAATTATAATATACAAATATGCAATGGAAACACTTGAGGGAAATGACTCCTGGAGTCCAGGGATAGACTTGATCATTACGAGTATGACAAATCATCATTTCAGCCTAAAAGGGATATTAGTAATTTGATTTAGGTGTTTGACGTTCCAAAGGGATTTAAATAAGCCATTCATTCAGTCGTTTCCTGAAAATCACTGTAGAAAAAGAGATCCTGCATTATTTGAAAACTAAAAAAATGTACAACTGGGAAAAGGATGTCCTTTTTCTGTTATGTAGTAAGTGTTACAATGATATCTTGGAAGCGTCACGGCCTTACTCTGACTAAGGCCATGCATTTGCATTTTATGTTCCTTACCGCCTAGCCTTTTAAGTTGAAGTAAGTTGTGGAATTTATATTTTTGCATGGTGACTTTTGGTGAACAAAAGTAGGAGGATCACAAGTGTATCATTTATATATGTTAAAGTTTTGAGAAAAACACTATTTTGATTGCAACTTTGGCGTTTTAAAGTGTAGACACTTTTTAATCAGTTCCAATCAGTTCACTTACAGACACTTCATCTTTCATTGCAATAGAAGAAAGTTTCTTTCACACCATATTTAAAATTGGTCAGTCTGAATCACTGAGAAAGACGGGTTTGTACTACTAAAAAATGGGTTACCACTGTATAAAGGATTACCACTAAGTAGGCAAAGAGTGATATGATCATATACTTTCCTCTGACATTAATTGTCATAGGGCCTAACTGGAGTGAAGTGACTATCATAAATGAAAACATCTGCCACAGAGCAAACTTGTGTCAGCCAAATGCTGGTGATAGACTGAGAAAGAACCTAATTGGACAAGCATGTAAACCACAACAGATGGTGGAGATTCTCCCACATGATCTTGCCTTGTGGCAGGCATGGCAAACAAAGTACAATTCACTTTAATATCTAAGTGTAGTCCAACGCTGTTAGGTAGGGCTCTTGATAAACTGTCTAATCACTGTAATGGATGTTTGTCTTCAGCATCCAGCAAAGTGATTAAAAAAAAGATTAGTGTGACCCGTGATTCAATATAAATAATATAATATATATATAATAATCCTTATACCTACAGTATATAGCACTTTTTCTGGACACTCCAGTCAAACTACCTTAACAGGTAATGGGGACTTCCCTCCTGTACCACCAATGTGTAGCTCCCACCTGGATAATGCAACAGCAGCCAAAGTGTACCAGTATGCTCACCACACATCAGCTTTCAGTGGGGAGGAGAGCGTATTGAAACCAATCCATAGATTGAGATTATTAGGAGGCCATGATTGGTAACACCCCTACTCTTTTTTCGAGAAATGCCCTGGGATGAGTGTTGGGAGTCAGGACCTCTGTTTTACATGAGTGCTCTCCTTACTGGTCCCACTAACACCTCTTCCAGCTTTCTCAAGAGGTCTTCCATGCAGGTACTAGCCAGGTTTAGTTTCAGTGGGTTGCTAGTTGTGAGTAGCAGGAAGATATAGCTGCTGACTCAGGAGAATATAGCAAAAGATAACTAGCCCTTGTCTAACACAAAAGACAAGATTACTGCAATATCTGTAGAGTTGCTAATTAGCTAAATACATTGTGTTTCCAATTAGTACCCACTTCCATAAGCGGTTTATTAGGTACACATTCACTTATTCATAAGTTGTGTTTTCTTTGTTGCCAAATAGCTGTCTCAAGTGGCAAAAGATGATACAATCCTGGTTTACTACGCATGAAAAAATCTTCGTGCTTCAGCAAGTTTAGAGATATGAGACTTTTCAAATGAAAAACATTTATGTAGCATAAAAGCATTTTATCTTCAAATCTTAATTCATTTCTTTCCAGGTTATGTGGTTGTGCAATGTAAAGCTTTCTACTATTATTTTAGGCAAAATGTTTTTAGAGTATTTTGTCGAGATTTCACATTCAAGGAAGTCACCCGAGCTTTCATTTGAGCTGTATTAAATAAAATAATCTCTCTGCATTTTTGTCAGTAAATGTATTTCTTTTTAATACATGAAAGATGATTGGAATGATAAAAAAAGAGCAGCACATTCTTTTACCTAATGTTACTTTAAAAAAGAAGACTTGTAATTACTTTTCAAAGATATTAGACCCATTTCCAAATTCTGAACATTCACATTAATGACACTATGACCATAAAAATATTTTTTTTTTATTGAAATATGAAAGCAAGCCACTATGTATAGTATTTTAATATTTTGTCCCCTAAAAGAATCTTGTTTTTGGGACCTGTATACAGTATCTGTGAGATAAATATGAATTCTTGGCAAAATAATTTCTGTAGACAATTAATAGACGTGCATTTTATAGGGTACTTTCTTCCATGTAAACAAAGCACATATCAGCTATGGCTCTGAAATAATGTTTAAAAGTGAATTGCAAATTCAGTATCTTTTTGTTGACGTTTCTAGTAATATTTAGATTCATTGTGGAAATATTGTTTTTTATGCTTCTCAGTGTTTCCCAGTGGAAAGCAAACAATTTCTCTAATATGTCTAGTAATACAACATCCCGCTTGAAATCTGTATAATGCAAACAAAGCAGATAAATCTTTCTACCAGTGTACTCAGATATATACATAATAAAAATCAATATCAAGAGAATTAAAAACTATTATTTAAAGGTATCTAACAAATTCTGTGACTAGATATTAAGTATTTCTACTTTAAAATCTGAAATGCATATTTAAAATAATAATACATTATGTTTCTCTGGTGCTATGCTACACTTTTAAAAGCTAAAAACACCTCCTAAAAGTTATAATTCAAAGACGTGTACAATCCCAAGAGCTCTCAAAAACCACTTTTACAAAACAAATTGTTACAAGTTATAATGTTATAATTAAGATGCTTGTTGATGTTATAACAGCTTTGAAAGGCATTTATTTTAATGGAATGACATTGTAATACTGTAAATATAACAATGTCTTGTACAAAACATCTTTGTAAATTCAACCTAAATGTTCAATCAAAATTCATAGTACTGGCAATATATTTCTTTGTGGAATAACTGCCAAAGTTTAATTTCTGAATATCTCTGTTTAGGAGCCTGGCAGGGTCACAGGTTTATGAGTCTTGCTATTCAAGCTTTCTCCAGACATTATTTCCTATTTCTAGGTTACCAAACCCTGGAGTAATGAGACATCACATAGCAGTAACCTTCTGTAGTTTTATGAGATCATAGTATGCAGTATATTACAGACACTTCAGAGTCTGTAGTGGGAAATGATATAAAAAAATACATAAGTAAAAAGGGTACTGTTCTTTGAGTCTCTCTACTGGGAAAAGATTATTTTTCATTGCACAGAACTGGCTGTATTTCACAGTCATTCCATTTTCAAGTACTTCACCCTTTATGTCATATGCAGTACATCTGTTTGATAAACGGATGTCTCTTGACTGCTGCAGTGAACTTACCTTTCTACCGCCATTGGCCATGCCTGTGCTTTTAAATAAACAGGAGAGGCTTATGTCTCCATTAGTGTTGATCTCTAATCTTTAACATCATCAACTTGCTAATTGTTTTTTTCTGACCAGTGCGGTTAGGAGCACCAATACAATGTAAACCAAGGGAGATCCACTTAAAAGCAGAACTCTAGCACCAACATGGACGCCGAAGGGCTATGCTAATCCTGAGCTTTTCTCTGAATGCTTTACTCTCTACGTCCACACCCCTCTCTTTTCCTCTGGGTACACAAACTTGATGCCTTCAATGGACACTTTGAGAACAACATTGTCATTGTTTGTCTCCCATTATGTACTGATTATTATTACCCAGTGGATAAACACAAGGCCCCATTCTCCAGTGGAGCTAATCCCTTGCCTCTGTGGAGTTTACAATTCAACTCAAATTTCCTACTGAACTGTAAACCAGTTCTGTGGTGCTGCCAGGTGAATTTAAAAGCAAACATAAATGTTAATGTTTTTCTGTCACTTAAATACTAGGTATCGTAGAATATGAATTATATTCTTTTAACCCTTACAGATGAGATTGATACAGAATTGAGATGCAGTACACACACACATACTGTATCTAGATTATTAGAATATGTTCAAGTATAATACACATTTCTGATTTATGAGTTATTCCACAGCTCTTGTTCTCCAAATGCTTACGAATGGGTTCTCGGATCCTTTTGACTCTTGTCCTCCCTCCCCTATCCATAATTCTCCCAAAGTTGCAGGACTTTCTGAGAAACTTGCAGGTAGGTGACACTAAATTTTAAGTAAACAAAGCTTTTATGTGCTTTGTATTTAGTGATCATTCAAAATAGTGGTTTTGAGAAAACATGAGATTGAACAGGTTTAATCTTTAAAATTAAATAGGGTAATGAACAATTAAGTAAATAAGTGGTTAAATATGCCTTTGGTATGAATGTAATGTATCTTTAAGAAAGTAGTTTTGAATACTATTGCAAGTCATTTTATTAAAAAAAATACATACTGACTGGGAAAATCAGACTCTATGTGCATAATGACAATATTTTGAAATACCCCCCTTTAAATGTAGTTATGTACCATATTTTTACAGTTTTCTCCTTTTAAAATATTTTATATATATTCCTTCTATCAGGTATAACAGTACTTATATATTTTGTCTTTCAATTCTTCTACGTTTTCATAGACATATAACGACGATTTTATTTTAGAAGTGGTTTTCAAGTTACAGTTTACCACGTTATTATAGGAAATTTGTGCATCATCACTTCCGAAAAGCACTAACTCCTAATACCACTAGGGTGATTACCATAACGTTTTAATGACGTCATATACTGAGAGAACTCCGAGGCTTGTGGGATAGAGGCGGGTGGTTGGTCTTTCAGAGAATTGTGGGATATCTCTAAGAATGGCGACGTCTTTGGGAGCCAACACTTACAACAGACAAAACTGGGAAGACGCGGTATGTTTAAATTCAAACTGGGTTTTTTTTTTTTGGGTTTTTTTAGGTTTTTTTGTTGTTGAAATTGTTAAACGTTTTTTTAAGCGGCACGCTTTCTATGCGGATTATTGCAACAAAAGCGTCCAAAATTTTGTGGTAACATGCAGTGGTTAGTAGTGAGTATAGCATTTTCGTGTTCAGACAAAAAATATTTACCAAATCTTCTGATTTCTGAACTTCGTACACAATTGATGGGCGAATACATGTATATTGACACGGATAATGTCCCTCAGTAACGTTTTTTTTTATAATCATTATGTACAGAGAAAGAAAAGGTACGAAAGAAGCTAGGCCTACACGATTTGGCCCCCATAGAAATATTGTAAAAAGCCTTGAACGGATGAATCGCAGGCGAAAGTTACAGACGCTAAAGGCGTTTTGTGTTGCCGTAGTAGCAGCCGGTATGTGTAGAGAGCCTGCTTTAATCGCTGATAAAGGACAAGTAGCCAGTCCGGTGGTTTGTCTCATACCCGGTATTAAGTTGAATTCAATATAGTTTTGTATAGATGAGCGGTGCGGGATGTGCTGGGAAAAATCCCTTTAGAAGTGTTTGTGAGGTGATGCTTTCCTGTTCGTATTTGCAGTGCGGCGATGTTCGCAAATACCTATTTAACAACTTTCATAAAGCTGTTCTTCAGCAGTCGCAGTAAATGGGATTTAAATACTGATGGTCAAGGAATAGCAAATGTGTCACCTTTCGTACAACTACTGCTTTACTGCTGCTGTAAAACCGGTAAACATTTTTGTAAACACACACACTCTGGATGCTTGCTAGACGTGTCTATTGCATAATTACTTAAACGCATACTTAAACATACCGTTAGAAAACACAATGTAACGACAAAACACGTCTACAATTGCCAGTATGTACATTTAAGCTGTAAAATAAACTGGAATGTGAAGTGCCTTACTTTACACCGTTCGGAATAGTAGGTGGTTTGTGTGTGCCTTCTAGTCACAAACATTGGTTTTCATTGGTTATACTGGAATGAATGGTGCCCCTGTGTTAACAAAAGTATGTTCATATTGCTTTGTGATGCATTGCAAAGCCTTTCTTTGGGTTTATAGCTGATCAATATTGTGAAGTGTGCATCAGTATATAACCTGGCTAAAAAGGTGAATTGGGACAGATATGGAAAAAAACTAACTTGGAAACATGCACAGACATCTTAAAAAATATTTTCTATCTTGAAGTGGCACACTTATAGTTATGTTTTATCTCCCATGTCCTGTGAAATAGCAGCATAAATGTTTCTTGACTCTTGGAAAATGCACGACTGTAATTCTGAGACTAGGCTAATGGACACCATTCAGACAGCTTAATGTCTTATGATACACAGAGAGAAATGTCTCTTACGTTTTTTTTATCATGTAATGGTCTACATGTTTTACCGCTTAGAATCCGCCTGTATGGGGGTTTTGATACCCTATGGAAATTTAACTAGCAGACTAGAGTATCCAGTTCCCTTGTTGCAACTGCTGTAGAGGTTAAGCATGAAAAGTCACTTCTTCCCTTTATGGGCTTTAATTTATTTTGTCTTCTGTCTTGAAGGTTGGGATTCAATATCATAATGCATAATATCCTGTTCACTCTTGTCCTTATATACACCTATTAATGTTTTGTTATTAAAGAGGAGAAACAACGGACACAATTAAATCAACTTTCATCAATTTCCCTATGGGATTAATAAAGTATTATCTATCTTAACAAGAATCTTTTCTTTCCTCATTAATACCATACTATACTGTTCATTGTGTTTATGTAATATTTTTACTTATGAAACAGTATTATTACTATCAGCCTTAACATTTGCTGGCTGAAAAACTTGTATTCTGTACATATATCTAAAAGTAAAAACTAAAGTGAACTAGAATTCAAATGAATGACAGTTTTCCCTTCAGATATATATATATATGTGAGTTGATGCTTTATTTTAATTCTTGAGCTTTAAATCTTTTAAAATTTTCTTACTTTATTCAGAATTTAAATATATATACTATTTATTATAAGGTGAGCGTTTAGGGGCAGCAGAGCTTAATATAACTAATTATCTGAAACTTCTTTTTGTAGGATTTTCCCATTCTCTGCCAGACATGCCTTGGAGAAAATCCGTACATTCGCATGGTATGTGTAAAACGGTTTGTTTTTCTCCAGATGTACAGTGCTGTGAAAAAGTAAGTACACCCCATGAAAAGGTCTGTGTTTTTCAACATATTTGCATGTATGGATGTTTGATCTTCATTTCAACAGTATTGATACAGTTGATCTAATTTAACAAATAACAATGAAAATTATTCTTTGCAATCATTTATTCTACAAAAAAGACAGAAATGCATTTGTGTGCTGTATAAAAAAATAAGTTAATCCCCTAGCTCCATTAGCTGGTGTTGCCCCCTTTAGCAGAAATCACTTCTTGTAGGCGTTTCTTGTAATTGTCTATCAGTCACCTACAGTGACTTGGAGACATTTTTGCCCACTCCTCCTTACAGAACTCTTTCAACTGTGTGTTGTTTGAGGGGTTTCTTGCATGTACTGCCTGCTTCAAGTCCCCCCACAGCATTTCTGTGGGGTTAAGATCTGGGCTTTGACTTGGCCATTCCATTTCCCTCTATTTCTTCTTTTTGAGACATTCTTTTGTGGATTTGCTTGAGTGTTTTGGGTCATTGTCTTGTTGCAACGTCCACTTACGGTTCAGCTTAAGCTTTTTGACAGATGGCCTCACATTCTCCTCAAGTACTCCCTGGTGCAATGTGGAATTCATGGTTGACTCTATGATGGCAAGCTGGCCAGGCCCTGAGACAGAAAAGCAGCCCCCAACCATATTGCTTCCACTACCATGCTTTATAGTTGGTATGGGGTTCTTTTGGTCAAAGGCAGATTTGGTTTTCGCCAAACATGACGTCTGGTATTGTGGCCAAACAGCTCTACCTTTGTCTCATCCATCCAGAGCACATTGTTTCAATAGTCCTGATGTTCACCTAGGTGTTGTCTGGCAAACTTCAGTCGTGCATCTGTATTCTTTTTTGAGAGCACAGGCTTCTTCCTTCTACAAATTTGACTACACATTGCTTGGAAATGGCTTTAAAACCCTTGCCAGACTCATAGGCATCAACCATCTTTCTTTTGAGCTCTTTTGATCTTGGCATGGTGTAGCCACACACCTCAATTGCTAAGTCCAAACCAGGCCATACATTTCTGATGTTTATAGAAGGCAGTGTCCTCCAAGTTACTTTCTAATGATGTTCTAATCATTTGCACCTGTTTTGGTGCGCCTGATTCTAATTTTAGGCATTTGATGCGATGATAAAGGTAGGGGTGTACTAACTTTTTCGGCACAAGGAAATTGCATTTCTGTTTATTTAAATAGTACAAATGAGTGTCAAATGTAACTTTTCAAAAATTAGATCACCTTTATCAGTATTGTTGAAATGACAATCAAATATCCTTTTGTCTGAAAATGTAAAAAAAGACAAACCTTTTCATGGGGTGTACTTTTTCACACCACTGTATATGATCTGTATAAAAAAGTTATCACCTATATTTTTCTCAACTTTTTTTGTATAATTGTATGTTTTTAACCTTGTATTGGGATGTGGTTATGCAGTATGCTTGTACTGTTTTGACATTCCAACAGGCTACAGAACAGCTTCTACCTCCAGGCAATAAGACTGCTAAATAGCCAACCTGCAGCTCCTTTAGCAAATCACCTGTAATGGCTACATGGACGTACAGTTTTCACTGTATTCAGCATAACTGCACTACTAGGACATAGTACATTGCACACACCATGGACACATAGCAGCTCTATTCATATTTAATTTTTTTCAATTTCTGTAACCTTAATATTGTGATTTTTGTGAGCTTGCAGAAAAGACATTTAATTGCCAGCAACTACTGCTGCACACTGTATTGTTGTGCATTTGATAAATAAACTTTGATTTGATTTATATAGTATTCTTAAAGCAAATAACCCTGTGTCTGCACTTGACTCAATGGTTGGAATGCTTCTACACACTTTATCAGAAATCTTATTCTTTTGAGTACATTTTCACTATTTGTTTTTATTAGGGCTTAAGAAGATGTATACTCTAAAAGCTAACAAGTGTAAATGTGGATACACAGTCATTTTTTATGATGCATGAAAGTCTTTTTACATTTCTTTTTGAAACAAAAACTGAAAATAGTGCTAATACCTCATGTTATCCATCTATTTAAATGTGTATGCATATTTTTGTTTTATAGACCAAAGAGAAGTATGGCAAGGAATGCAAGGTACGGTTGTGCAAATATGTTTTGTTCTTTTTGTCTAGAGACCTTTTACATTTTTTTGCTCTGGACTTGAAGAATGTGTCTTTACTTTTTCTCAAAGATGAAATTTTAATGACGCCTTTCAAGGTTTTTCAGCTGCTCTGAAATGACCTTTTTCAGAGTGTTTATGCACAGCTGTTATTTTTAGGTTAATAAAGATTAGGCACTTCCATAAAATCCAATGAAGCATGCTTCTTTTAACGTGAATTATCTATATGAAAAGTATTATTTGAAAAAAAGGTTTAGCAGAAGTTTGTACTGCTGTGATGTCTTGGGTCTACAGGAATTGTTATACTAAACCACTTAGTGCATCTTATTAATGCCTTAGAGGCAGTACTTCTGGCTTGTCTAAATATCATTTTGCTTGACTTCAGTAATAGGGTAAGGTGGGATAAGGTCTCCGGGGTAGTTCCTGTCCTTGTCAGGAATTAGTTTGTACAGATCCACTCATGAATTCAGCTTTAACTACCTGAAGCAGGCTAATCAGAATTGTTTGCTTTTGTCTTTTTCTCAGATCTGTGCCAGACCCTTTACTGTGTTTCGCTGGTGCCCTGGTGTGAGGATGCGCTTTAAGAAAACGGAAGTGTGCCAGACTTGTAGCAAGCTGAAGAATGTATGCCAGACGTGTCTCTTAGACCTTGAATATGGTATGTTGTAGACCTTTTTGTTCTTGGCTAGTAAACAGATTTTTTCATAGTTTCAGTTTTAAGACGGCTAGTCAGAAACTGTTAATCTAACTAATTTCTTTTAAATATTTTAGGCTTGCCAATTCAAGTTCGTGACACTGGTTTATCAATCAAAGATGAAATGCCCAAATCAGATGTGAACAAAGAATATTACACTCAGAACATGGAACGAGAGGTAATTACTTTTTCTTCAAAGAATAACAGTTTACTAAATGCCATAATCTTTTAACGTGCTTTTCTTCTATCAATACACATTAACATTGTGGATACTTCCTGAATGTATATGAATGGAAGAACATTGTTAGATTGTATTAAGTTACATGAGAATTATCTGTAGAAACAAAATGTAATGCATTGTAATTTCAGGATTTTAGATTTCTACAGGTCATCAGTAAATTCATCCTAAAATTCAGAAAAGAAACATGGAATAATTTTTTTCCAAAATCTAGGCATTTCTTACACTTTAGTTATTTGTGTTACCTGAGTTTATCTGTAAACTAACCATTTAAACTAAGAGATAACTGAATTATATTGAATGTGAGACAAGTAATTAACACAAACTGCATGGTTACAGCTATTTCTATTTATCAAAATAAGTTGTCATATGAACTTGTGTGTTGGCTCCAGGTGTACTGCTTTATGAAAAAGGATGCATACATTCGTACCGTTTAAAATAAGCCTGAATATATTTTGTTTTTGAGGTTACTTTCCACTTAGTCCATAACAATATTTTTGTCTCCTATGAAAAAACAGAATCATTCTAGTTTCTACATTGTCCTAGACATGGATACCAATAGATTATATTGTTGACCATTTTTAGGGTAAGGTTAAAACATTCTGCTTTGCTTAGTTTTTGTTCTGATTACTTCTGTTTTTCTTTGTGTGGAACAGATTCAGAACTCGGATGGGACCAGGCCAGTAGGGATGTTAGGGAAAGCTCCAAGTTCCAGTGACATGTTGCTGAAACTGGCCAGGACCACTCCTTACTATAAGCGTAACCGTCCACACATTTGCTCTTTCTGGGTCAAGGGAGAGTGTAAGAGAGGAGAGGAGTGTCCGTACAGGTAACTATATGTTTGCTTTAAATTTCTTTAGCAAGAAACAAATTGCAAGTTCATGCCTTGGAACTTTAGATCTACAGTTACATACATTTCTTTAGTGTAGTACTGAAAAACTAAGGATTATACTTTTAGTTCTGCTTTGATTATTAAGATGTGATATACCAGTGCTTCTTAGTGAACTATTTTCAAAATACCTGGTGCTCCACCCCCTGATTTGAGAGGTGTGGCTAGTTAACACTGCAAGACAGGAGGGACAATTGGGACAAGAGATAACTCTTCTTATTGGGGTCATCCGTGTTGTTGCAGTACAAGGCTAGAATCGAATAACTGTAGGGTATTGGAGTGCAGAAAGTCAATGGGGATATTAATTGATCTCTTGGTCAGTGCAGCTATTTGCAGTCATGCACTGGACTTTTTTTAAAGTGGTTGTGACCAATAATATATCAGTCTGCCCTTTTCGTTTGATCTTATCTGTATTATGAGTATAGATGAAAAACTTTGGGTCCACCTTTTCACATTTAATAAATCCATAATTCCCAGCTTGCAGTGATGCTGTTTGCTGTGTCTGTAAAATGGACGTCGGCAGATTTTTTATTTTGCTTTTTTTTTTGTTAACTGGGGACAGCAAACATGAACATGACGTGTTTTTGGATGGAGGGATTCAGTTGTGACTTGAAGCAGGCGAGTGTGCACAATAGTAGTACTGAGATGACCCTGTGTGTTTAATTATCCAAAGTAAGGGATTGTTTTGCAGTACCCTTGAAATTAACCCAGGTGGTGCTTTTTCACTGGTAATCATAAATTGCTTGTTATTTTGGAAGTTAACAGTAATCTTCAGATTTTTGCAGGAAGTCTTTTCATTCTTACCAAACAAGCAAGCCTGCTCCTCTGTAAATCTGCATTTTGTTTTAATGTGAATCTTTTTTTACTCTGAATAATGCTGTAGATTAACATGTAGCATTAGGTGTTGCTGTCTCAAAACAAAAACATTTTAATTTTTATAACCAGAGGCGGATTTTGTGAGATCAGGATCCACATTTTATTTTTCTGTAAAAAGCCGACCTACAATGAAACTAAATGGTCACGGAATCATTTCCTGACAGTTGGCTACTAACAGCACATGCATGCATGCATTAGTTGGTGTTTAATACTGAGAATGTACATGGGTATAGGTGTCATACACTTGTACTAAAAACACCAAATTTAGAGAGAAACCTGTTTGCCATGCAAGTCAAAATGAAGCATGGTGGGATGATGGCAACTTCACTTTTTTAGGAAAATTCTGAGAAATGTTTGTCCTGTTTGTTTTTTGTAATCTGTTTACAGAAACATATTGTAGCACAAAATTTCATGGATGGAGCTTTTATGCTTAGTGCTATATATGGTTACAACAGTGCAGAAAGTGCATATCCCCACAGAAAGGAAACCTCTGTGAGGAAAGCAGCACAATGGTGTTTCAGATGAAACCTGAAATTATGGTTCGAAATCCATGAAACACAATATATAGAAATAATTTACAATGGTAATAAAACAAACTGCATAATAATTCTTTCTTAACTACTTCCAGGTACAAAAATGTTGTGCTCTTCAAAAAAAAAAGTCAGTTTTTCACATTGTAGCTACAGTGGATCAACTTAAAATATTTTCTGGTTTCTTAGTTGAAAACAGTTTTTTTTTCTTTTTCTTTGCTCTGTCGGGGTTAGAAAATGTTATCACTACATTTGCAGTTTATGGGTCTCTTACGATTCTGTAGGTAAAATGTTTGTTTCCAGATTTTTAAAATCAAATGCGCAGATGTGTAAAACAAGCCACTGAAACAAAAAAACTGAACTTTACTTTTTAAGAAAAGTATTCACATATAGCCTGAAAACAAATTTGATCTTAAACTAAAAATGTGCCAGAACAACCTGTAAGTCCTTCTTCACCTAGAACCATGTTTATTCCTGTAGAGGAAATTCCTATCCCACCTGACCTTACCATGTTTCATTGTTTCTAAGCAGAACTTGGTCTGTAACCACAGACTTTACACTTTTGACTAAATATCGGCTTAATCTTTTAGATTTTATGTTTGGAATTAGTGGTTCATGGTTCATGCTTTCCCCAAACAATAGCTTATTTTACTGCCAACTGTTGAAATTGTACTGGAAGTCACTGAACTGCAGCAATTAAGTAAACACATTTTTGGAGAGGTATGCTCCTAGATCCTCGGTCTGTGTATATATCTCAAGCTTTACCCCTTATTGCTTCATGTAAGCCCCCACTTTGCAAGAGAAGTCCACCCTTGCATACTTGATTTTAGTGTAGCATTGTACAAGAGCAACTTGTAATATTGTCTTCAAAAATACAGACATGAGAAACCTACAGACCCAGATGATCCCCTGGCAGACCAGAACATCAAGGACCGATACTATGGGATAAATGATCCCGTTGCAGATAAACTTTTGAAACGGGCCTCCACCATGCCACGTCTTGACCCGCCAGAGGACAAAACCATCACCACACTCTATGTGGGTGGATTGGGAGATACCATCACAGAGACTGATCTCAGGTGAGAGTCTAAAGTATTAAAAGGAGTTACAATTGTGGAGACAAAAGCAGTGTGAAAAGAAATATTATACCAACAGACACTAGCAGTCATGGCATTGAGAAAACTGGTGCTGAAGTACTAGAACTAGAAAAGTATGAACTATTGATAGTGATGTATGACTTAACATTCACACAAGAAAATATAGTGCAGGATGTTATATTTAACAGCAGACTTTCTAATCTAACTATGTTATCTAAAAAAAAACTTAAACTATTTAACTGGAGACTAAAACTAGAGAACTATTATGAGAACCTCATAAATCAGTTGATTTTTCTTAGTGCACAAAAAGATCTTGAGCTGAATAAATTATGCTTAACTTCAGTGGAAACACTTGAAGCTGTTTTTTGGAGTAGTGAATGTTTTCATCAAATAGTACATTGGATGTCACTGCTCTGGAAGTATCCGAGGGTGGGAAGAGATGTTACAAGCTACATGATAAAAAATCAGTTGAAGTAAACACAATGAAAATGTAATTTCCAACAGCAACGAGAAACCTTTGAGCCCACTGACCATCACTTGCATAGCATGGACTGGCTGACATGAAAATGAGCAACATCTCTCAAATTTCATTGAATTATTCTGATACTTTTTGCACTTATGAAGTCTTAAAATTCACTTGGTTAGTTTCGTTTTTCACACCCAGTTTGACAAAAACCCATTTTGTGGCACATGTGCACACATTTCATTGCTGTAGAATGTTTACTCGAAATGTGTTTAAACTTTCTGATGAAAACGTAAACATAGTTACTTTTCAGATAACATCACATACATGTATGTAGGTGTTATAAATCTAAGTAATACATTATATTAAATACATTTTACATTAAACCTCAATCTTCCCTCAGAACATTTATTTTGTTTGCAATTGACTTTCTCTCCTACATCAAACTTGTTTTAAATCATTTGTTGAGCTGAAATATGCATATATTTAGCTTTTTAGGGGGTGTTGATTCTAGTGTAAAATCCCTTTTTTTTTCCACAGGAATCACTTTTACCAGTTTGGTGAGATTCGCACCACAACAATAGTGCAGAGGCAGCAGTGTGCATTCATTCAGTTTGCTGCACGACAGGCTGCGGAACTGGCTGCTGAGAAATCTTTTAACAAGCTGATCATTAATGGCCGACGACTTACTGTCAAGTGGGGCAGGTGAGTGACTGCCATAGTTCAGCGCTTGTTTATTGATTTATTAAAAGTGCACTAGTATGTCAAGTGTGGATTCCCTAAGGCAGAAAGAGATACACCGCCTAATTGGCTGTAGTTACTTTTCATAGCAGAACTCACCCCCCCTTCCCCCCACCGCCACCACCGTTATAAAGCATTTGCTCTCTAAAGTGATACAGCAATGGTATCGGCATTGATGAGAGACAAAAGGACCAATCCATTCAATGGAATGTACATAATGTACCTCCTTATTTCAGCTTTTTTACCTGCTCCTTTGCTAATGTTCCTCAATTTCTGTTGCTTACTTACAGCCTTCTAATCTTCTCGAGAACTGAACATTTTTTATATAAAAGGAACTTCATTCAGTAAGGTTTTAATAAAGCTCTTGCTGTGCCTGGACGTTTTCACACATAATGAACTGCTCGTGTTTAATAAAATAAAGGGTAAATTTTACATGCTGTAGACATTTGGGAGAAATTTTAAAGTGTGTTGTAAAGTAGAGCACAGGCATTGCATCTGCTTTTTATTAAGACTTAAACATTATTGATGTGTGGCAGGTTGTCTTGTCAATTGAAGCTGCTCTGGAAGCTAGGCAGGATGTTTAATGGGGAGCTTTTTATGGTTTGATCCTATTTTATTCTCATGGCTGTGCAGTGATTGCTTTTCAGGATTTCAAATGATTGGCTTTGAGCTAATGGGCTAAGGGATTACTGCGTATTGACTGTAAACAGCCGTAATACTGTAAACCCAAGCAGAAAATGCATGATTGTATCCAGATACCACAAGGCTTTGTCTTTTGAGGCTGTGTACAGAAACTCCTGTTTTTAAAGTCTAATTCTAAAATGTCTTGACAAGATATGATTTTCTTCTCTGAAAACAATGAAGTTTTGGTATGATGTGTTTTAGTCACACCAACACTCCCAAATACAAATACAGAGGTTGTGGGACAGCAAAGTTAACGTAATGTAAAGAAGCTTTATGGATAAGCAGTTTGTATTTGTCATTTTGAGATTAATATGTAAATTATTGCAAAATTATACTTGTGTGTTAAACACATTGTTTTTAATTAATAAGTTAGGGGCACACTATAAATGAATTTCATAAGTGCATATCATTTTAAGGCAATAACTGTTTGTTGTCTATAAACCTGGCTGTCATTGGAGATGGCAGCAGCCACTTTGAGTTTTGCCTTTTCTTGGGGGTGCTCAATTTTTTCTTCAGTGTGAAAAATACTTGTTCAGTTGAATTTATATCTGGAAATTTGATTAAGGTTTTTCCCCACTTTTTTTCTCCTGTTAAATTCCTTGGTTGCATTGGATTATTGTCATGTTGCACATTGAAGTACCACCCAAGAAGTATGAGGGAAACATTTTCTTCTGCATAAGTTAACAGAATATTTTATGGAAAGTTAAGAATTCATTTTAAAGCTGCCATAATTAGTTATGAATAAAAATAAGTGTGCCAAGTTTTTTTCACGAATGCCTGAAGAAAAGTTGTGCTTGCATTTTTTTCTGGGAGCTATTCTCCAAATTACTAGTACCTTTTATGAATGGTTATGGGCATCTTGACATTTACACATTGTGTAGTTTTCATGCTCATCTAATTACATAATGACAAATTCCTTCTGCTTGAGGGCAGCATGATCCTGATTGTACTCATGTACAGCTTGCTTTATGCCATTTGCATAATTACAATATTCTGGATTACCTATTAAAGTTAAATGCTGGAATTTATTCATACCTTTACAATGGTTTTTCATTCCTTATGCTTAAAGATTTATAGAAAAAGGTTGTGATACAATACCGTAGTCTCGCACACTGATTGTCATTAACTTAAATCTGTGTAAATGACTGACTCTAAAGTTCTACAGAACTGAAGGTGTATTCGTTTTAGCTCTGCCTTCCCCTTCGCTTCACACAAACACATCAGCAAGCTTTGCTTCTCCAGCACAGCATGTGATGTGTTTTGTGGTGGTGTTTCAGGTCCCAGGCAGCCAGAGGGAAGGAGAAGGACAAGGATGGTGTGAGCGAGACTGGGATGAAACTGGAGCCAGTGCCTGGCCTTCCGGGAGGTAAAGAATTTGAATTGTGGCCAACATGTTTGAACTTATTAATCAAATTTTGTTAATGAAAACGATATCAATGAATGAAAATTCTAAAATGAATATATATATATTACACTTTCTAGAAGCCTGTTTTGTAAAATTCATGGACATGTCATAATGAGTTAAGTAGCTTGAAATTATAAAATCTGAAAATTTGTATTTTGGCTGCAGTAAGAAGCTTTTCACACAAGCATTCAGAATTCTTTAATTAAATTGAACATTTCGTGAGTAGTACAAAGGGTTTTTGTGTCTCAGTTTTGTAATGAAGAGATGTGAATAGGAATACAGCCTAGGAGGTGGTTGGCATGCTAGAATTCCTGACCTTTCATTGGAGATATCTGGGAAAAGTTTGGGGAGATCAATTTATCTAAAATATCGAGGGTGGCTTTAGGGTGTCCTTCTCCATTTGTTGTGTTGGTGACTGTTGTCCTTCTTCATATGTCTGACAGCTCTGCCCCCTCCTCCTGCATCTGAGGAAGAAGCTCCTGCAAATTACTTCAATCTGGCCCCCAGTGCGTCTCCCGCTGTCATGAACATTGCTCTGCCTCCTCCCCCGGGCATTGCACCCCCTCCTCCTCCAGGTACCCACTGCACTGCATTTACAATTCACTGAGGTCTGCAGACAAATTCATGTTTAGCTCTAGGAGATGTCTAATGTGTTTCAACTGAAGTGGTTCACGCTGCTCACCTCTTCTTTTCTGGAGTGACAGTACAAATGAGGTTAATATGTTGTATTAAAAGCTTTTCCATTTAGTAAATGAACGTCTTGCTTTGTACTATGCCACATTTGAAATCCTCATTGTAAAATATGTCTGACTAATAAAAGCAGGTGCTCTATAAATGTCGGTCGTAGAATAGGAGCTAGGCAAAAGCTAACTAGAGTTGCACGAAGGATTAAGACATTTATTTAATTGATTAGATCAATTAGTCTAGATGGTGTTATTTCAACTAAATAACAAAGAATGGTTGATAAATGAATGATCTTGAACAGATTTGTTTCCCCTTTTATCATTTGTTGAGCATTATTTGAGCTTGCTAAAACGGTTTATTTTTTCCTGGCAGGCTTCGGACCTCCTATGTTCCACTCCATGGGCTCCATGGGTCCTCCACCCCCTCCACCAATGTCAATGAGAGCTCCTGGTCACATCCATTACCCTTCCCAGGATCCTCAGCGCATGGGTGCTCACGCCAGCCGCCACGGTGGCTCCTAATCTCACTTCTTTTCAAAACATTGAGTATCGTGTTAAGAGGCAACTTTAACAGCTGCGGTTCCTTTCCTTGAAGGTTAAAACCAAGTCCTAGTTTTAACTTTTTGAAATAAAGGGGTCTGGCCTTATTGAATAAATAAATGAATAATAAAAGAATGAAAATACCTACATTTTTGGATTGTAATTTAAAAGAAATGTCTGAATATTGTGATAAATTGCTTCCTACATGAAAAGCCTTTTCCAGTCAGCTTCCATTTGCACACATTCTTTATGAAACTTAAGTTTTCATAAAAGATTAAGTTGCATATAAAAGTTGCAGTGACTCATTACTCAATATTTTTAGGGGGTTATTTACTGAGTTGTTGACCTCCTTGCCACTGGAAAAACAATATAATGATGTTGGTAAATGCTGAACTAAGATGTCATAGCGGTGACACTGATTTACTTATTTAGTTCATAAAATATCAAAAGCAGCCATTTTCCTCTGGTTCAGCTGAAACAGGATTTTTTTTTAGGTGAATCCATGTTATCAGTTGTAAACTATTATTGAAAATATATATATATAGTTTTATACCATACAACAAGCACAGATAAGACTAATGTATTACTTTAAGGGCCAAATACAAGGAAGCAAAGTGCCCTGAGCCTCAGATGTGTATGGCATGTCACTGTTAAGTATGACGTGTTAATTTGCAATGTCTTACTTTTGGCCTCAAAGGTTAGATGAAATTTGGGTAGTCACTAAGTAATTGTCCATAGACTTTTAATCTAGGCAGTCTTTTTAATATCTTATTTCTTTTTACTTTTTGTTTTGTGGAGACTCATTTTCTCTTTTCATGGATGGAATAAAATCTCAAGGATTGAAAGAATTCACAAATGAAGTCTGTCAGTGAGATCTAAATGGTAACTTTTTTCCAGGTCTGAAACATTGTATACATTTAATCTTTGAGGGCCTTTTTTAAACCCGTCAGATATAGATGGCTTCAGATATATTTGTACCCTTAAGTTGGTTTGAGCTAGAATAAATGTAAGTGTACATTCAGTATTTGATGCATAAATAAAATATGAAAAATCTTAACACTGAGTCATTCTTAATTATTGCAAAAACAAATCTCTCATTTTAATTAATAAAAATACAAGTACACAGTTTAAAATTATTTCATTCTTGGAACAATTTCTTTTTCATTCGGTTTTGATAACGGAGTATCTGTCCCTTTTAATATGTTCTTCTGTTTCCTTTTAATATGTTCATCTACATCTTAGCATAGTTTCTGACCTTTCTTCCATGTATATTGTGGTTGTGAACTATTTTAGTTTATACCACAAATGTTCTATTGGGTTTAGGTTTGAATGTTGTGGTAACCAATCATGAATGCTGATTCTGTGCACATTTAACCATATACCCACAGAAAGACTAAGCTTCAGCTTCTTAGTGCAAGGAATTTTTAAATGTAAGCTCCAATTTTCTGTGTTAATTGTCCTCTTGGGGAGATTTCCTGTCTATTTTTTATAGTACATCTTTTTTTCCAAGGTGGCACTCTGAAGCTTTATTGCTATACATAACATATTAACTGTTACAGGGCGTGAGAGAACCTACGCATTATGTATTTTGAAAGATGTACTCATTTTAACATACTAAACGTATACTAACATTGTTTTGCTCAAACCAACTTTATTTCAATGGTGTGAATGGATTTGGAGCCAGCTGTATATATGCAAGCTCATGTGAACTGAAGATAATTTTTGAAATTTGTTACATTGTGCAGTTGATAAGTGTTTTGTAATGTGAATGCTTCATTTAGATTCTTCACTTTGAACATTAAAAATAGTACCATATTTCCGTTTCATTGTTCCTGATTTTTTAAAATCATTTAATCTCCAGAATCATGCAGTTGCTAGGAAGCACAATTCTTTTCCTTACAGTTAATATCAGAGGCAACTTTTTTCTAATCTGAGCATTTAAAAATGTGAAGCTGCCTTATGTTTAAGCAGTAAAATTAAGCAGTGATTCTAAAGGAAGACTCGAGCCAGTTTTCAGAACAGTGTGATCTGAAAACGTTCTGAATTTTCTTTGCCATCAGTGAAGGAGTTTTGTAAAATAAAGGTATATGTTTAAGAATAAGTATAATAATGTAGCACAAAAATGAACTGCCAAGGACACTTTGGCACTGCAGAGTTCTGGGTTCAAATAGTGCTTTCCCTGTAATGTTTTTGATTGACTGTTTCCACTTGCTCTTGAGAGGCTCTGGTTGTTCTTTCTCACAGCTCACTAGACTCAGGGGAGTAGTTTACCCCCCAGCCTCGAGGGGCGCGGTTGAAGTTGGGGCGGTTGTTGATCCGTTCCCAGTTAAGGTTGGGTTCTGTCTGCGCCTGGGAGAGCTCAAATCCAGGTAAAGGGAATATCCTTTCACTGCCAGCTGTTCCCCCAAAAGGCATGGCTACTCTGCAAAATATGAGTGACAAGGACTGTTGTAAATGTTGAAGCTACATGTAACGGGACAATCGATTAAGAGCATTATACGTTATATTCCTCGTGCTATCCTATTTAGGTCTTCAAGTTTATTGTGTTGACAGAAAAGACACCTTTACATACGTGCAAATAAAACTTAAGTTTGTGTAAATGCAGTTAAAGAATAAACGGTTTAAAGGGAGTCTTCATTTTTATTTTGACACTTGAGGAAATGCACATTTTGTCTTGCTGGGTTATTCTGCGTCCTGCAAACTGTCTGCTCTGAAAGGCAAGCAATGTTGGAAGTGTCGGATTTCTGTTCTGAGGTTTAAATAGAAGCTGGTCTCAAAGGCAGAAAACTTTGTCAATGCTGAGATGAGTTTTCGAAAGGGCTCCGGGATAGTTTAGTGCATGCAACAAAGTTACTTTTATTTTTTTCTAAATTTCTGGACTCATTGAGTTTAAACATAAAATGAAAATACTCGCACTCTCAGTAAATGGAGGCAGTGAGACATGCTGAAACAGGTTGGCTTTGTCTGGTTTCATCCATGAGAGATTTTCTGTTCTGACCTTTTGAATGTTTGCTTTTGCCCCCCATTTTGCATGTATAGATTTTATTGCATATCACATTTCTGATTCTGTTGGTCCTTATATTTTATTCAAATCAATCCTGAACTTACCAGAACAAGGCAGTTGGCACCCAGGCCAGAACCCGTCACAGTAGCTTACCTGTTGAAACACCTAAAGGTGCTTGGGCCTGGCATTTGTGGGACCTCGGGGAGTTGAACATTTAAATTAACAAGGAGGTCATTTTCCCCCCGTGCTTTCTGCCATGGTGAATGATATGATTTTGGGATGACAGTGATGTTGAACTTCTCATGGGGGATTTCTTTCAGGGGACCAGCATAACCTGAAGAAATATATACATCTTGACAGCAGGTTTTCGCATACAAATGACTAAAACAAGCACAGAAACATTGTTCTTGAAGGGTGGCATGTTGATACAGTATGTGTCAGAGCTACAGGGTCCTGGATTTGTCTTTGTAGCACTTGCATGTTCTTCCTCTGTGTGGGTATCTCTAGATGCCTGGGTTTTCTTCCAGATTTTAAATGCACACTGACTACGGTTGTTATGAAATGCACTGGGCACTTGCACTCCTGGTGCTCTGTGCATCTGGGATAGGCTACAGCTTGACACAAACTTCACCAGGGTAAGCAGTTTTCTGACAATGCTGGGACATGAGTTTTGGGAACAGAATTTGTTGCATTGATTGTTGCAAAATCAATTTAGAAATATTGGCACGTTCAAGGCTAGTCAGATTTGCTCTGATTGGGATGTTCTGGCTATATAGTAAGGATTACAACATTCTTTTAATTGAAAGTTAACAGTGTAATTTCTTGTTTTCTTGTGTGGCAGATGGTCACAAAAGGTTGGCACTGAAGAGGTGAAAACAATCACTGTTTGCAAGTCTGAACTTCAATATATCGGTTAGTTTGAGAAGTACTTTTTGTTTCTTCCTTTCAATAAAACTGGGCAATCTGCCTGGACCTTTAATATACCTCACTGTCACAGTGATTGATATGTGACAATTCCCAAAACAGCAGTCTAAGTGGCACAGTTGTCATGTCATACATGATGTTAGTTTTAAACTTGTTCCTGTGTGAAACTACTTAGTTTAATACACAATCGTAATTTTTTTTTCTATTTCCAAAGTTATGGCCATCCTCTGTTCAGACAGCAACAAAAAAACAATACATACAAAACAATACAAACCAAGGACGTTACCTGGTGCAATTACACTAGGACTCCCAGGTTTTGTGGCTGCTGTATTTTTCAAAGCTGACAGAAAGTGACCTTTCCCAGGCTGCTGAATGAAAATCTCAGTGCGGAAGTTTTCCTTTCCTTCTTCGGGGACCATCTTCTGTGTTTTGCTCCCGTTCTGCACCGTGAGAAAAGTTGGAATGGTGATGGATATGTACATATTAGTCCTTTTAGCTATGTTCCTAATAAGTGAAAAAATTAGATTGAGGTGTCTCGGTGTACTTTTCTATTCAGACTCCTAATGTACAAGTACAAGTGCTAGCATCAAAAGAAGGGACCAGCTCTTCTTTAGTCTTCATAAATCACAAATGGTAAAAGCCCATATAAATTTAATAGATATATGTGTACTTGCTTTGTAACAAGTGGCAAATGGCAGCAAGAAGAATTATGCTTCTGGTGTGCTTTGTTCTAATAAATTGCTTTAATTTAATATTACTTACCTTCATCTATCATAAATCCAGTTCAAGAGACTGTTTACCAACGACATGGCTCTGTGAAATGATAACTTCCTTTTTCTGACTCAATGTGCTCCCCCCAAAAAAGAGCTAAAAGTTTAAATTACTTGACTACTGTGTATTAGATATCACTCTAAGCAGAAGAATTGCAGAGTGAAATTTTTACCAAACTCTGGAGTTTTTGAACAGTTTGAAACCTTTGTCATTGCTCATTTGACATTTTCCAAACACAATCAAGAGTAGCCAAAAGAGTTTCTCATTTGTCAAATAGTTTCATCACCATTTCTCCCGTTAAACTCTTCTATCAATTAGACAAAAGGTTTCAGGTCATATATAGTGGGATATGCTGATAGATAGCAGTGTGCTTAATATTGGTAAAAGCTATTGGCATCTAGTCTAAACTTATTCTAAAACAATAATGTAATTATTAGATGATATTTCTTTTCTTTATCACATTCTGAAGCTCAGTTTTTAATGATAAAAGTATCTGAGGCCAAGAGTCAGCAGATTTTGGCTTGCCTATTTCAGAGGTCTGAGTGCCAATCTCTGGATGCTTCACATGCAAAACAAAGACATATCTGTAAAAATACCTCCCATGAGATGTCCACCCAGAGAATTTGAGATTATTCTCCCAGCCCTTCCCATTTCTTCCCTGCAAACCTTTCCCATGACTGACCCTTTCATTTGGGTAAACCAAGAATTGTTTTCAAAATTACTAACAAAAGACGGATCTCAATAATGCAATAATCCCAGCACATGGTATAGGATATAAGATGTAGTAAGGAAAATTATTTAGTGTTAGTTTTAAGCTATGGTGCTCAGTAGCATTTTTAGTTGTTTTAACTGGTTAAATGTTTTTGAGAGTGTTATTGGCTATATAGATCATATGTTATTTGAATATTTTTCTAATTATTATTTTGTCTTATGTGCATGCAGAGAGGTACTTATTTTCATGCTGGTCTGGAGGACTTACAGTGATTCGACTCTCTCCTGTGTTTTCTAGAGTGAATCTCTGTACTCTTTTCTGTCTCTCATGAAACATCCTGGAGCCTTTATTAGAAAGCAAAGCCAGCTCTTCCATCTGGACATCCTGAGGAACACTGATCTTCTTTCCCAAGTTCAAGTGCTCTGAAAGGCCATAGATGAAAGTTACCATTTATGTTGTGTAAGAAACTCTCACGTTGATTAAATAAAGACTAAAAACCAGACTCATTAATGTGCTTCCCTGAAATGATAAAGATATACCTTAAAAGAATCCAGTGAAAACTCTAGCACCATTTGGCATGGTATCTGTAATGAGTATTTTGCCTCCTCCTCAATGTTATCATGTCATCTTCCAAAAGACAGCAGGTTATGCAGAGGAGAACAACAATTGTGTGGCACTGAAATGGCAAAATACAGCTACAAGGCAGGTAACAATCTAAAATATTTTAAAAGGTGTGTTCACTGTAATAAATATGCAAAATCTGAAATCACCACCTACAAAATGTGACTTCCTGCTATCTATAACCAGCAAATAACACATGTGCAGGTAAAAATGGTGCTTTCAGTTAAGTGAACGTAGATGAGTGTGTGCCGATCACTGCTGCTGTAAACCTAAATGGGCTGACAGCCTCTGAAGTGTAACAGGAAGTTGTAATAGTGGATTTATCACAAGGTGTAATTGATAGTCTGGATTTGCACATCAGTAGATTATTATATGCTTTGAAACAGTTTGGCACTTTCCACAGGTTCTAATTATACCTTTGAAGTACTTAATATGTTGTAAATGAAACCGAGATCTAACATTTCCATTAGAAACAACAGAAAATAGGATAAAAGTTGGTACTGACAAATGTTGATCTCTGTTACTAATTGTTTCCCTGTATTTCTACAGATTGGACCTTTACTGCTGCTACTCGAAAATAGACTCAAAGATATGGCCAAGATTTGTTTTGTGTGTTTGTGACTGGTTGTTTAGGCAACCAGTATATAAATAGAAATTTGTAAACACCCTTAGTCCACTTTAAGTATGGTAAGGATGGGTCAGTGATGATAATTTTTCTACTATGCTGCACATCTCAGGAATTGCCTGTGCAGTTGGATATAAAATTGATGTCGGGGTCACATTTTGCTGAGTGAAGTGAGCTCTCATCCAAAGGAGCATCTGACTCTTGTCAAATGAGACCTGTGTTCTTCAATCTCAAAACTGTGTGCTAAATATCTGTTTAAGAGAGCTGTAGCTCAAAAACAATGGTTAATAACAATAGTTGTCTTTTTTTGCAAAGTTTTCTTTATGGGGAAACTTCTTGTATTTTAGGTTATTAAATTAAATTTTTGTCCTCTGATATATTTTTTAATTCCAGACTGTAAGTAGAGAAAGGGCAAACCTCAGCAATGTTTTTAATCTGAAGCCACTATTCCTAAGATAATTGTAACCAAATGACATGATTCAACATTAGACCCCGAATGTCTAAAATTGCATTCTTTGTAGATTAGTAAAAGGTGTTGTTTTGCTAGACAGTGTGCGAGAGACCACAAGACCACATTTTGAATTTGCTTACACATTTGAATTTGCTTTGTTTCATGTTATCATTGGTGACTCTTACCTCCCTCAACCTCCTTGGACAGTGCTATTGCCATGTCTCGCCTCTCTTTGGCTAAACTGGAGTAAGTCGCTGGAATCATCTTCCTTTGAGGGAAACGATAAAATCTTACTAGAATGTAAAGTAAGTCATAACACCATTTCTGCATCTGTATTACAGTATTTCTATTTAAAATTACAGTTCTTACTCAGGTAAAGGGTGCTGGGACGGTACGCTGTGTTTTCCCTTACTGCATGTATTAAGCCAAGAACTAAGATAGCTTTCTGGCAACTGTACCAGTTTATAAATGGAAAAATTAATTTACAATTTTGAAAACCACCGCCTGTGTTGTTCATGTATATTGTGTGATATTGCACTGATTGAACTAGAAAGTTTATCATCTACAATGCAATTGAAATGTTGACAGCTTATGAGCAAAAATGAGAAACCTGTCTTTTATTTACTTTAGTATTGAGGTTTATGTCTCAAACTTTGTCCTGATCAGAGTATCACTAGTTCTTTATCAATTCATTGTACAACAGTATTCTGTCATTCTCTAAACAAGATGGTACAACAGGTTGTCATATCATCATTTTAAGTAATGCAAAAGTTTTTTTTGCTAGTAATTTTTTTTTCATTTGTTTTGTAATGTGGGTTCAATAGCTGTACAATGTAACTGAAATATATACAGAAATGCACAGTAATAAAACCTCGAACAAGCATTAGATGGCCTGCATATATAGCAAGAAAAAAAATCCAATACAACTTTATCAATTTCCCAGCAAACGTAACCAAGTGACTTTTCTTTAGCATGAACCAACAAAGAGTTTCAATAACATAAGCATCAGCAAACCAAAACAACTAAAATTACAGCTAAATATACTGATTTTTGTTTTCTTTTTCTTACAATAGTTTTGAGACAAGACATTAAATGCATCTGAAAATCATTTCTTTTTTCAAATTTATCTTACCTTGGGAATATTTGTGTGAAAAGCCTTTTTGTCAGAAGTTGGTCTTTTTCAAGTCCCAAGTCTTGCTGCTGTTCCTTCCTGAGCAGACTCTCTTTCGGTAAGAGAACAGCTGGGTTATGCCAACAGTCTTGGGCATCTCCGTATTACATCACTGACTTAATTTAGTTAGGCGGGGGGTTGGCCTGGAAATGTGCAGAGTGCTATAACTGGCTGTATAACCTTTATAATAAAAATATGATCTGGACACTACAGTGTGGGTCTGGTACAAGCAGCTGACAGTTGGTTAGTCACTGACGTGTCAGTCAGAGAGTCACCATCACAAAATATACATTAACACTCAAGCTGATGTTAACTGCTCTATTTTACTTGCTATTTATAGATCTTATCTCTCACCAATGCAAAGTCTAACCTGTACTGTATGTCCTCATTTAGTGAATGGCCTATGTAAGTCATCAAACCACAGCCTATCATGTTCAAGGTTGTCATTGATTTTTCACATGAAATCAACCTTCAGAGTTTGTGTATTGACAATATTGCTGTTGTTTTTTTTCAACCCACTAGGAAACATTGCAATCAATCTCTCACTCACCGCTATAAGGATCATTCCATACTAACTTTAATTGCTGGAGCTCCTTTATCTGTGCGGAAAAGCAATATTTTAAAATCATTGATGGCCTCATCTGTGCATATTTACCTACAGCCCTCCCATGTTTTGTCATGGAACCACCAGACTTCTAATAATATCTACCTGTACAGTATGTGAAAAAGCCTTTGTAAAGTGTTTGTAAAACATTTGTAAAAATCCTGTAATTTGGGCACCTAATTTTGCATGTCCAGATTTTTAACCTGTATTTTTGTCTCCATCCTAAACATGCAAAAATGAACTTCTCATTTAGTCACTAAGTGCACATTCATGTACATTGATTTTACCCAAAGGGTTGAGGGACTAGAACAAGCTTCCCAGCTAGTGTATGATGTTGAAGCTGGTACCCTGTCATCTTTCAGGAAATGGCTAGATGAGGTCAGGTAAATGCTAACTACCAACTGGTCTAGATTGATTGAATGGCCTCCTCTGGTTTTAAAATTCCTTATATCCTTATGTTTTCATCTCACGTAGTCATGGTATTTCTGTGTAAACTATTTGCATTAGCAAGCTGATTGGTATACATGTATGTATGTATGGTGGGTCATGCATCCCTGTGTTAAGAATAATAATTTTGTTTATGACAAATTTATCAACAGAATAAGCATTCCAACAATTTCCATTCACCATTTATCTTCAATTGCATCTTTCAGATGGAGATTTTAACATAGTTTTCTGCTTGGGCAATGTTTACAAAAGCTATGTTTTTCATATTTTGTAGATTTGATTTAAAAATGACTGCTTATCAAGTACCTCTTAACTGAAAGTTCTATTAGCAGATACATTATTGGTACTCTGTGTAATACTCATTAGGAGCACAAGGCGTTGTGAAATGTTTAAATACAAACAGGCATTTAGTGTGGCTCTTTGTCAGATAATGCCAGTTTTATTAAAGCTTGCAATGATATGCTTTGAGGCTTTTTGACACAAACAGTACTTTTGATGTGTAATGCCCATTCATTGCCCTTTGCCAGTAACATCTGGGCAGATAATTTCCTGAAAGTAGGCATACTGATTGAAATCGTAAAAAAAACTGTTTTCCACCTGCAATCTCACCTGTCACTTTGAAACCACAGGAGGCTGGAAAACCTATAATCCAGATATTTAGGGAGGAAGTTGAATCTTAAAGGCAAAATTGTTGCTTCTTTTGGATTGAACAGACAAAAATATGTTTTTATTCCAACATTTGAATACATTTTTAAATATTTTTGCTATTTGACTTGATAGACGTTTTCAGATAATTTTGCAGAAAGTAGATATTCTTGACACTCTCTTTGTGAATCCATAGTGAATGAATAAGAGAAGTCAGGCAAACAGACTATTGTTCTGAAGGTTACCTAATTAATACAGGATGTGAGATGAGCAATTACCTTGTTAATATATCATCAATAAACAGTCCCCTTACAGCTTTAATGCTTACACTATTGAACTTGTACCTTAATTAACTGCGTTACTCTTTAGCTGCATTACAAAACCATGCTGGCATATAAAATGATTATGATGAGACAGGTAGCTTGAATTGAATGCAGAAATAACCTTAATGAAAAAAGCAAGCCTTAAAGGTATACTACTGTATTCCACCAGCATTATTTGAAACTAAACTTTCAAATGTTTAGTTTGATAAGAACTGTATGCAATCTGTATGCAAACTTCTTAACTACTTCAGAATACAATGTGGAATGTGAATATGTCTCAGAGAAATCGCAGGAATCCCTTCTAGTCAGACATACTGTAGATATCGTCAATGCTTGAGAGGGACGACATCTGTATTTGAAAGCTGACTGGGAGTCTGTTTGTGGCGTACAGTGCTGTAATTGAGCAATATTCTGAGATGAAGGGCCACCAGGCAGTGACAGGTGACAATACCATCTTATCAGCTCTTAGGTGTTTATAAGAGAAATGCCTCTAAAAAGCTTCATTCTGCTTCAGTTGCGATGCACTGTCCAAACTGGTGACAAGAATTCAGCAGCTTGTCTTCCAAAGGTATTTTCTGTTTTTTTTTAATTAGACCAAGAGATGTATTTTATGGTGGTGATTTACAGCATCAGTTTAAAATCATTTGTGGATTCGATTCTCTGAAAGATGCTGAGTATTGCTCATGGGTATTGGGCTTTAATAGTTTTTTGTGGGGGTTTCTACATTTGTTTTCATTTTTAAAGAGTGTTCAGATGCTTAATTATTTTCAGACTACCTGACACAGCATGGTTAACAGTAAAAGTTCATTTAGCAGATTTTGACATTTTTAAAACTGTGTCAGGCTGATAGGCCCTGTTAAATAACAGCTGGACTAGAGTCACAGTTTGCAAATGGTCTCTTCTACAGCAGTCTCTGGAAGTGACACTAAGAATTGCGGATTCATTAAAAAGATGAGTATTCTCTTCCGAGGATGCGATTGAGCAAATTGCTGGAACATATTCAGGAGTTTTATGTTGTAGCTGACTGTAGTTCATTCTATAAATACTGGTTTAAATGGAAGTATAAATAAATACAGTATACTATACTATTAATAGTCCTTGGGATGCTACCCTACCAGTTCCTTTCCTTTCCTTTTTAATTTATCAAGGGGATCTATCAGTTTATGAGCCTTATTCATAGAACCTTATTTTCTTTCACATTAATTTTACCACCTGGTTTTCTAAACTTAATTTGATAAACTCCCAATTTTGTAAAATAAAAAAAAAGTTTAAAATGAGTGACTCTGAATTTACAGTAGAATCTTGAAAGATTTGTGCCACTTTTGTGTTTTCTTGCAAGGAAACAATATGACTTAATTTAGCAGGATTGGTCAGGATATAGGCCCTGTAAGTTTTAGGAATAGAAGTTGATAAATTATAATGTCAGTTTTGTTACATTTATAAATCGGGTTTATTTTAAATAAGGGGACAAATATTTAAACTTATTCAAAGCCAACATATTGGGGATTGAGTGTAAGCTTTAAATTAATATTTCTGTTATCCATCCATTCATTATCGGAAAGCTGCTTGTTCCAGGCTGAGCTCATGACAACCTAGAGCCAATCCTGGAAGCACAGATTTCTGTTATCGAATGCTTTTTTTCCACTGCCTTTTCTGTTCTTAAGAAAACATATTCTAAAATTACAAATCTCCCTACAAGACAAAACAAATCTCAAAATCTAGACAATTTCTGCTTAGGTGATATTATTTGTGAGGCTTTGCTGTGGGTTGTGGAATCTGCACACCTCAATTAAAAACTAATATTCAACTGTTACGACCTTTGAGTTACATTTTCCAAATCGTATTTATACCACACTGTCACCTATCACAGTACAAAGCATTTTATGTACCATGAATAAAACTGGGCTAGACATGGGTATGATTCACTTTCTTTTTTTCAATCTGACCAATGCAATTTATATGTTTCTCTTGCAATAGCCTCTTTGGTCGCTCTGCTCTGACATCAACACCAGCAAGCCTCAATGATGTACGGGTTGCTATGTGAGAGTCTGCACGACTTCATTAAAGAATCCTATGGGGATGATGTCTGGAAACTCGTCCGCGAGAGGGCAGATGTCAGACTGCATTCCTTCGTTACACATCAGGTGTCATTTAGGATCAATGCTTTGAGAAGTTAAATAAGAATCTTGGCAGGACTTACTCTACCATACGAGTGAAAGACCAGAATAGAGGAACAAAATAGAGCAAATTAAATCCTGTATTTGCATTCTGACTGATGAAATCACACAGTTTTCCTGGTTATTAAAAGACAATTACCTTATCTAGCTAAATCACTGATGTTTGATGACTCCATTATATGATAGGTACAGATTAGGAGTTAAATATGACTTTCCTTGGTTTGACTGCATTGATAGTCAGTCGTTATACTATTTGTGTATTTCTGGGACTAATTTAATCTTTGTCAGAAGGAAAAAACAACTTACAGTTGTATGTGATCAAAAGATCAAAATTTCTAAGGCTCAAACGGTAGATTGTTTGTTTGATTGGTTGCAGCAAGGCTGATGATTGGTCTTACCAGCATTGCTAAAGGCATCTACTGTATACCTTGCTTACCTGTAACTGATTATGGAAAAATAATATTGGCTTCCAAGGCCGGAACAAACATAACAGGTTATTTGCTTCCTGAGATCTCTGGTCAGAGTCCCTCAAGTGAACATCCTATTGAGAGACTGCGATCCTCCTCTTTCAGGTTTACAGCGAGAGTGTCATTCCTCGCATTGCCAAAGCTGCCAGTGGGGTAACAGGAACCCCCTACAATGAGCTGATGAACTCTTGGGGTGTTTACTTTCTGGGATTTGTAGGGAAGTATGGCTATGACAGAATATTAAAGGTGGGTAGAGGACGTCCAAAGGTAAAATTAAACATAAATCATTATTTAAAAGGGGGACAAATATGCAATTCTTGGACAATCTCCAGTAATCTTTAAAGACAGACCCCTGTTCTTTCTGTTTTTTCAACTTTCTTTTCACACTGACATATTTCCCTTCATGTTCAGGAACAATGTAAGCCTGTCATTCTGAAAAAAGTTTGAATATATATTTTTATAGATATATTTATTATATAATGTATTATGTAATGATATGCCCCACTGATAAACTGGTGATAAGTCACCACCAAGGGAGAAACAGCTGTCTATAGCTGCTTGCTGTGATTTTAAATATGGAATTTGAAGTTGAAAGATGGTTCCCTCTTCCTGGTGTTGTAATATGGCAAGAGTTAATCAATAGTCATACCCATAAATCATAACATCAATAAGAGTCCTCCCTCAGAAATGCTTGTCAGTGTGGCAGGCTGACATGGATTTGAGGTGGAACATCTTTGTGTTACAGGTTCTGGGGCGACACGTCAGAGACTTTGTTAACGGGCTGGACAACCTACACGAATACCTCCGATTCAGCTACCCGAAAGTCCAACCCCCCACCTTTTTCTGTCAGGAAGAATCAGCCACTGGAGTTACTCTGCATTACAGGTCACTGAAAAGAGGGAGAGAAGCTCTGCTTTATCCCATTTTACTGTGGTTTACTGTAATAAAGTTATAGTGCATTACACAACACAGTTTTTTCTTATGAATGCTTTACATCACTGTAATACCTACGTATATGTATTATGAATCACACGCTTAGAATTTGTCGTATTGTTTATTATGATATTGCACTTTTAACAGTTATGCAACATTTTAATTTGCTGATTGAACGCAATGATACAAAAACTGTTTAGATGTGAGTAGGAGGTTTCCTCTTTACAATGGTCCTACTCACCCAACAAAGATGAGCTTTCACAGGCAAAATATGCAAACTATTTGCAAATGAAAGGGTGAGGGAATATGTCCAAAATGTCATGTAATGAACTATGCTAGATTTTCTAGCCTCACAAAATGATGTGAAATAAAGTGTCAAGCGAAGCAGGAATCTAAGAGCCTGTGCTTCTGTGTTGTACTGTGCTGACTGCAGGAGTAAGAGGAAAGGCTACCTGCATTATGCCATGGGCCAGCTGAGGCAGATGGGAAAGCAGTTCTATGACACCGACATCCATGTGGAGGTTCTGAGTGAGCAGCTTGTGGGAGACTACTCCCATGTCACCATGAGGTTCCGTGAGATTTATTTTCACACAAGAGTGCCTGTCATTTTATAAAGCCCATAACAAGATTGCAGATGCATCCTGTAGTGCAAATGCAGCTTTTCGTTAGTTTTGTCAACAGTTTTTAACCAGATACAGAACTCCCGCCCAATGTCCATCCTTTTTTGCTTTGCCACTTTGTCCTCAGGTTGAACTTTGATAACTCAGCCTACCGGTATATCCAGAAGGAAGATGAAGAGGAACAGGAGATACTGCCCATCACTAGTGACTTCTTCTTTGAGGTGTTCCCCTTTAACATTGTCTTCAGACAGGTTAGTGCAAGCCTTAATATAGCCAACTGATCCTTGGGTTTCATTATGACCTTCAGAGGCTGCAATTCCAATGTACTTGAAAATACAATAGAGAGTGTATTGTGTATTTCATTGTTTTGAAATGCGCAATCCAACAACACTGTGTGTATTCTATATGTAGTACATCACAGTATTTCTGCAGGTGTACATTAATGGCTTGGATTGAGATTTTGTGATTTAACAGCCTGCCTAAATGTCTTCTTTAAATGTCTATGAATACACTCAAAACACAGAACTGTTAATAATATCCAGATTGATTTGTATGGCTGGAAAAGCTTCATTTGGATTCTGCAACAAATAACATAAAGGAAACATCAGATTAATTTCTCCAAATTCATGATGTTCATTTTCTGCACAGACCTCTAATGTATCCTCTCACTATTTTTCCTCAAACTCTCTTTTATGATTAAGATCATTTGAAAGAGCACGTCTTCATACACATCTTCTAATTTCATTGCAGTGTCTTTGATTTTCTTTCTAACCTGGTAATGTAACCAGCTATATCTGTATATAGAAGTTTGCTTTTATATTAAGTTATCTATGCTTACTTAAGAAATAAAAGCAAATAAAGCAATGTCAGTTACATCTTTAAAGACAGGAAAAAATGACATAAATGAAAACTAAAAGCACATCTGTTCTGTGAATAGTTATAGCTTTCACCTGCTCATTAGCAACATTTTCTAATTTAGTGGGAATGTAATGTGACAGTAACACATTGATTTGTTCCAAGAAGTTAATCAATGCATTTTGTGTGATGCGCAAACTTCTAATATCTCGGTTCTGGCAGCCTCATCAGTTAAGACAGATACAGCTATATCTGTGACTATTTGCTCTTTACTTTTTATAATTAACCTGCTGCTAATGTTTACCAGCTTCTGGAAAAAATATATAAATTATGTTTAAATCGGTAAGGGCCACTAAAATATTAACCAAAAAATCCTCTAAAGCAGGTAGGTACATCATGTATGGATTTCAGAAGCTGTTTAACCACATTTTTTTGTTTCTCTAGGATATGGTTGTTCATAATGTAGGCTCAGGCCTGGCCACTGTTTTCCCAGATTTGGATGGAAAAAAGATTAATGATGCCTTTCTGCTGGCCCGGCCCTTGGTGGAGTTCACCTGGAACATGGTTTGTCAATGTCCTGAGTCTATACCTTTGAAATCTTACATCTGTTCCACATAGGCCTGATTCAAATTTTTAATGCACTATTTGCAGTTGGCATTACAATTGAATGAAATAATTCCATTTCATGTACATTATGTATATGATTCTAATAAGTCTGGTAAGGTATGAGCACAAAACAGGACATACTGTAGGATATCTGCTACTCATAGAAGCCTTTTCTCTCCATATTACAAATGAACATCAGGATGATAACAATGTAATTGTGCTGTGTTCTGCATTCAATGTTATCATATGAGTCAGAAAGTAGTTTATTTTGAAATTCAATTTATTTTTATGTATGCAATTAAGTATTTAAGATTAAGTACAGTAGGTTATCATTTCTGATGCACTATGAGGTGAATAGAAGCAAAATCATAGAGAAAATCACTTTATCTATATCAACCCTATCTTTAAATCTGTTGAACTGTTGAACCTGCACTGTATTATGACTCTTCATCACAAAAAAAGTGATCAAAGTATTGTGAGCTATGACTTTGTATTATTTTTATGATTACAATGACAGAACAAAAAAATGCTTATCATCCTACTTTAAGCCATCTACCTTGAAACCTCTTGTAACCAGATAACCACTAGAGGGAGTTGGACTTCACAAAAATGAAAGCTAAACTTGTGAACTAGGCCATCAAAAATACAAGAATATTTTTCTTGTATGCGTATTGTTCCTGATACGTTCCCACTTTATATATTTTGTGTAAATATAAATGTTCTGTGATCATTGATGTAATATCAATTGTCCATTTTTAGTAAACACAAGTAGCGACAAAATGTTCACTGTATGGGTACTTCTTTAAATGCTTTGTACTTTCAATGAACAAATCTTCAATTCTGTGTGTTGTAGATTATTTCACACCCAAACAACCTGTTCGAGATCATGTCAAAGGAACCAGTAAAGAGAGAGAGGAACCTGCACAATCGAGTTCAGAGTAATGCCCATTTTTATTGACAGTAGATTCCCTTTTTTCTGATTTACATTCCCTTCTCTCTGTCCTTTTCATTTCTTTCATTTGCTTTGTTATGCAACAATTTCAGATTCTCAAAGCATGTTTTATTGATTTTATAATGGAAAGGATTAGACATTCATAATGCGGTGCTGACCTGTGAGATGACATTTTTGTCTTCTTTCCACAGACTCTGATTACGAGAATGCTAATCGATCTGCTGATGTTGATGTGGAGCTTATGGCATTTCAGTCAATTATTGGAGATGATTACAAAGGTATATTGGCTTCCTCACGTTACATACTTGCAGAAGCCATTAAAAAAATAAGAAGGTCTTACACAGGTCTGGTCAAACGAATTTCGAAGTCATATGCCTCAGAGGTCAATGAATGATTAGTGAATGAGAGAATGTTATGTTGAAAAGTGTTAACAGTGTTTAATCCAGGTTTTAACCTTTTATGACTAAACAAGAATCTTTTCTATCAACCTCAAGCTCCCAAAACGCAGTTGAGCATAGCTGACACATAAGAGAGAGTGAGCATAGAAAAAAAATCAAGCTTGCATCTATCATAGAACAAGGAGTGTGTACTCCCAGATAAATGATGTACTCTGGACCAAGCAGATGGATAATATAAACTTGAACCACTGATTGGCTCTGAGATGAAACTGCTCTTCTCAGTTTAGCTTATAAGTTGTAGGGCTAGGGCAGCAGCAATTCACATCCCTGTCTCGCAGGTCTGGAGCCCTGGGTTCAATTTCTAGGATGCTATGTGCATGGAGTTTGTATGTTCTCCTCATGTTTGTGTGGGTTGTCTCTGGATGTTCCGGTTTCCACACATAGTCCATAAACATGCTGGCAGGTTGATTGGCTTCTGGGAGTGTGTGTTTGTGTCTGTGTGCGCTGTGATGGACTGGTGTCCCCTCTCCGGTGTATCCTGCCTTGTGACCGTTGCTTGCTGGGATAGGCTCCAGCTCCCCCTTGACCCTGAATTGGATAAAGTGGTTAGAATATGGGTGGATAATAGGGCTAATATTATTTTGAAGAACACCAGAAGAGTATCATTTAATTCATGGAAAGCAGAAGTGCATTCATATTTAGTTATTCCAAAATATTGTATTGTATATAATATGTTGTAAGTATATTATTTCTCAGTTATATGTGTAATTGAGAAGAAGAGGGGAGAGCTGCCTTCTGCAAAGACACAAACTGTTAGGCTTTAAAAAAGGGAATTGAGAAAAGAAATACCATGAGCTATCCTAGCTTTCTAGTCTGATTCGCAGCTGATGAAATAGTTCATTGATGCAGGACATGAAAGGGCAGAGAGAAATACTGCAGCAGTTTGATTCAGGTCTTGGTGATAATCTTCCCCCAGACGGAAACAGCTCGAACGCCATGGAGAGCTGGGGAGATGGGAGCCGCTGCTTGAAGCTGAAGGGGCAGATGAGATACATGCCTGAGTGGGAGTCCATTATCTTTCTGGGCACACCTGTGTAAGAACCAGACACTTAAGAGTCCTTTCCTGTCCCCTCTGAGAAGCCTCTGCACACCATCCAAGCCCATCAATATTGCATTGCCTTCCGGTCTTAACCTTTCCCCTAGGGACTTCCCCTGTCAACATCAGACTCGTCTTTGCGGACGTGTGGAGAAAAGAAGCTTTTGGGAATGTTTTACCTTCTGTAAATGCTGCACATTTCGGATGTAAAAATATTCAGTGGGAATGCATTTCACATAGCTTTTCTTTTCTGAACACAGACAGGAGTAAGAGCACTGACTTGTTACCCCTGTCTTTATTTGTTTAGAATGTATAATTGCTTATCAGCACCTAATTTTCTGTCCAGGTGTTAGTGTAAATGTGTACCCATGTATTACCACATCTATTTCCCACTGTTCTAGGATGGAGAGGTTGAGTGCCATGTTTAAGACTGGATTGTACATAAATGACCTGAGCATGCACGACTCCAGCCGAGATCTTGTTCTAGCAGGAACGCAACAGTCCGAAGAGCTAAAAAGAGCCCTTATACAGGTAAATTGGCCATAGACGGCAAAAGGTGTTTCAAGGTTTGACTTTCCTTGAAAGCTGCTCTTTAAATTTACTAAAGAGTCAAACGTTTTCAAATGAGTTTTAGATGCATGTGTTGATTTTAATTCCTCCAAACTGTAAATAGACAACTGCCAGATGTGCATTGTCACATGACATTGTCCAAAGCCCAGATGTGACCTCAATGCACAGCTTTGAGCATGCTGGACGAATGCTGTTGTCTATGCTACACAAACCGTACTGTCTGGAAGTGCAAACATGCTGTGCATTCGGCTTTAGGAGCAAAAAAAGTCCAGTAAATTGGAGGAGAGCATGAAGATGCTGGACTATGAGATGAAGAAGACGGATGATTTGCTCTACAGAATGATCCCCAAGCCAGTTGCCAAGCGGCTACGCAAAGGAGAGCCAGCTGTCAACACTTGTGAGGTCAGGCAACGCAGGGGCACCAGGTTCTGGGGTTACCCATGCAAATATTAAATTGACCAAATTAAGAACAGGCCTGGGCCTAAGAAATGAAGCTATTTAGATCTCAGATTCAGAGAGAAAGTAAACATGCTATGGTCGCTGAGTGGAGGTTAGCACATCTTCCCTCTACATTAATTAAGGAGGAATTTCCATATATTCTGTATTATATACGCTCTTTTATTTGGGTGGAATCCATTTTTGAACACCAAAACATTATGTCTGCAAAAACATAATACAGCGTTTGTAAAAGGCAATTGGAGGCAGGATGGGAAAGTGAACTAGAATAATTAGAATGTATTTGATTATACTGTAGCTGTTTGAATGAATCCTGAATAAGTCAAGTCAGTCATAAGGCCCCCATTTAAGAAAAGAGGAAAATCAAAGTTGCTTTATACAACAACAATCTTGATCATTCACAATCATATTTTTTTGAGTCACAGAATAAAAGCTTTTGATCTTCTTTCACTGTGGTTTCGACACACAAAGTCCCTTGCTACTACGACGGGGATATGAGCAAGGGAGTGAGGGACTGCTCAAAAGGGTAGACACCTCTCTCTGCTGTGGCCCCCAGGTGTTTCCAGATGTGACCATCCTCTTCAGCGATGTCGTGGGCTTCACTCGCATCTGCAGCCACATTACTCCCATGCAGGTTGTGTCAATGCTGAACACCATGTACACACTCTTCGACACCCTCAGCGAGAAGCACAGGGTCTTCAAGGTGAGCAGCTGGTTTGCTCCTATTCAGGGCTACCCAGTGATACAGAGAATGGAGGGTCAGCACTCCATTCACAAAGAAACTTGAGCCTTGTAATAAACCAGCATCTGTAGACAGGGCAATAAAGCTATTTATTCATACTTAAAAAAACTGTGGGAAATAGAAGCCTGTTTAGTATTACAAAATAAATATATAGTATTGTATTTGTTTTTGTATTTTATTGTCAATCTGGATGATGGATGCCTAGAAACAATCAATAATACCTATTAACATAATACGTATTTATGCGTTTGATTATAATACGAATGCATTTTTTTATACTTTTGTTGAAAAATAAGACAATTCTCAATTAAAGGGAAATGCCAACAGTATCAGCAATGCATAAAAGTCTGTGAAGGCTTGAAGACTGCTATTGTCTCCTTCCTCAGGTAGAGACCATAGGAGATGCATACATGGTGGTGGCTGGTGCGCCTGAGAAAACCAAGTATCATGCCCATAATATCTGTGACATGGCCCTGGATATGGTGCGCTCCATCGACCACCTGAAGGACCCCTCCACTGGGAACAACATCCAGATCCGCGTTGGTGAGGGCAGAGATGCAGATTCTACACTTTACTGCAGACAATACCTCTTCCACAGTGAAAAAAACGAATATGTGCTTATGAAGCTAGGTTGCTAGATAAGAACCTAGATATATAATACAATGTTTTAGGTGTGTATTATTATCGCTATATACAGTATACAGTATATATGAAGTACATTTATTTAGCATGCCACATTCCTTTTAATTTGGTGGTGACTAATTCCCATAATCAATAAATATAGTAGAGTTTACCAGGTGCACAGTCTCTCTGCTCCTTATGTTTTGGTTTGTTATTAAATAAATAATTTTGGACTAGAGAGACAGTGCACATGGTTGATTCATCTATTTTCATTGGTTTTGTTTTTACCGCACAGCACCGCTGTAAATCTTTGGGTACTGTATGTGTTGTTTTTCTCTCCTTCTTTTTGCCTTTTACAACCTCATGAGGAAAAACTCATCAGGACTTTCGTCAGGAAAATCCCAATGTTTGTTTTTCATTTTAGGAATCCATTCTGGGATGGTGGTGGCCGGAGTGGTGGGACACAAGATGCCACGCTACGGTCTCTATGGAGACACAGTCCACACAGCCTCTGCCATGGAGAGTAATGGGAAGGTATGTACAATAGTGGAAGAGTTACAATTCTCCAATGATGCTGTACAAGAGAGGTAGAGTCTCACATTGCATGATTAAAGTGCCATAAAGCAGAGGCAACTGTTGTAACTGCAAGCATAAAATACTTATCTTAGATTCATCTAAGAAAAAGGACCTTTCGCAATAAAATATTGATCTTTTTCTGATAACTGTGAATTATTGTTGTGAGCCTAGCTTCTTTCATCTATTCCGCTGAGAGTCTGTGACCTCTTGTCATTAATTGATTTATTTGATGAGTATTAATATATATTCTAAGAAAAAATGTTTTTATTAAACAATTGAATTGATTGTTTTGTCTTCAATCTTTTGCTCTTGGTGTAGGAAATGCATATCCAGTTAAGCAGTGCCACCTATGAACACCTCAAGGGAAGTCATTTTATTTTTGAGAGGAGAGGCACTATCACTATTAAGGTACTGTACCTTTTCATTACCATGTAGTGCCTGAGATAATAAGGTATTCTTGACTTTGATTTTTTTTTCTTAATCACAGACAATTTTCTTTTATTTAGTTTTTCTTAAGACATCAGAGTAGAACATAACAGAATATAACATTACCTACTTTGCTACTCTGGGTTTCTAGGTTCAGTTCTTGACTGAGACACCTCATCTGTAGATGATCTCTGTGTATGTTTTATACAGCTTCTTTGTCTTTCTTGAACCTTCTAGAGATACTCCTTCAAGGTTAATAGGTGCCTCAGACCTTATATTTGAATTGCTTTTGCAAATAAGGGTTGAGTACTGTACACTATCAGTGAGAACAAATAAAGATACCATTAAATAAAAGGCTTTTTGTCATTCTATTTAAAGGTGAGAGTGGTTACAGTCTGATGCAGTCAAAGAAAGTTACAGTGAGCATTGTACTTAAGAGAAATTGCCTTAATTCTTAATGTAAATACTGTATGTGCCAAAGCCTAAAAAATCAGAATTTTAATGCAGCTTTTATTGAATCGATTTGGAGGAGTTAAAAATTATTTCACTATTCACAAAGTGAATCATTATTTCCTTCTGTTCAGGGCAATGTTGAAATTGAGACTTACTGGCTAAAGGGGAAGAGAGACAAAGATGGTAATGCCCAGGCCGCTTGCCCACAGTTTGAAACTCAGACCATCAGCAAGGCCACCATCTCCCCCCCAGACTCCCCCATCGATGAGGATGAATTGGTATGACCCTTCATGAAGTCTTTAATCAGTTACCCCCTTTTATCTTTACTACATTCTACTGCAATGACAGTGTGTGGCGTTTGGGTTGTTTCTAAAAATCTGTAATTATGTTCTATTGATCAGGTAATACTGCAACTGGACTGCAATAATAATTAAACATTGTTATCATCGCTGCAGGTCTTTCCTTCAGTGGCAGGAGATGACGAGGATGATGTGAAGTCCCTTCGATCCCATCGGATTAAAATGGAGGTCTCAGGGAACTCACTAGAAGAGTCTATAGAGGAGTGTGGTGTGGAGGAAACATCTGTGAGTAAGGTAAGGTGTATGCTGATGGAAGACTAGAGATCTTTCAACACTCAGGGCTGGATATATTCTGATTAATTGATAATTTGAACATTTTTTCAACAAATGTTGAATGTTATATTTTATAGGTTGTGCAATCAAAACTTTCCACATAATCACTCACTTCGGTTTTCAGATTTTATGTACTGCTGCTGTTCCTCTAGGAAAAGAAAATCACCTTGGAAAAGTTACTTGCAAGAGGTCAAGTACGAATTTGAAAATGCTGATAACAAAACCTAAATGCCATCCTACGTGTGATATTCAGTTACATTTCACTATATTTAAGACAACACCCTAGTGCTATGGGAGTACTTTGTGTGGAACACAGTATATGAAATAATTGATCCTTTTATTAGTGTTATGTTGTTTCAACCAGCAGAGCAGCACATTTTAAAGGGTTCAGAAAAGGCATCATCTTAATTTGAAGGATTTTGTCACTTGTTTTATTACTTCTTAATGAACATCAATTAACAAATGTTTGTGCTTCACACAAGAAAAGAAAAAAAGCATTACAATCATTAACCTTTACCTTTTAATTATAATATTCATCACTATTCCCATAAAGAAGATCAAATGATGGTCATTCCTTTTTTATGCAAATCCTTCTTTCCCACAGTCTCACTATAAGGACTCACTTCTGGATAATGGTCTTCAGGATGTACACCATGAACTGGACTCCCCAGAGTTCAATGGGAAAGATTCTATCATCGAATCTCCTGACTGCTCCTCAGACTCCCGCAGGTCACAGAAGAGTGTCCTGTGCTCTGTGTGTTGATAAAAGAAACCCTGCACTGTGTCTTTCCTGTTCTATGGAGTTCAGGTCAATAAGACCTTCCCCAAAAGATGAGCTACTAACATAGGTGGTATGTAAAACGTTGTAGAAGAGTGGGTTATTTTTTAATTACTTATCTATGTATTTTCATCTGGAAAATAATACATTTTTATATATATTCAGCTTTTGTTGTTTTCTAACATAATCTTTCATTAAGTTTTTAGTCGGAGACTAGCTGCTATTTGAACCAATGTAATCATATGTTGACTTGTTAAATACTTGTTGCACGTTCTTGGAAATTAAAGACAAATTTTGGTCTGAATACTTTAGAAAATAAAAAAAATACCCAATATAACATTCCACTGATTTGTCACAACATTAGATGAAAGTTGTTATTCATGTTTTTTGTTTATTGTTCCAAGAGCCACATATTGGTGAAAAAAAGAACTGAAGTGGTTTATTGAAAAACTATAAAGCATTTAACATAGATACAGGCAGAGCCCATACTGTAAATACTTTGAAGACGGACTTTTTCCCCACATGTCTTGGTAATATCTTTGGCTCTTGACTGAGTTTTGCAATGTGAAAAGGCTTCTGATAATATTGATGTGTGGTAAGGGAAAAAGCTTACAGTTAGGAACATAATCACAATAAATGATTCTTGATTTGTTCTTCTCGATTTTGTTTTAATTTCACCCATACTAACATTCTTTTCAGGGTGGGTGGTCAATTTCCTAATGAGCAGTGAATAACAAGACAAAAGAATAGAGTGACCCACCAGGTTCCCAGAATAAACATAAATCTTAAAGCCAGCTCCAATCAATGTCCACAATCAAATATGAAAGAATGACTCTGTAGGCTTTTCTATAGAAACAAATCCACCTCACCATGCTGGTGGTGTAATATATTGTTACAAATAGGGAGTTACGAAAATAGAGAAAAGCAGAAATAGATGGAGCAAGTTAATAATAATTAAAATGATGATAGCCTCAAAATGGTCAAATATATGCCAAGATTTTACCTGAGCAGTTGGTATAATTTGAGGTGTCTGAGATCTTTGTTCTCTGACACAACTTTGGCAGTAATAAATCAAGCACACTGGGTTAAAGAAATGTTTATTAACAGTGACAATAACATACACTAAGAACACACAAAACTAATTACAAGTTACCTTACTAACAGACAAGGTGTCCTAGAGGCCTCCATCCTGACCAACCCCTGACCCATCACCCCAGACTGCTGCTATTTAAAATCCCACTGTATGTAACACCTTTACAGGCCAACAAGAGAGATCAACTTGTCTTCTAAATACAACAGGGATCAACCTACATTTAAATCTCTCTCTATAAACCTGGATGCTACAACGTGAATGGGAATCCTACTTCTCTATTTTAAAAAGGTATTTATCTGAAGAAAAGCATTCTGTTTTGTTTTTGGAAGAGTCCATAGATCAAAAACGTAATAAGGGAGTGTAGCCCAGACGAGTATGAAGGAGGATAGTGTCAGGGCTGAAGGGAATGAACACTTTCCACCCTCTAATCTACTAGAATAATCACAGACAAAGGCTACTGGACTACAGAGCAAATAATTGCAGCAACCTCCATTTAGTTGTATTAAAAGTACTGATTTTTTCACTATACAGCCCATAAGGCCTCCTCTTGTTAAACTTCTGTATTGAAGTTTACTTTGCGCTGTCCTATTCTTCCTCAGTCTCCCTCATTGCCAGCTTGGTAATCACCTGGTCTTGCACGTTAAAATTTTCTTTGCTTCATTGCTTTATTTGATATGGTTATCTACTTATTTTATTGACTGCATGCAACTATATCTTGCTCTAGATCTGCTAATTAAATAAGAATGAATAGTAAAGCATTACTGTAATAATTCAGGCTCTCCCAAAGAGAAGCATGTAAAAAGTCAATAATTCTGATAAATAGTCAGAAGCATTTATCAGATTACAGGGATTGTAACAGGAATTTAGATGCTTTAAGTATCTTGAATATGCAATCTTAGTCCTATCACAGTCCTATTTGGTGCTTCTTTACAGAATTATAACTACTGTCTGATATTTCAAATCCCTAAGGGACCTTTGCCTACACATAGGACACTTCTACTAAAATAGCGTTCATGTTATGTAAGATAGAACTCCAATTCTACTACCTAGGAATGGACTAAAAGTTCAAAGGACTTCTCTTCATCTATATATGAAGTTTATTGCAGCTTTTAAGAAGGCTAAGGACAATATCACAAAGTATCAGTGTAGCCAGTTTGGTATGCGGTTTCAGAGTCCTAAGACATTCTTCCTAAATTTGGGAATTTATGTATGTCTGCTTCCTCTGTATTTTTAATGAACATTTTTAATTCATTTTCTGTACATTTCTTCACATTTCTTCACCGGTTGAAGAAGTAGAATCTGCCAATGGATATGCATTAGAAAGTGAAGTCGATTTATGCTTTGTGTTATTTGCAACAGCCATTTCAGGACACATTGTTTATACTTTTATAATCCAAGACAGCCGTATCAAATTAAGAGCTAAAATGGTATCAACAGACCCCTTCCATCCCGCGAACACCTTTTTTAAACTTTCAAAGTACATTAGTTCTGCTCAGTTCTGAAGTAGTACCTATCTAGAGGCCACTAGGCAGCTCAATATGCTGCATGTGAAAGTGTAATATGTGTTTTTGTGTGTTTTAATCTAGACCTACACTACAGCAAATTCCAATCATCTTTGTTGACATAGCAACAAAGTATAGAATTTAACTAAAGTTTCTGAGCCGTTTCAATGTAATTTCCAAATTAGTCAAACTCATAAAAGGCACAGTGTAATGTAGAGGCGTGTATTTTCATGAAAGACATTGATATCAATCAGTGTATGGTCATGTCCCAATCCATTTTTTTCACCACATTTTAAGTAAATATTTTTATGAACAGGAGTTAATTGACTAAATTAATTAGTTCAAACTTTTTAGTTCATTTTTTAGTAATCAATTAAAAAATACAGTTTTGCTTAAATCATATTTTCTGCTTATATTTACAATAGCAATTCATTCAGTTTCTTGTGGCATTGAATCTGGTATTATTTGAACATCTTGGGCACTGTTCGTAATTTTTAATTTAGGTACGCTAACCTGATAGACTCTGCTACATATTCCTCTTAGACTGGTGTTTTATCCATGGACAGACACAGTCCTATTTCTTGAGAGTCACACTGTCTTCTGAATTTAGTTCAACCTGAGCTTTGACTTGAACATTCAGTTATGGATTTAACACTAATGCAGTGGACTGGAAGGGTAAGTTTGCCCATCAGAACTGTATACGATATATAGGTGTGGGTTCCAGAATATGAGTGAAATAGAAACGTTCTGCCACGTTTGTCCTGTTCACTAGCTGAATTGATTCACTTTCCAACAGTCTGTAGCTCCTGTCAGTGTATTCAAGAGGCATGCATCTCCCCTGATTGAGGTCGATAGATGGCCAAGAAGGAGGGTGGACTGCTGTTGAAAACACAGTCAATATCCCTCTATCATGGCAAAGATCTGTAACCAATGCTTACCAATTGCCTAGATGGAGCACTGGAGGTGATAAATCAGGAGTACTATGCCATTTAATGAACACTAAGAACCACAACAGAAAAAAAAAACAAAGATTTATTTTTTAGATGCCTTACATACTGCACATACAGTGTTGAGAAGATTTTCCACCAAGTGCAAGTTCAAGGTGTATTATCTTCGCTTCAGTGCAAAAACAAAGCAGAGGTTGATGGTGAATAATTCACTCCTGTATTAAAGTAAATGTTCCGGAAGCACTGCACATTCAATCTCGAACATGCCAAACTCTCCTGCAGGCATAAATCAATATATCATCAGTGTAACCAGCACAAGTCTACAAAATAAATAGAGCCCTCTAGTGGACTATTCCATGTATTTCTGAGTATTTACAAATCCCATTAACAATCTACCACACAAGGGAAAAACAATAGAGAAGATTACTAGAAAAACAAGGTACAATAATGGCGAGAACAAATATTCTATTGTAGTGAGTGTAATCCAAGTCCTACTATCAAGTGTTTCTATCAATTGATCAACAATACACAGCTCTGCTTTTGATTTGTGATAGCAATTTACAAAACACAATCCCATTGGTCACATGTGAGCTAACCTTGAGTAATGCTTGTGAATCTCATACAAATTATGTGACAGGACAAGAGTGGTCAAAAATTCATTATATTCCTTATACAGCAAAATTAGCAATACAATTATTTGACTGCAAAGAAACAACTAGGTGACAGCTGCTTTGACTTCTGGTCTTCCTGTAATCTACAGTGCTTTTTTTACTACTAGGTCCTCTAATTTGAGCTTTTTTCTTATTCGTAGATGCATTATTTCAGATAGAGTTGACCACAGACAGAGAGGAGCTCCTACGGTAAGTAGCATCTTCACGTTCCAAGTTGCACTTGGCCTGAGACTGACCCTCTTTTGGCACGGGAGCAATGGTGCAGTGGAAACAGAAGGCGTAGAAAAAGGCCACCAAGAGGAGAAAGCAGACGACGCAGAAAATGATGACGATGATTATGGTGTGTACTCTCATGTGGGTCTCCTCCACAGGCGGGTCTAAGGAATCGATGTGAGTGGTGGTGTCGGGAGACCCTAAAGTTGCTGCGTTAAAAATGGGGAAATCAGTCATGATGAGGACTCTTTCGGAATTCCAACACACTTTTCTTGTTCCAAACAGTGAGAATGTACCATGTGACCACAAACACAAGATGTACTCCTTGTTTGCCTGCAAAGGAAAAAAAAACAATCATTACTGTTCAGCTTTGCAAGTAGTGAAGGAGTCAAACATAATTGACTTCCTTTTTAATCACTCTTCATAGTTTCATTCTGTAAATGATTGTAAACTTGCTACTTTTTTTACATTGCCAATTCATTTCCAACTACTTCTAATTGAGGGTCACAGGGGAGCCGGAGCCCAGGCAACAGGCACAAGGCAGAGTACACCCTGGATAAGAAACCAGTCTATAACAGGGTAGACACACACTCGCATCTGGGGACAATTTTCCTGGAAGCTGATTAATCTACCAGTGTGTTTTTGGACTGTGGGAGGAAACCCACACAAACATGGGGGGACTCCATGAAGGTAAGACTCCAGGTCCAGAACTGAACCAACAGCCCCAGCACTGTGAGACAACAATGCTAACCACTGCACTACTGTGTTGCCATGAATACATTGCCTTTTGTAATTTATTGACCACAGGCGATGGACATTGAAGTGCATTAACACAAAAGAGTCAGTAAAATTACAGGGAAAAAACGGGACGAAGTGGACTTGCATCCAAAGTCGAAGATAATCCTACCCTTTCCACATTCTTTCCTAAATTAGGACAATTAACTAAACAACACTTACTACACTAATAATGGTAAATCACATTGAACGTCTTAATCCTGTGAACAAATTGAGCAAAGTGTAGTAGGAAACATAGAGTCGGTAAAGCCTCTAAGAAATAGGACATTCAAGCAATTTAGTAATACAAACAGTTCAAATAAAGAAAATAAAATAGTTCTACTGTTGTTTACTTCCGATAAAATGAACTCTCAACTGTCAATGCGATGTGGTGACTTCATAACTATTTTTAAATATGCAATTCATTTTTACATATTAACAGATATTTTTATTGTATTCCTGTATTTGTTTTAGAAGAATAACATAGAAAAAGCTGTATCATCTGTTAAAGCTCTTTCATTTATTTAATTTGTTATTAAAGCCCAGGGGAAAACTACCTCGAACTAGCAGAACTTTGACTTATCTCAAACGCTGAGTTGATATGACATTTTTCTGAAAGCCTCATTGCAAATTTTTGACAGAATCCCACAGGTCAATGTAGAATTGCAGATATTAAATTATTTCTTAATAAGGCATGAAATCAATGGTTTGATGTTGATTTGTTTGAACAGGGGTTTGGTTTACTTACCTATACTTCTCACATGTGAGTTCTTTTCCTCTTGCAGCTTCAGGAAATGCTGTATCAGTCGTATTGAGAGACACACATCACTGGCTCACTTGTCTTCAGGTTGAGAGCATTCTCTCCTTCACACTAGCTTCCAGGTTTCCGAATGACAGACCCTCTTTATCGCAGCAAGTAGCCAGTATCACCGTCAGTTTCTCATCTCCAGTAGGAGTGGTAGAGAAAGAAGAAAAAAAAATGAAAAGAACTTCACCTAAAAAGGGAATGTTTCCATGACAACCACAGCGGAGAGACAGAGAAGAGAAGCACTGATTCTATGACATCAAGTCTGAGTAACATCACAGGTCAATGGGATGGGAAAAAAGAGGACATTACAAGGTCTGTTTTTCCTTTCATCTACCCAAATAAAATGTCTGAAAGGCTGTCTGTCAAAACAGGTACAACATCAAATGCTACTCAGTCTGACACTTTCCCTACACAAAGGAGATTTTTAGTGCTGACAATGCCATCTTTAATAAATGCCCTTTAACAACAAAGATTTAATCTGAAAGCACTCTACATATTAACTTGCAGTACAATTTTTAGATTGTTTTTTCATATGATCTTGGAGGAGAGATGCCCTTATAGCAACCCATAAAGAACTGATTCTGCCACTGTGGTGTTCTGTGTATGTATTATGTTAGCATTCTACAATGTTTAGCTTAATCGTAATTTTCTGACAGAATTGCAAAGGTCAGAGAGGAGTTATTTATTTTAATGTATTTCTTGATAAGGAATGAAAACCTTTAATAATTAAAGTGTCTTAGGTTAATTCTTTGTGTTGCCCACTATATTCATACACGGTTCTTGGTTAAAGTCTCTTACCATCTCTGGTAAAGTAAGGTACTCTCTTTTTTCAGTTATTAGTGTGAAAGGTAAATAAAAATTAATCATGCATTTTTTAACATTTTCCCTTGTTTTCAAGGTGCTTTATCACATTGATGAAATTGCTGGTTTCTAAAACAGTATATATAGTAGTTTCTAATAATATCCCACTATTGTTTCTGAGTCAAACAAAACATACTTTATTTGCTTATAATTGGTCAGGTTTTTACATTTTTCTTTCCACTGGGTTAGAACAATCAGTATTATCAATCTAAACAAAAATATAAGCAACAATTTCTGATATATATAAAGTACATTGACAAAAAAGCCTGCAAAGTGGAAGGATATGAGTGAAAGCAAGAATACCTTATCTATACAAAACAATATCTTTTTTGTGCATGGTGGAATTAGTTATCCAATTCTCCAAAAGTATAAATAATGCAAGAGACATAATGTTCTTTTCAGGATATCAATTTAACTGCAGTATGAATGTATTAATTAGAGTGTTGAATTATGCAATCCCCAATGTAATTCAAATGCAATTATCCTACAATCCTACAATTAAAAAACTGTAGTAACGCAATCAAAACTCCAGCCACTGCTAGTTTAATGTAGCTGGAGCAATTAATAAACTGCAGTTTGAAAGCTGTTGGCTCCACCTACTGACGGCACTGCAAAACTAGCAAGGATTCAGAAGGAAAATGATTTCCTTAAAAAAGTTCAATTCTGGTAACTGGCCTCAAAACCCAGTTGTTAATTCTCGTGTTTTTGTGTAAGTAGTAACACTACGCTTTATCACTAATATATTTCTTCTAGACAACCTGCGCCCACGATTCCCTCTCATTGTAGTTAGAAAATCAGGGGACATAATAACACCCTTTAAGATATTACTTTATTCATTAATGGATTGAGTAGGTCTTATCAAAGCGATGTCCTAAGTTAATTACACACTCCACTGCTTTCCAAATAGAATGTACAGTATAGATATAGCCCTAATTTCTAACAACATTAAGATAGGTCTACTGCATTTTAAAGATTGATGTAGCTCTGCTTTTTAGTTTTTCCACACAAGGGCTAAAAACGTGTAAACAATAAACATGAATCTTTTAAGATTGAATGGTCTTCTTAATAAATTAACCTTCTTAATAAGGTTAACGACCTCTATACGACGTCCCAAAATAAGAAAATCAGTTTCGGAAAGTGGCCTAAAAAGAAAAAAAAACAACACTTTTTAATCAATTTAGTTGCCTTAATATTTTAAAAATGAATTCGTAGTTTGCTTTATTATTATGTTTCTAGTTGTTGTGTGATAGTGAGTAAGTCTAGCGCATTTGTTTCACCAATTCGTGCAGCAGCATGTTCTTTGCAGCATCCATTTACAATAGCTACCCATTAAAAAAAAAGCCTTTAATTTGTTACTGCCAGAACACAGAAAACGGTGCGCTCTAGCTCCAGCCTCTTCTCACAGAAAGCCAGACACGTTCTGTTTCCACGGTGAGCCGAAATTAAAACAGTTACAGGTGCCGTGCCGGAAACGCGGAAAGGATAATGATGTTTACGCTTGAAAGCTTGCTGGACGGCCACCACAGCGTGGTGAGAATTGATCTCGGTGTGAAAACGTTGTTTGCCTGACTTCTGATTTGAGGTTCATTCTGCGCTTTCCTTCATTCCAACAATTAATAGCACAAAGGGTAAAACAAACCAGGAAGAAATGTTTGCTGTTATTAATTATTATTATTTTCTGTTCCGGTAACATTTCAATACATGGACTGTAGACTTACTGTACTGTATGTACAATTGTAAGACATGAAGAGAAACTTTGTACCGAAAGCCTGGTCGTACGCGATCGTTGCTAATGATGAATTGTATATGGTTAGTAACAGTAGTTAGATAGTAGTTAGTGTCATTTATAAACAGTCCAGTGTTCAGAACTGTAATAAATATGCAGTTATAGTAGAAAAGTGTGATTCAGTAATACTGCAATACCTACAATTAATTCAATTAATTCGTTTTCAGAGATTAGAGAAAATGTGATGGACCAGTTACAACAGTAGGATAAATGATTAGACTATTTTTCTGACTCCTCTACATCATCTTTCAACAGGAGCTCTGTATTAAAAACTGAAAATAGGGGGAAAAAATGGGAGAGTGGAAAGACTACGTTGCGGCTCTTCTCAAAGAGGAAACCGTGGAAGATGCCGCTGTCGTCGGCTGTTCAGAGAGCAAGGCTGTCTGGGCTTCCAGACCTGGTGGTGTTCTGGCAGCTGTCAGCCCACAAGAAGTGGAGATACTGATGGGAAATGATCGGACATCCTTCCTGAGGACTGGCATTACCATAGGAGGTAAAAAAGCCTCGGTTATCAGAGACTATCTGATGATCGATGAAGATTCAGCCATGGACATCAGGACCAAGGGCGACGAAGGGAAGTCAATAGCCGTGGGAAGGACAGCGAAGGCACTGGTGTTTCTGATAGGGAAGAGAGGGGTCCATGGGGGCTTACTGAACAAGAAAGTCCACGACATTGTGAAGTATCTCAAAGAGAGAGGGATTTAAATCTCCTGCACAGCAGTGCAAACAGGTTACAGAAACAATAATAAATCACGTTCATTTTACCATTCTTATTAGTCTTTTTATTTTTATTACAAATCTGTGAACAAGCAAAAACAGTGGTTGAAACACAGCATATGATATGGTATGTTTAGATATTCAGATGGTTTTTAATACTTTTTCTAAGGAAAGGTTGTGTGTTTAAGTCCCCACTGCAGACAGTCCTATTGTATCATGAGCAATGTACTTTACTTTTACCTCAATTCCCCAGTCCACATGGCTATAGAAATGGGGACTAGCATTGCTTGTGAACAATCCCTGAGATGGGCCAGAGTTCTGTATTGTGTGTCTTGAGCTCTCTCATCTGCTTAATGTCACAGAAACCAGGTTAAGTTCTTGCCCGAGGAGCCAATGTGACTTGGATTTGGAAATGACCTGCCTATGGATTGGTACCAGAGTGGAGTGCTGGTACCAGAGTGCTTTTTCTAGTGTATGTCAATCATCTGAATTCTGGTATAATAAGCACACTAGTAAAATGAGCAGATCACATGAAAATAAGAGAGTTACACTGTAGATGATGCAAGGAAAAGTAAAAAAGATTAAGACAATATTCAAAAGTGGGTAAAAACCTGGGGGATGACAATGTAGACAAAAGCAGTGTATTATGTACAGGTAATAAAATAATAAACAATAAATGTAAGATGGGAAACACACAGACTGAAAAAAGTTATACTAGACATTTAGAACACCAGGCATTTCACAGCTGAGAGTGAGGCAGGAAATCGCTACCCAGCTGTGTTGTTGAAGCTCATACCCTGACGTCTTTCAAGGAATGGCTGGCCTAGATCTTTTAGTATTATATTCTGTTAGTAGACATGGTAGGAAAGTCATCAGAGGTGAAAGCTCAAGTACTGTATTTCATTACATTTTATGTGGTTCCACCCACATACTGTAACTGTAACAGTACCTTTTAATACTTTGATAAGATGGTTGTTATAAAAATTAGTCATGAAGTGTTCCCATTGTTATAACGTTTTCAGAAAATTAGAAAACAGCACTTTCCTTCCTAAGGAAAATGAATTAAACTAATGTAATGGTAAAAACAATACCTACACAGAACTGATTTTTAAGCAGTGTGATCTAAGAGTACAAACTTCATACATAACCCACAATTCTTGTGCCATAAGTATCAAACAGTCATTTGTTTTCTGAAAGTACAATAGATGTAATAACTGAAATAGTCAACCTCTTTCTACTTACAATAATTACAGGGGAATAAATGAACACAGGAAACAATAATGATCTAGTGTTTTATTTTTAAAATTGTACATTACAGCTTATCAACCAAAGAAACCATACAGTTTTGATAGATCAATCTGCACTAGTAAACCCATCTTGACTGATAGATTTCCTTTTCTGTATATGAATATTAGCAGAAAAGGCCATTAATATCAGTCACAGATCTTGGTAATTTTATTTTCCAGCAGTTAATTTCAAATGAGATAGCTTGAAGCTGCAAACACGATTAACATAATTCTTGTTAATAGCAATAACACACTTAAAGTATAAGTGAAAATTAAGGATTATTTTCTTAACAATGTACTGTAGATAATGATGTTACTTTTTCTTATTAACAATGTTGTTGCAGATCCAGTTCATCCCATCCTAAAAAATAATAAAGCAGGAATTAGTATTTTCAGAACTGAATTTTAACATCCTTGAATAGCTTGGGTTTATGAATACACTCTACTACTCTACTAAACCTACTTTTTGGGTATTTCATAATTTATCTTCAGGATATCTTTATGTGCACGTATCGTTTAATGCCATAAAAAACTTCCTGAACTATAGGATTTATATCATGGTTAATCATATTTTTATAAGTTTCCAAAAACTGAGAAGGTGTTAAAAGGTGTTAAACTGAATAAGCCACAAACATAATAAATATAAACTAACAAATATACTTTAACACCATATTAATATTATTTGATTATTATATGCAGACTTTGAGCTGGGTCTAGTCTTGTATTTAGACCTCTTAACCACATCTGTGTAAAGGCAAAACTGTAACTGACAACTGCATCTGTATCGGAAAAAGTATCATGTTGTTGCTTTAAGGAAAATTCAATAAAACTCAATGTAGTGTATCGTGTACACTTCAAGGCAATTACTGTTTCTCATCTGGTAACTAAAGTGAAGAATGAAACACACCAATAGGGAAATTAATCATAAATAAACCTTCAGACAGTGAATGGAACAGGCTTTAAATGGGGTTTATGGCAGGATTTAATTCAAAAGCTGATTTGAAATATTTTCCGTAAAATAAGACATTAATTTATGCAAATCTCCTACAGAATAGCTCTACAGGACTAATATTTTAGAAATCATTGCAGCATTTTACTTAAAAACAAAAGTATTGTTCATGATAAAAAATATGGCTGTGTGCAATTACAGTAGTTCTGTTCCATTTTGATGATTCTAAGTGCAGACTAGAGTTATATATATATTTATAAATCCCTCAAAAATAGATAGGATCATGCGGATTTAAAATCTACCAATACAAGTACTGATAAAATACATCAATTCTATCTAGCATTCTTTACATTTCAGTACTGTATATAAGCTTATATTTAAGTAAAGTTTGTAATAACAATACCAGACATGTATGTATAAGTAGCATAGAAAATAATTCAGAAAGCTAATTGCCTTGGTAGGGAATAGATACAAATGAAAATTTACAGATACAGAGAATACAAAAGTCTATGAACCACAGAATGTAAGATGTGTACTGATGTTTATAAAAGGTAAATTTTAGAATAGAATTTTGATATGCGGTTTGTGTTATGAATTTCCAAATTTCTTAAATTAACACCTTAAGTTAAAATGTAAAATTCTTAAATTGACAAATTCAAAAATCTAGACTAAAAAGCCTTCTGTTTGGACCTATTGCAGTAATTGATTGTTTGTCTTGACCTGACAAAAGTCACATCTGATACAAATTGCCACTGTTCAGAGCAACAGCCAATCACATTTTGAGGACTACAACCTGGGAACATATAAAGCAATAAGCTGCCAGAGGAATAATAATAATTGCTTTTCTTCTTTTATTTCCCTTTATCTTAGCAAGTCATATAATTTAATAAAAGACTGAGTCATGTGATATTGTACATACTGTGTTGATTGGACATGAAACTTGTCACCTGGAATAATTGCTGTGCACTCAAGAGAAATTGCAATGCTAGGATTTTGATATTAACTTCTGGTTGCTAGAGGTATTACAAAGGACAATCTATGCAGGATATGACCAAAAGAGACAAAAGGTACCTACAGTTTTCCTCGTGAAACCTGGGACATAGATGTTATGGTGATATGTTATGAAAGTGAACAGACATCATTCACTTGACACATAGGGCCTCAATTACAGCATTTCCTTTTTAAAAACCCAGAATTCACTTTCCAGTCCCTACCATTCATTTTAAGATTGAGAAGTATTACAGAAAACATCACTAATTCTTTTGGACATGTTTTTTGGGTTGGTAAGTGCTAAACGTTTGGATTGTGCTCATGTGTGATTGAAGAGATTCAGTCATTTAAACTTCAATTATTTCAACCCATTTAAAAAATGCCAACTGGAATATATAAATTTCTCTTCTGCCAGAGGGCAGTCAGTGTTGGACTCGCCATGTTTGTCTGAATCCCAAGCAAGAACATGTTACAGCGTGGTGTATTCTCTTCCGGACATCATCTTTGTCAGGCCACTGCTTCAAGACTACCAGGTGATGCTTTTACCTGCACGCCTTCCCCTGACAGCGCTGAGCAGGCCTGAATTTGCCACTCCCTGTCCCGGTATGTGTGAAGGTTGAGCCCCTCTGCAATTTCACTTGCTGGAGCTGCTGACACCAGGTCCTGCTTGTTAGCGAAGATGAGCACAGGGACACCTTTCAGGTTCTCCTCCTCTATGAGTTCAGAAAGTTCCTGAAATAGGTGAGATACAGTGCGAACACAACAAATAAACCCATGAGGACATATAGAACACCGTGTTTTAAAAGTCGATTGCCTTCTCATTCATTTGTTTCTGCAAATTTTAAAAAGGTATGGGATTTTAACATATGTATTTTAACTTGCTTTTAGTACTACTTTGCTAATACCAAGGCAAAGTGATAACTGTAGAAGCATTGTGCAACAGTCTGGAAATTGTCCCAGAATTCTCATGGTAAGAATATAAAGTTCACAGTAGTAAAAAAATGATGCAGGGTTTTGGCATGACCTACAGAAAAAAAAAAAAAAACATTACCTGGCCTGTTTCTTCAAACCGTTTCTTGTCTGCACTGTCTATGACATATATCTGTAAAAAAGAAAGCTGACTTATTTACAGGCTTACATGAACGTATGTGCTCTACATCAAAGTCATAGTCCCACAGAAAGAAGTATTGTTAGAATGTAAAATGACCCTGTACTGGCAGATGAATTCCTAATGCAAGAAATTGTATACAGTAGGGCTAATAAAGAAACATTACATTGCCCCTAACTCGCTCGGTCTCTCATTGACATATGTGTAAGCCTGAAAGTGTCAGGCATGTTGCAGGAGTCTCTGTTTGGTAGGCAGCTGAGAAAGCCCCAACAGGTTCATCCCAGCACTACTCTGGCAACTCCACCAACTATGTGACACTTCGTGGGGAATCCCGGTCACAGTTGGCAAGCAACCTGACCCAGGCTCGAATTAGCAAAAGAACCTGTGCCTCAGCCAAAGGCCCCCATTTTTTACATATATTTCTTATTGACATTCTTCAGTCTTTTTGAACATTGTTAATAAAGAAGAAAATGCAATAATAAGGTAAATAAGTAATAAAGGTATGAAAATAAAGTAATAAGTAGAACTTTCTTGTAAATTGTAATTGGCAAGTACTCCTAAATTTAAAAAACCTCCAATATGTCCAATCTGTTATACTGTATGTTATTTTTACATCTTCCAAATATTCATAGAATGTTAAAATAACATTTATAAGCAGCACCATAGCATAAAGTGTTACTATGTAAAACTAGTTATAGTAAAGTTGAAACTCATATTAATATTAGAAAGACATATGGAGGTTTAATATTTATTTCCACAATGAGGAAACAGTGTAATTGAAATTATACAAAAACATAATTAACAAAGACAGAGAAACTTTGGAGATTTTTTCCTTTTGTTTTTTTTTTCTTAAAAAAGGAGACACGATTCAGATTTACTACCTAGTCCTTCAGTGCTGAGTATCATACCATGATGGAAGGCTGAGTTCTAAAAAGTGGGAGAAAATAATTTCAGATTGCTCACCAACAAGTCTGTGTTCTCTAAATACTTCTTCCAGAAAGGGCGAATTTTCCGTTGGCCTCCAATATCCCAGACATTCAGTTTCATACCATTGGAAGCCACACTTTTAATATTGAAACCCTGCAGTAGAGGAAATTAAAATGATAAAAGAATGTAGGCTCAGTGCATTTAAAACCATAATTTTACAATTCTGAACACTGAAAATATACTGTGTATCTGATTACATAAAATGTTGCTGAATACTTGAACGTTTGTTAAAACTTTCTTTGAGACTTTTTATTTTGACAGAGATTAGTTACCACCTAAATCAGTAAATTTGCTCAATTTCAACTTGCTGAACATTTGCTGAACAATTCTTAATATTTCCTACTAGTGATAGCATACTATTGTTTTTTTATTTGCACATTTATTTTGACCACTTTGGTCAGTTTATGTAAGTGGACTTGACACAATCAGACGTATTAGCAATATAACCTTTTCTTATCTCATAAAACAACCATATCCCATATTTTGTAACAAATTATTTGTAACTTGTCAACCTAGTGTTTGTCACTCTTTTCCTTTTTTGTAGAAACGAGGAGCCTCTTTAAAGTACTCTGGGATGTTTGCTGCCAGTTTAGAAACTTTGTTTTTCTATATAACTTAGGATAACAATGAATAATATGCTATGGAGTGTTTTGCATTAGAGAAACAGCCTTTGCAATACTTTAAAATCTTTAGTCCCATGGAAAAGTCTAACAGTCTGTTAGATTAGAAGGATTCATTTGTACCAATTAGGGCCTGCACAAGTTAGATGATCCAGAAGAGTTCAGAGCCAAAGAAGTGACAGGGATTAAGTGCTACTATAATAGCCAGAGTGTCCAGTTTATATTGGTGCCAATGAGGATGAGTGAAGCTGTATGAAGTGAGAGCCGAGAAAGTTTACTCAGCAATTGTTTGTGGCAAAACTGAAACACAATAATAGTAAGAAAGGGCAATTTCTTACAACCTTGGATGTTTTAGGTCACTATTTTGTATTAAATAGTGAAATTGTAATGTTGCAGCCATTGTTTCCAAATTGTTTTAGACTGCGGTACTAGTCAACGGACAGCAATTAATAAGGTATAACAACTGTCAAAGTATTGACTCCATTAATCCAAAACCTTTTTACTGTATTGAAAAGAACAATTAAATCTATGTAAAAGGTCAGGTGTTCTGGAATACACAGTTGTCTGGCTATCTTATTTGAAAAAGAAATGGTGATAAAAAAGAGATATATCATTGATAACATAACTAATTATGTAGGCTAAATTTCTTAATCAGCAAAGGTTATTATGCTTGTGAAAACATCTTAATTGCAGCTTAATATTAGAAAATAAGCCATGTTTCAAGTCTGGCACATTTTTTAGGCTTTTCACCATTGGCACCCACAACATATAATACTTGTGCCTTTAAAAAATACAGAACTACTGACCAACAGCAATCCTTTATGTGAAGCAAGCAGACCATGGACTCATTGCTCCAGGAAACAAAAAAATATCTAGGAGAACTCCTGCCCCCCAGAATGAGAAAAGTAATAAAGAAGTCCTCCAAAGACAGTGAAAAGTGATAAGCTTTTATATAAGCTTACAAGAGCCTAAGGCTCTTCAAACACAGATTGCTTTTTAATCTCATTTAAAAACAATACTGCAGAACTAATTATTCTGTGGTGAATAAAGAAATTGCCAATTCCAAGCACCATGTGCAGACATTTCTACTAGCACCTGGAACTATTGAACATTGAAACTCTAGTGTTTATTTTTTACTTTTATCTGAACTATAGCGAATTAGTGTTTTCTGCATTATCCATGTATTATATGCGATTGTATATTTCAGTCTGATTTTTAGAAATCACATTTAATTCTTTAAATAAATAAAGGTTGTATTTATTTCCACGCTAGATTAGTGATGCAACTTCTCAGGCTATTTTCTTCTTGAGTTGACCAGTATTCACACCCCAGCAACATTATCCAATTCAGAGGCAGATTTTCTCTGCCAATCTGTTACACAATTTACTTTAGTGGATCAATCTCATTTGAGGACTTGGCTCAACTTAAGGAATTTCACCTTCAGGGAAAACTAATCTGGTCCTGTATCAGGGTTCAAAACAGTTTAGGAGCCGAAAAGAGCAACACAAGGTGCCTATATGTTGAGTACAAGAGGAGCTCTAGCGCACTTATCAAGATGTACTGCTCCCTACTTTAGTAGGGAGTCACTACTGCTGGTTTTGTCTGACCTCTGCCTTACACACAAGATCTATTGCATCCATTTGAGTCTGCTTGTAAGGAGTAATTTAGCTGGTTGTATTGATTTACAGCCAATTACAACCAGAGTACAAGGGTAGTACAAAACTATTTCATGATTTTAGACAGGATGTATCAGTGACATAAAATAAAAAGATGAATGAAGTTTGAGAATGTACCTATCTACAAGACATTTCCCCCACTAGCTCAAGTTGTTCAACTTAGCTGTTAGTATTAGAGCTTTGCCTTGCTGTGATGGCAAGGCTTAAATTCAGAACAAGAAAACAATAAGGAAAGGCATCTGTCCTAATTCCAACCATAATAATTCTGCTCTTCATGTTTTATCAATTAGAAACCCTTACAGCTTTTCCACATTTACTTCATGGGTTCAGCCACACGAGTGGAGTGACCTGGGAGCCCAACTAACGTCAAATGCTCAAAATTGCTGAAACTTATCTTATAAATAATCAAGAGAAAGGATCAGCATTACAATGCAGAAATATAACACGAATGCGTTTTAATAAATATTGTCAACAATGCATATTATCTTACAGTACACCTGTATCCACAAATTTCACATTTTTATTTTTCATGATAGTACTTTAATTACAAGTAGGAAGAATTCTATAATGTTGCATAGCCTCATTATCCATTATCCCCATTACGGTCAAATTCCATTCCTGTTTCTTACCTGTGTTGGAGTGATTGTGTTCACATCTTCTGAAGCAAGCTTCTTCAGTAATGTCGTTTTCCCAGCATTGTCCAATCCCAGAAGAACTATCCTCAACTCCTGCTCAGTGGAACCTTTCAGTTTCTGAATGACAGAAAATAAACCCTAAAATAGAGTCAAAAGAGGTTACAATATTATTTTTTGATGTGAGCAGGTTGTGTAGCAGTGACCGGAATGCGATAGGAGTCTGTCAAAGAGGTATGGTGTTCGTAACCTGCTTCTAAGCTGAAAAGGATTTGGCAACCAGCACTACCCTAATGACTGACCTTGTCTGCCTGATATAACAAAATTAGGTCCGTCAGAAGTAGAGGACAGATTTGTTTAGAAATTTGAGAGTCCTGCATGCAAACAATCTTTAACAAATGCAAAATCCATGAAGAACTTCACCTAACAGTTTTTGAAAAAGTAAATTCTCTCTTTATGTGATGTATGAAATATAATATTTGCTGCAGTATATTCTAATGAAATATAAATGTACTGTAATGATGAACATAGAAGAAAGCAACAGTATGTTCTGGTTATAAAAGGCTTGTGATAAAACATTTTGTAACATTCATTTAAAAAAATAGAAGGAAAAAATGGAACACATTTGAAGCAAAGCTGTTTTTGTCTATCCATTAGCATTTAAGTTTATTTATAATGATGGAAATATTTGTTTTAAAAGGACTGGTGCAAACTGTACAGCATTACGTTTATTATTTCATCAAATAGCCTTTCCTTTCATCACTACTCCTTTCTGTTGCTTCCATAGTTATTCGTATTGCCAGAAAAGAAACCTTCACTATGGGCAGAATCAGACATGAAGCAGCCAGACAATTGAATTTAAAGACTTGAGTAAAAGTTAGTTTGTAACACAAGTTTAAGGACATTTTAGTATATATTTTAAGGACATTTCATAGATCCTTTATTACATATTAAAGAAACCTATGTCAAAATCATGTTCAGTAGGTTTACTGGATCACTGTTCATTTGAGATCAAGATACTACGACTACAGCTGCCCCCCCAGGTAAGTCCATATGGATCCAAGAGCTAAGGTGCTACAGTCCAGGGTGAGTTTTCAGATCACTGCACCTCGGGTGCAAGACAAGCTGACACAAAGCCAGCATGAGGTAAAACTGTCTGCAGAAGTCAAGGTCCAGAAGCAAGTGATTTGGACACATCAGGTTCAATCCAGAATCCTGCAGCCGGGCTCCTGGAGAAAGGGCTGTGCGGGGTGCGGGCAGGTGGACTGAGGGACTGAAATGTAGGAGAAGGAGAGGGAAGTCCAGGGAAGGCTGGTGTAGAACAGGGACAAGCCACCAAGGTCCAGAGCTGTGTTTCATTCCAGGACGCCGTGCAGGGCTGAGGGGTTCGGCACTGAAACCAGGTAGGAGACTCCCAGTCAGGGCGGTCATCCACTAGACAAGTCTGTCTCCGGGCTGGACTGGGCATGTGTTCATCAGGGGGTCATCTCTGGGGACCAGGCCGGTGTGTGCCATCAGGGTGCAATAAGGAGATGCACTTGTGACCCGGCTGAGGCAGTCGACAGCTGGGGTTTGGGTCTGAACCTGGTCTCCACCTGGACAGCACATCCATGGGTAGAGATCCCAGATGGAGCCCAAGAGGACTGGAAATCAGGAATAGGAAGGGCTCTGCTGAGATGCTGGAAGGTGGCTCAGGAGTGAAGTGGTGAACATGTCAATGCTGGATCACCAAGGAGAGACTGAGCAGGGTTAAAATACTCTCAGAGCACTGCCCTTCTCCAGCTCAGAGCAGTGATTTCAATGTCTTTTCTCTATAGTTCACAGGCCACAAATGCGGTGAGGTCAATCATGGTCTGGATGTTTGAAGTGCCAAATTATGTTTTTTTTTAAGTGTAGAATGGTAACAGTTCTGGACATGGCTATCCAGTTAACAGTGTTGAGGCAGACTATGCTTAGGTCATCTTTTTTTCCTTCCCAAATGTTGCTGCTGAGCAAATGTTACAGCTGCCTTTGTGCTTGAACATTACATTGAGCTTCTGGGCATCAGTATCTTACTCCTGTCACTATCAATTTGTTTGCAAAGGATTTGGAGAACATCTTTTACTGTTGAGAAACCCTTGTACACCAGTGGACACATATGTCTAGACAGAATGTGACCTTGATCCAACAGAATGGAGACCAAGACAGTGTAATTTGTGGTACAATTGTGTTAACCTCCATAATCCTGTTTGCCTAACACATAGGACACAGGGAAACTAACAAGCCTTCGAGGTTACTTATAGTGAATCCAGCATGAAAGGAGTCGTTATATATTTAAGCCTGTCGATGCTGACCCTATTTTGCTTATTGAACAGATTAAGTAGAAAAGGCAAGAGGCTGGACTTTAGAAACCCTCATATTGCATACACTCTACGTACAGTGCTGACCAAAATTATTCATACAACTGATGAAATAGTGGTGTTTCATATATTAATATATGACATAAACACCAAATAACAGAAACACATACAGATTGGATAGTGCGTCTTGCTAAAGCCCTCATTTTTCTGGAATTTGACAAACATGACTTTGCTCTGTGCTCTGTACTTTTTGATCTGTGGACTACTGTTATGATTATAATAGAACACTGTTGTACTTTATTAAGTGAGACACATTATCCAATCCATAAATCATTCTGCTATATGATGTTGATCTATTTCATCAGGGGTATAAATCTAGAGGGCACTGTATTATCCAGAATAATTTGTACTTGTCTATTTCAATACAAAACGACTTCTGTGTATGGGAAAGACTACTGTTTTATGTGGTGAAAAAATCAGTCAAATAAAAAATACAACAACAACAACCAGAATAATAATAATCATCAACATCATCATCATCATCATCTCCCTAATTTCCTTATAACAATACAATGGATTTTACAGTATATGATGTCATTGAAAATAGTGAAAAAGTATTTTAAGCATCAACTACAAGGAATGGATTAACTATGTATGACTGACACACTAGTACTTAACATATCATAGATATATTGTGGCCTTGTACAAAGTCCTTTGTCAGTAATAAAGGATTAATACTGGTCTTTATATAGTATTAAGACATGCAGAACACATTAACTCAGCATTCTGTGATTCAGTAATAAAGTACAAAATAAATACTTAAAGATTGTAAATATTCTTGAGTGTCGTCTAAGTGCATATGTTAACAGCAATCTGAAATTGTAGCTAAAAGTGTGTGGGTTTGCACTTGGATCTTGCTATTGTGCCCTTTCTCCTTATACCTCAAATTGCTTCCACAAACTGTACAGCAAGTTGCTTTAGATAAAATTGTCAGCCAAGTAATATATAGTATCTGTTGTTTAGATATGAGATACTCCTTGAAAATTACAGAAAATTATACTGTAATTTTATTTAATGAATTACTTTGATTAATCATTAAAATCCCATTAAGAATCAGTGAAAACTTTTGCTCATTTCAATGTTTTTTTGTGTGTAAATATAGAGCATGCAAAATAGAAAGGATAAATAGTCCCTAATGTGGACAATCATAATCAGTAGTAAGGAGTAGTAGTATTAAATTAGAATTTCAAATAATTCCGATTATTTGAAAGTTCGAAAGATCAAAACTATTGCTGGGCCCACGAGGCAGCCCTTTAGATTAGATTTCAGTTTTATGGAGTTGAGAATCTGTTAAACTGTCAAGCTTTGTAACCATTTCAGCAAACCCCAACCCCATATCCCTTCTAAAAGAGTATTACTCCCAGGTACCCACCTACCTTGAAAATATCAGGATCACACTAAATCACATAGAAAGAGACAAAACAATATTCCAAACCGCACCTTTTGCACTTCTCCCATTGTAGGTTGTTTTTGTTTTCAGCAACAGAAATGAAACGTAGCTACATTCTATTGAGGTGCCCTGGTCATCTGAATGGATTCTCTATTCCTCTGGTTACACTTGTGCAATAAGCTAAGTCTGCTGGGATTGTCTTCTCTCTTCTTGGCTCTGTGGGGGCTGGGAAGGATTAGAACTCCAGAATTAGCTGCAGTCTTCCACATATACCTCCCTCTCTTCGGCACTAAATAATTACCTGGATTATCCCTGTGCCACCTGCTGCTCTGGAAGTCATGTGGATTACCTGACATTCATGGATTTGAAAACATGTATCTCTTCTTCTTCCTTACTTTTTATCATCCCAACAGGATTGAATTTTAGTGCTATTTCAGAAATTTCAAAAATGAGAAATGATTATGTTTTGATGTAATCGTGCACCGGACTGGTCTTTTAGTGCTAATATGGCAAATATTTTGGAGCGGTGGTAGCTCAGACAGCAAGGCCATCCCAGGTAGAGGCAAGTGATGTAGCTTACTCTAATTTCTACCAGACTGCTCCCAAGTCCACTCAGCCTGCTTTCCAAATGAGGACCAGGGGTTAATCCTTCCAGGGCTAATAGGCCGGCCAGAGTGGATGCTGACCACATTACCTCCAGTGTCTGATGGTTGAGAAAAATGGTGGCCCTTGCCCCTCATTCCCCATGGGCCTATATGGCCTGAAAAGGGGACCTAACCTATGGTAAATATTTCACTGTTATAAACAGAAATTTTATTGATATTGTCCCCCCTTTGTAATGTCTACCTGTAGCAGTCAAAACAAACCTCTGTATAGGTGGCCTGAGTTTGATTGTAAAATAATCTGTAGAATGACTTGTAGGTGTCACCTGATTAAAATTAAAATTAAGATAAATTAAAATTAGTATAATATTGCTATATATTACTTTGTCTTTGTTACGAAACTAAGAAATAAACCCTAATGCGAGAGCTGGAAAATAATCCTGTAAAAGATCTTTTCTGCAATTCAAAAGGGGAAGCCAATAATCCTAAATCGACCGAGTGTGATTGCCAATTCAAAGCCGTAACTCAAGAGCCGTAGTTAAGAGGATAAAGCCAGAAATCCAAAACCGGGAGGGGTACTTGCCAAACCCGAGTCATTATCCAGAAGCCGTAGCTCAAAGGAGAAAGCCAGGAGTCCAAAAACAAGGAAAATACTTTCCAGAGCCAAGCCATAAACCAAAAGCCATAGGTCCAACAGACAAAAAGCAGTTCCAAAGCCGAAAAGGTGTAAACGAGAAAAAAGCGTAAAGCAGTAATGAAGCTCACACAGAAAACCAATACTGAGCGAGGAGGTTAGGGAAGACTGCTTAAGTATATAATGTGATGGAGGTGTGGTGGTGAATAAGTGATCAGATAGGTTGCCTAATTCAGCGTGATCTACGTCTTCTTCTGAAGCAGGGATCGTAACAGTCTTCTCTTGGGTTAGGAACCTCATTTTAAAATGCATGAAGACCAAAGCCAATATTAAAACATACTGTACAATTTAACTCATGAACAATGACCACTACCTGTCCAAATTTGCTCAAAACTTCAAAGTGTTACAAGTACATTTATGTGTGAGTTTAAAATAAACGTGTACTATATTAAAAATACTGTACATTCTATACAGTATGTAAATTTAATTCAGTTCAAACTATATTCAGTCCATATATAATAACCACCCATGTTTCACTTACCCCTTGACTCCTTATCAAATAATATTTTTAATTTCAAAATAAAAAACAGAGATACACGTTCTACATGTTATATAATTATTATAGTATACAGTATAAGTATACAATGTCTTCTATATACAACAAAATGTAATCATCCAGATACAAGCTGTCTTAGGTAAACAGTATTAATTAGTGCATATTTTCTACTGAAGTATAATTTAGGGGTAGGAACATAAAAACGCTTACAAATGAGATGTGAAATTATGGCTTGTGTAACATTACTGGTTAGATTGTTCCACACACCCATAACTCTTTGCATACATAAGTGCTTCCTGTTCTCAGTTTTAAAGTTGCATCCAGTTTGGTACACTTTTAGAATTAGCAGGAAACAGATGCTGTCATCATTCTATTTTGCAAAAACAAATTTCTAAATAAGGAGTCTTAAGTACAAAAATAGAGGGGAAACAAAATATATCATTTTAATTTGTCAACAAAACAAAAATAATGAAATCAATAAGCAACACTAGATTTCACATGATTTCATTACATTTCCAGAGTTCGTGTTTGAATTTCCAAGCAGTCTTCTGGTTTTCCATTTTCTGTATAATATGTGTGTATCTTGAAGATAAGATTATAACCAGGCCCCATATCAAGCAAATTCAAATATGTGATAAAACGTAGCATTTAACTTCTAAACGTAAAATCAGGTAACATTTTAATGGAAGCTGTTTGTAAAGTCTTCCTTTCCTGTATTGAATAGCCTTGTATACCATATACAGTAGCATGAGTAATGACTTTGGTTCAACAACTGTACAGGCAATTCTTTTACAATAGAAATAGTGTTTTTGAAACACTTTTTTTGCCTTTACCCAGTAAATGAAAAAAAAAAACATTGCCTTTTATAACAATAGTAGACTGCCCATTTTTTAAAGAGGCCCCCCACAAACATTACTGACCATTTCCTCCACAGTAGATCTAAAGATTGAGCTGCACCCAGAATTTTGCAAAAGGCCATTATAGGTCATACACTGTATAGAATGTTACAAAATTATAGAAATTTAAGTAGCGTTGGCGTAGATATGCATCTCATTTCTTTTTGTGTTTTGGGCTGTGAAGAAATACAACAGAAAATTAAAAGGTGAAGATGAAAATAAAAAAAAGGTGTTAAAGTATAATGTTACAGGCAGATACACAAATGTGTACTTCTTAATGCAAAAGCAAATGTATTGGCAAATGATCATGGATAGGTGATATTGTTTTTAAACATGGACATTAAAATTTTAAAATATGTTTTAAATGTCCATCCGATTGATCAATTGTCAGCTTGCGGCTGCATGGAGAAAAATAAGAGTGAGAGCACATTTTGAGGTGGGGGCATGCCACCTCTCATAGTTTTTTGGCATGCTGCAAGTGCCCAACAGCACAGTTGGCACCAGCTGGAGGAGTGCTGTGTGTCTCACACTGGCATCACTGTAAGCCTGCACGCACCTGGCAAGTCATGGTTTTGGCAAACTACAGACAACTGTTTCTTGCTTTTCTAAAAGTCTGTAAATATTTAGTTCTGATATTACTAGTATACAGTAGGTCACATTTATCTGTGCACTGCTACAGTATACCTTATTAATGGTGCTACATTTAGAGGGACAGCTATTTCAAAGTAGAGCAGGAACACAAAACCTTACCTCTTGATTTTTTAAGTATGCATCTCATCATGACAGCCAAGCCAAAGACAAATATCCCAGCAGCCAAGCCACACAGAAGAAGTAGTATAAAACCATCACCTGGTTGTATAATCAAAGACAAAACCATAAATAATAATAACATTATATTCTGTTTCTCTGTAAATATTATAGAACATGTTGAAAAATGTATTTAAAAAATATAAATTAAGACGTACTTACTTTTAACAGTAATATGAAGTTTATTTGAAGTCAGATTTAGACATGGTGTTTTCACAGTACAGTGGTACATTCCAGTGTAGTTTTGCAACACATTTCTTAATGTCAGATTACTTGAATTAGTAAGTTTCAAGAACTGGTCATCTTTGAACCAATAAAACAATTGAGTCACTTTAGGAACATAATTGGCACAGGACAATGTAAGGTCATTGCCTTCAGGAACTTCTGTGCTATTTGTTTTTATTTGAACAGTGTAAGCTGCAATCAGAGGTACAAAAAACACATAATAATTAGATCGATTACTTCTGTGATATGTGTACATTAAATAAAAAATTAAAGACAAATGGATTAAAATAAAGTTAAACATGCCTTCTGAGGGTGAAAATGTTCAAGAAATGGCTAACTAAAAATACAGAAAACGTGTGCTTAAACTAATTGATGAATTGTAGAATTGTGAGAGGGATGAGTAAAAGGCTTTAGTTTTACCTTTATAAAATTCAAAATACCGCGAGTCTGTGGAAAGCCATTTGTAATCAATCATTCTATTGATGAATACAGTATGCATTCAGGACAGAGCTTGAATGTATTTCCTGCCAATCACTACTCACTAGATATAGATACATTTCCAGCTTTTATTGCAAAAATACACCACCACCAACCCTATCATCACGGCCATTGCTGCAACCCAGTGGAACATTTCATAGAGGTTCTGACTGTATGTCCTTCAATACTTATTTTATAATCTCTCTCCTCTTACATACTAAAATATTTCATATTCTACAGTTATCTGTTATTTGACTTAAAACTTAAATATTTTACAATAAGTTTCAGATAATTGCAGGCCAATTATATACTGCAGAGAAGTAATCTTTAGAAATATCCCTTTTATTTCTTAATTAGTATTATTTGGGTCCATATACAATAGAAAGCATGTGTCTTAGGAATGAACACTGAGAAAAAAATACCTTTCAGGCAGTCCTTGAATATTACTGAAAAATGGAAGGAGAATATAGTTATAATACTGAAATATATTGACAATAAAAATGATATTGTTATAAAAGGCCTGATGTTAATAATAAATCTAACTTTAGAAGGATAAAAAATCTGAAAACCCAGCTGCTCAAACTGGGTCATTAATAAGCCAGGAAACAACTGAGTAATACTGTACATACTGTAGATTGAGAACTAGATAGATAAAACATAAGTTAAATTAATAGAACAAATTACTTTTCCTGGTGTTTTAGAAGTATTGACTACAAAAATAAAGAAAATAATAAAACTTGTAAGAAAAAAATACCATACGAGAACAACTTTTTAATAAGGCATGCATTATCTGCTGAAGTGCTTACCACAAAACATGTGATCTGTAAAATTATTTTCCGAGAGGCTGGGTTGTGAAACTGCAGCATCACACGTACTGTTATCTGCTTTACAGAATACATTCGTAATGTTTTCCGCCAGGGATTTGCAGGCAGCTGGAGAAACCAAATATTAAATAAATATAACACAATACAATTAAGGAACTTGAAAACATTCCGTAATCTATGAAAATTTTAAAAAGTGTAAAAAACAACAGCACTTACAGGAAGTAATGCCGTCAGGAATGTTTAAAGACACGTTGACACAGCATTGATTTATTGCCTTCAAATCAGTTTCAACTGTCAGGTATAGGAGAAAATAAAATAAAATATTCAAAACACACAATTTGCTGTCTTTTTTTTCTTTAACAATTTACGACAAACTCTTTCGATGAGATATATGATCATCGGTTCCTTGCATACTGTCACGCAGTGTTAATCAGGACCCTATGCAGACGATAGAATCCAGAAGGGAGTGTAACAAACATGCGGGAAAGAAGACTAGGAGTGGGGCTGATAGAAGAACAAGGGGGCGTGTCGACAGTGCACTGGTGCTCGGGGGGGGCGTAGCCCATGCGACAGCCCAGCGGGAGTCCGTAAGGGAAATCCAGAGTTGGAGCTAAAGTCCAGAGCCGGGTCATCCATCCAAGACAGACAAGACAAAAGTTAAAAGCCGGAGCGGGATCTGGTGAAGGGTCGGGGGAATAAAAAGGTGTAACAGGGCCAGGCGCTCCAAGCACCAAGCTCCAAGCTGCAAGACCCAGATGACCAGGACGCCGTTGCGAAGCCTTTGCCGTCGAGCCTCTCCTGGACCCACTTGTAGGAGGGCTTCCAGGCGTCCATCTTCCAATGTTGAGCCCAGAATGGTAGGAGCATCTGGCTTTTGTAGGGAGGGGCTGGATAGGAGTCAGGTGCAGGACAATCAAGCAAACAAGAAAGAGCCGGAGTGCCCTTAAGAGGAGGGACTTATGATCATAACACATACTTTAAGTACTTAAAAATGAGTGGTCAGATATCAGAATACACTGATGAAAATCCACCATTACTCCATTATAGAACTCATAGATTAATTATCCAGATTCAATTCTGGTTGTAACACAATGAAATATAATTTACTGGGGGTAATAATTAGGGTAGGTTGTTGTAAGGTATGAACTGAACTAGAGTGGCAAAGGGACCAGATAGATAATTGCTTTGACAAAATTCATCAAAGCATAACCTGATATAGGTAATAATAAATTCAAATTTGTTCCAAGGCCTTCCTCGTAGTAAAGAAGAAAATTAGGTGTTTACTAGAACAGAACTGAGAGTTAATTGCTCAGATTAAAAAGGAGTTGAACACCACTGTCAATATTTTAAAGATGCAGAATAATAGTCTTTTTGCTTTTAATTTTAAACAGGATCAGTAATTTCCTTCAGAGAGAATGAAGAATCTTTCATCGTTTCAGATTCCAGGAACTATCATCTAAAGATAGGCAAGCTTACCAAGATGGAAAGACCATCCAATACTCTGTTGGTAAAAATTGTTAATAGACGGTATGCAGCAGTTGCTGTTTACATTGCACTGTTTGCAGAGATTTAATTGATCAATGATGTCCATTTGGATACCTAGGGCAAAAAAATCACAAACATAAAATATTTCACACAGGTTAAGTTCATATTTTAAAATACAGCCTTCAAATGTGATATTGTATAAACTGCTTTCTGCAGGAATATAAACTTTTGAAAATCAGCCCTCATGAATTCTCAAGGAAAATGTATATTATGTACATATTCTGTATGTCCACCATATGTGGTGCCTCATTGTTAAATGGCTTGATTTATGTGGGATTTGGACCTCTACACTGTAAACACAGTAATAATAGCATTTAAAAATAAAAATATATAAAAGAGAAAAACGGTGACAAACCACTTACTAGAAATAAAAATCAAAACCAGCATACAAGGAAGAAGTCCACAGGGTTTCATTTTCAAAGTATAGAAGCTGCAATAAAAAAAACAGCATTTATACAGTACTCTTTTAAAAACCAATCAGTGGAAGCAGGATTAAATTTTTAGATATTACTGTATATTTCATTGTGTTGTTAACCCTGCACTGTGCCTTCCATTAGCTTTTGAACCAAATAAAAAAATAAACTGTATGCCATGTATGATCCATCCTTTATCATAAAGCTGCTGAGTTCTCATAAGAACCTGAGGTCTGTCCTAGAAGGACAGGATTGCAAAGTGAAATTATGTAGCCATATCACCCTGTAACTTACAACTGATAACCCACTGAAGCTAAGCAGGTGTGAGCCTGGTCAGTACCTGGATGTTAGACCTCCTGGGAAAAAAACACTGGAAGAGGTGTTAGTGGGGCCAGCTCTTGCCCTGTCAATACTGAAACTGTATTGCAGATACAGTCCTTAAGTTTAAATTTTATTTTGCATATAGGCTTCAGTTTTGCTTACTTTTGTTAATCTCCTGATAGAAATAAATACTGGAGAAGGTATTAGTAGGACACTATAACCCTAAAATGCAAATCTGAATGGATGATCATCAGATCTAAAACTTGTTGTCTCTAAAGCCTAAAATAAAAAGAAAATAATTCTAAAAATGAATTATTTTACAATAGGGCAACAGTACCCAATTTAGCTAAGGTGCAATGTTAAATTTAAAAACTTAAAGTAAGTCTCTTAAAATATATATTTAAAACTGAATCTGGTCTCAAAGTGTCTCAGTGGGGAGATATACAGTGATGTGGAAAAGAAAGTAATCTCCCCCTATGATCCTATGGTTTTGCATATTAAAACAGATCAGACCTTCATCTAGTCATCACCAAGTCCTTACAGTACTAATTACTTGAAATAAACTGAGTTTATCAGTTTCTTACATCACCTGGGAGGAATTCTGGCCCGTTCCTACTTACAAAACTACTTCAGCTCAGTGATTTTTAAGGGGCATTCATTCATAAACTGCTCTCTTGATTTCCCACCACAGCATTTCAATGGTGTTGAGGTGTGGACTTTGACCTGGGCATTCCATAATCCTGATTCTTTTCTGTTTCAGCTATTCAGTTGTAGATTTACTGGTGTGTTTTTGATCATTGTCCCGTTAGCTGATCCATTTTTGGCTAAGCTTTAGCTGTTGGACAGATGGTCTCAAAATACCTCTAGAATGTGCTGGTATAGAGCAGACTCAATGATTGTAAAGCTTTCAGGTCCTGTGGCTGCAAAGCAGCCACATAAATACAAAGATTTATATAAATACAACCATATTAATATTTATTCAGATCTTTACCTCAAATGGGTAAAGTGTAAACTGTAGTAGTCGGGAAAGAAAATCATTGTAAACAAGAACATACATTACCCAATTTCAGATTTAATTATACATTTACAGGGGGTATAATCCATTAAGCATTAAGTAAATTTGCATTTTGTTTCACTTGAAAAAATAAAGTTTCCACAAGTTGTAAACATGAAATACAGTAAGCATTAACCAACATCATTTATACATTGTCAGAAAAGCCATTTTATATTTACAGTAGTAATAGATAAATGATAGCAGTACATGCATTGGTTCTCAAATCAAGACAAAGGAAAAACATCTAAAAGATGAAGTGAGACAGTTACTGTACATATTTTGAAGACAGAATTCATTATATGCTTCAAATAGATTTCCTACTGAACAATTATGTTAAAAATATTTCTAAAGGCAGAAAAAATGTTTCAAAATGTAGTTATAATAATTTTAAAAGGAAATGTTGTTCTTACCTAATTTCTTTAACCTTCTCTGCTTAACATTTGGCTTCTGTGAAGGAGCAATGCCTATTGAGTGCAGTGAATTACTGCTCTCAAAGAGCAGATCATGACTTGTGCAATGACTTTTGCATGATTTTCTCTCTAAAAATGTAGAGAGATAATAATGCAAATACTTCATATTATGCACAGTGCATAGTAACATTCATACACTCCATGATGCAAATCAGTTTTTTTCCTTTAGGTATAGTCTAACTAAGATCACTTTGTTTAGTTTTTTTTTATGTTAGGTCACAAAATCCACTTTGAAACTCACTGCCATGTGTGATTTTTTGGGAGGGTGAAGGGGATATACAGTACTAAGTTTTAAGATTTGAAAAACCAGTGAGTTCAAGCAATTCCAGTTCAGTGAATGGAATGACCTGTGACATTTAAGAAAATGTCTTCCAAAGGAAATTTGGAATTGCAAACGCTTAATTAGGACACATTTTATGGTTTTTTTATGGATTTATTTGTACTTTTCTTTTTTGATGAGTGCCTTCTATCTCAAGTCTGGGGAAGCTAGATCACCGCTATCCTTGTGTTTGATATCTGAAATTAACATCACAAATATGGCCATAAGGGTAAAATAAAGCTCACAAAATCAAAAGGTTTAAAATGCCATTTAACGTATACAATTCTGAATAATTCAAGTAATTGAAGAAGGTGCTTGCTGCTTTGTTTAAATGCACTTCAAGGAGGAGACTTGCTGTAGGTGTTCCACATCTGTATTGTTTTGTCTGAAGAGCCTGTGATGTACTAAAGAACAGAAGATAAAATATAATAAGTGTATTGTCTGACTCTTCCTAGATATAAGCAAGAAGATAACTGTTTAAATTCACTTTGTGAATTAAGAACAACCATACATACTAGGACTTATACTGCTCAATACAAAGCAAATGTATTTGATCTTTAAGACACTTAAAGCATACCTTTAATAAGTGTCATCTCTGCATCACATTAATAAGGATTTGACTGAACTACTGAAATAGAAATCACAATATGTAGAAAGGTTATGAATTCTAAAGTTTAACCAGTATTTGAAAACCACATTGAAGTGTTTATCCTAATAGGTATTCTAATGTTGGCATCTTTAGTTGTTAATTCACCTGATTCCTTTCTGGGATATGTAAAACAGCACGAATGGTATCTGTGTGCCCATGACGAGACTGCACTTGTAAACATGAATCCAGGTCATACACCCTGAAAAGAAAAAAAAGTAAAATTACTACATAAATTTACATACATAAAATAATATGAGCTGAACAAAAATTAAAGATTAAAATTAATATTACAACTGCGTAAGGCTTATTCCTTTTATTTAGTTCTAGTCTCACTTGGGGAGGAGAAATTATCTCAGAACGGCTGTTTATACTGAATGAGAATTTTCACTACTGAAAGTCTTTGTACTGAGTCTTTGCTTAGGATCTGAAAGATCCTAAAAGATTCTTACATCCCTGATGAAGACTCCACAGCCGAAATGTTGTCTTTTCTTTTCCTTTCCGTTTTTTCAATAAACCTTTACCTCTTCCTTTGCAGCTTATGCATACTGATGCAGCTATCTGCTTCAACTTCCATATATATATATTTATTCTTTCATTTTACCAGGTAAATTATTTGCAAACAATTTATGATTTACAATAATGATGACCTGTAGACAAATTTTAAGTGTAATACCCCGTTTAAGGCTACAACAGCATCATCCCAATTCAATGTCTCTATCTCAGAGATTTGTGAGTTAAAATGATTGTGCTCCATATACAGCTGTTCAACATCTTAAAGAAGGTTTAGAGAAGATCCTCTAGCAACAGTGAAAACTCCGACTCCAGTCACTACAGAGCACCTTTTTTTATATATCAGGTGTAGCCTATAAGGTACCTTAACACGTTTAGTACTCCAGCCAAGATACAGCCATTGAAATGGTCAAAGGCAAGGCAGCCTACAGCTCCATTTGTGAATAAGATGTTTTCACATTGCATGCCATTTTCACTCTGAAAGAAAAAAACACTCTGAAAGATTCCAATAACTATGGTTAAATATTTAAAGTGTCTTTAAGTTAAAGTTCTGTTATACACATAATTTTCATTTTACATGTTGCAGATGCAACACAAATAGGAAGTCTAGTTCTTGATTATGATTTTTTTCCCTATCTGCGGAATATGTTGTTAATAACAGATCATGAAACTCCTTAATCTTAGCTAGGATACATTAATACTGTCTGTGTATTTGCCCTTGTGCTGAAATGGAAACTTTGTTGAACTAAAGAGAGTGGGAATCAAATTCAAACAAATTAGCTTGGAGAACAATTGCTCTGCATGTTTTTGTAATGCTATGTGTTGAACTGTGGTATAACAGATGACTTTCCACACAGAACAATGGCAGTTCTGTGTAAAGAAAGTTCTGTGACAGGTGAATGGATAAATTCAGTCTTATTTTGAAATAATCATATCATAACTTTGGAGAATCAAGTCCTTTAACTGCTTGATTTCAGAAGGGAGTGTTAGTGCCAAAATATTATTGATATTACTGGCACAGCATAAAATGCTTTCAGTGTCATCTGGGTTTTCAGAAATTGAATAAGACCTATACTGTGAATCTGCCATGTAGTTTAAAATGAAATTAGAGTTAAAATATATGTTCATCTTTTAACTGAAGGAAAAGCTATTGGAGTAAAATGATCTAAAAGGGAAAAAACACTTCACTCATCAACTTGTATACCTATTGTGAGACTGACATACTGTATGCACTCAGTAATTCTGACCAGTTCTCAAACACATTTGCTTTTCTTCTGTATCTATAGAGTAGCAACATCCCATCTCGTACCCATATACGTATGGTGCTGTCCTCTGAGCCGCTGATCCACTGACTTCGACTGTGGTGCCATATGACAGCAGTGACATCACTCTCGTGCCCCCGCATCACATTGATTAGCTTCATCTCTCTGCCCACAGGGCTGAACTGGCGCAAGTAGATAAGCCCATCGCTGGAGGAGTGAGCAAACTCATTCCTGAAAAATTCAAGGAACAATGAAGGGGCAGTACAGGTATTTGCTTTAACCTCTTAATGAGTTTCATGATTTAAGACTTTTTCGACAAGCTTATTATCTTATTAGCATTTCTTTTCCTGCAGTATGGAAAAATAATGACTTATTCACTCTTAGTCACCCTGCTTGCTCTTTGTCATCCTGCATGATCAGGGTGCCCACAATGATACATTTCAGTATTTTTAGTTAGAAATTTGCATTCCATGGTTTATTTCAAATGTATTTTTTAAATCTGATTATTTTTCTGAATTATAATCCTATATTTAATTAAAGTAGGTAGCTGTGTCAGCAGGAAGGCTGAAGAAGGCTCCACAGCTGAAACGGTGTGTTTCTTTTCTTCTTTTCAGATTGGAATAAACCATTACATTTTCCTTATTAAATTAAATTCTTCAAACTGTGTAATATATCCACTAAACAATTGTCTAAGTGGAGAGCTTTCCAGAATTATTTATGTTAAAAATGAACAACACAGTGCAATTACAAAAATCATTAACAGTGATATTAAAACAGGTGAGTATCCAGGCAACTTCGTAAATATATATGGTATGTTAATACTGTATACAGTATATTAAGAAATGTTTCATATCAGCTTTAGATGAGGTCTATAATACATTATTGTGATAACCACAGAAATTCAGAAATTCCTCCATGTCTTTTCTATGAAGATGTGGGGGCATGTGATTCCAGTATTTAACAACCGTGTTAGTCAAATATTTCAGGATAGTGCACATTTCATGCATTTTTATAAAGTAATTAGCTGAGGGGAATTTCCAGCTCCTCATCACAAGGAGATTTCTGAGAGCTCCATTGCTATCCTTCCTGTTTGTGGAAGCACTGAGCATACACTAAACCCCCTAGGACTTTCAGAGAAAAAAAAAACAATACAGCCTTTTTTAAAACCTTACTTTATTGTGTTGTCATAAAGGGTGCTAATATACATATTCAAAGGCATTATGTAAATAGGGACCAGGGACTAGACATATTTTTCCTGATATGTCTTTACGTGTTACCAGAAAATGGTGAAAGTTTATGATAAACAAAAAGGAAGACAAAACTAATGCAAGCACAGCATATTCTTAAAAGACACCCTCTTAATATATCTCTTGAAGTTAAAAAAATCAAGTGACTTACTGTACTTTATAAGTGAACGTTAAAGACAAAAGGAGGCTATACACCCATTTTAGATCATTGAATAAGGATTCATTTTAAGACATGCATTTTCTTTCAAGACATGTTTCATTAAACTTTTTCTTGAATAATCCTGGTGAAATTCCACCTTTTGCAATCTGCAACATACATGTAATTTATTATGTTTATTTCATCTCCTTGGAAATTTCATTTCCATTTATGCACCCTGATCCCTAACAGCTCAGCATGTTATTGTCATTTTGAACAGAGTCCAGATCAAGTCTTTTCAGCTTTTCACTAAGCTAATCATGACAGACTACAGTAAAAACAAAACATTTCTATAAAGAAGTGCAGCTGTTTTCCGCTTTTTAGCAGTACACTTGATCCTTATTTCTTTTGTTATTTATTTTTTTCACTGCTCAGCACTGCTTTAAAATTATTTGGTGAGTGGTCTCTTGGATCCTAACATTCTAGATTTTCTGCAACACTGATATGAGGTTTGTCAAAGAACTAACATATTAAACAATGCAAAACGAATTTCTCCATTTTCTTTACATTCAGTCATACTAGAAAAACTTATATTTAATAATAATAATAATAATAATAATAATAATAATAATAACATCAATTTATTAACCCTTTACAATTTCTTGCATTAGGAATTTGTCCTTTCGCATACCCCAGCTTGCTCTCCATGAGACACACAGATACAGAGATTTAACACTTGTACAAAGATTCTTGGTGAATTTTAATCTATTTAGAAATTATCTTCCCAATGGAAGAGAGAAGGAAACCAGGGGGCAGAACCACATTTAATTTAATTAACTTGTTGTAAACTTCATTAATGAAAAGAAAATAAATGACAATGCAACAGTTCAGATTAGGCCTTAACTATAATTGTTTGCTGTTTTCAAAACAAAACAAAAGTGATATACTGTACCTCTTTGGGGAATAGGCCAGGTCTAAAATGGCTCCATCACATGCCACCTCCTTAAACTCATGCCAGTTCTCTAAGTCAGCATTGCTGAAGGTGTCCTGCAGAACACCTTTCTTTAAATCCCAGACACAGAGTCTTCTGTCCCAGCCTCCGCTGATCTGCCAGGAGATTAACTTTAGTGTGAAAGGCAGGGAAATCAGAGTTACACCAACAGTGTTCCTGTTATGCTGCAGCTCCTGAAATAACAGATCCTTGGTGTGTGACAGGCCGACTCTAAGTGCAGGATTTCAGAGAAGAAAAAACGTGGGTGTTAGCTGCAGTGGAGAGGCTGGAGATCAGGCCCTTAGTGAGTGTGAAAAAATCTGGCAGTGGAAAATGCTGGGGGGCAGAAGCTTTGGAGGTGACAACGATTCGAAAGAAGCAAGAAAAACAATTCATGCCAGAAGAGAATACAGAAAGGATGACGTGACCCTGGTCATCCAGTGCCTAAAGATTTAGAAAGCAGAAAGAGCATAAAGTGAAAGCGAAAACAAGCACTGTTAGCTCTAGGTCAATGTCAGAGCACTGAATAAGTGGTGGAAAAAAAATGTAATATCCTGCTGAATTGCCTGATTGATTGTAAAATAACCATCTGATTGAAAGACAGGAAGTCTTTGAGAAATGCATCCCGACCACATTCGCAGGGGTCAGAAGGAGGCTGAGAGTTCTGGTTTCCCAGGGTAATGTTGGGAAGCGAGCTGCCCCAGCCCCAGTTCCTACTGCTACAATTGCATTCCTAGAATTGTTCTACTATAAATGCTACTACTATCGTAATAATGAAAATCAACCCAATTCAAATGTCAGACAGAAATCATACCCAACTGTAGTTTAAAAATATATTAGGTTATTGGATCATATGATCCAAATCATTTTTGTAGTGCCAATCTGTAAACCAATTCTTTCAGTGCAGCTTTCTGAACCAGCATAAGATAAAGGGTACATATACTATGACTATTTAATGATTATGAACTTTGCAAATGTAGTTTTATGTGCTTAATTTTATTTGGACCAAATATCCCCTTTTGCACTTTCTTTGGGAAACAGAATTCATCATGTAATACTTATTCAAAATCAGTCTTACCAAGAATACAGTGTTATAAGGACTTCCTTTGCCAACCACTGCAAGTGCAGAGACAGACTGAAAGTGTCCAAGCAAAACCTTCTTACAGCTAAATCCTGCAACAATCATAGGGAACAAAAATGGTCTTACTATCACATACTGCATGCAGATGCCCACCAGACCACCCACAATGGTAATTCTTGCCTGAGACTCGGTTAGTTGCAGCATCAGGATTATCCTCCTCCCCTGAAGAGTCTTTGCTCTGTGACTCACTGGCTTGGTCCAGCAGGAAATGGAACTTCTGTGAAGAGAGCAGACACAGTAAGAAAGGAAAGAGATAGCAGCACACTTCCCACTAAACCTAGGGTAGTTATGAACTCCAAGTATAATTTCTGCAATTTTCAACTTTTAAACATACATTGAACAGTTGAGACATTGTTTTTGTGTCAGTGTTTTAAACTGTGAGTTTCTGAAGCTAACTGTCTGTAAAACCCATACTTAAATATGTTTTGCATCTCACATTGAAAGCAAAGCAGTTATCAATTTTTAAGCAAATTCATATTTTTAAAGCACATAAACTGCACCTCCCATCCTTCTCTAACCACTTCTTCCAATTCAGGTTGCAGGGGAGCAGCAAGTAATGAGCGCAACCCAGGGTACACTTTCAACATCAAAATGTAGTTATTGAATTTCACTTCCTTGCATCATCATTATTCACTATGTTTCTTTCTCATTACTGACAAGTGGTGGCATAATGCAAATGTAATATTATATAAAAAAGCCAGTTGGGGACTTTCAAGTAAAAATAAACGTTGTTGGCATGATGATAAGTTTCATAATGGTGTGCTCATCCACTGTTGTTGAATCAAAATCTTATCATAAGATCTTATCACAAGGAGAAGAAAAGCAAATTCATGCCTTTCTTGTTTCTGGGCAGACACTGGACTGATTTGGCATCAGCTTGACAATGCTGGAGAGGGAGTCATCAAAGCCCCAGAGATAAACTCTACCATTCTCAGAGGACAGAGCAAGCAGATCCAACTCTTCAACAAACACACTCCTTTAATAAAGCAAAAACAAATGAGTGACTGACAGACAACTTCATTTGTGGAGTACTGCAACAAAACACCAAACACAACTTGTTGGAACAGCAGGTCTTATGGTTTTTATCTCAATCATTTGTGATAAGTGATTGCAAAATGAAAGACCAAATATAAAATATATATGAAGTACCAATATATTAAATTGATTGAAAAAAAATAAATTTAGGTATGACACAACAGCTGATCTGTTTGAACTGTATTTCAAACTGTATAAACAGTAGGGTTATATTTTATACTGTATGTATTAGGTTCTAATGATCAGTACTTCTGTTTTAAAGAAGAGTTACCAAAGAACCTTGTAAAACTTGATGGCTCATTCTGCTTGTCTTGAACCATGGTGCCATCTGATGATTTGCTTCTCCTCAATTTTGCTCCAGGACTTTTTTCACCAGCATTTGTATTCTTCTTCGGTTTTAAACTGTGTGACTGGCTTTTAGCTTTCTGGACGTGTTCACATATCTTGAAGGACTCTTTACTGAAATAAAATGGAGAAGTAGCTTAATTTAGAAATGACGGGAACTTGTAAACTGAAGCATAATGGCAGGTTCTGTGTCAAAAGGTCCGATAGTAGCAATGACATGATGCATTGAGAAGTTTATTTACAGAATGATGTTTCTTTTGAAAATTATAATATTTCTTGATAGTATCGTATCGTTTATACACAGGGTTCACCCGTAAAACCCAAAGTAAATAAACATAACATTAACATTTAGCATTAAACAATTTTACATTAATTTTACATGATTGATTATTTATTTGAATTATAAACTCCACAAAAAGCCATAAAAACCTTAACTATGCTTTGATAGTAGTTTCTAAAATTGTTCTTAGCACTGATGCAAATAAGTGGAATAATTGTCTCACAGCATTCAATACGTGTTCATTAATAACCTGTAAATATAATTAGAGGAATTCATCCTTTCCCATTTTGTCACACTCCCATCACTGTGGCCACTGAAGAGCAGAATGGGCTTTTTCATTGCTGTATAAATTAATAAAAAAAGAGTGTTTATGTAAAAATAATTAGAAATAGAAACTGAAAAAAGTATTATTAATGTTTAGTATCTGCAGGCTTTACATTTCAGCAGATTAAACATGTTTGCATATATTGAGGTCAAGATAATCAACTACATCAGATTTGAGAAGATATTTAGAAACCTCTTCTGGTTAAAGGCATATTCAAATACAAGCATGTGAATAAAGTTTTTTTTATCATTTGAAGATCTTCTAAAATGAATGTGCCCTCTAATGAAATGACCAAGCCTTTCTTCTGAGGGTTAATTTAACTTATGAGCAATAATTAGCATTTTACTCTGATTATGTTTTCGTGATTAAACCACTGGTTGTGAAGCTTTCCTTTTTATTTTTGAATATAATAACATCATAAAAATTAAAAATGAAAGCAAAGTGATATCCACTCAGGTTTTTAAAATGTTTATTATAGAATGTCATCATTGTATTGGCCCCATTGCATAAAAGAAAGTATTACTGCAAGAAAGAAATGTTTTTTTTTTCTTCTATCCATGTTCATTCATGACTTTCGGAGTATTTTGATTTCTTTTGAGACCTCTGAAGTGTTAAGAACAATTCTTAACTTAATCGAGATGCAGCAGTGCTGTTCATCTGTGGATTTCTTTAGTTTTTTGTTTCATAATCAGCAGGCATGACACATTTAGACTTGGCAAATACTTACTGTAAGCCAGACAATCCACAGACTGTCTGTTCTGAAGGACAGTGGTGCTCCTGGCTTTTTTCCATTTCCATACTATCACATGGTTGTGGCCTGCAGTGCCTAAGAAACACAGGATACTGTTAGAGCTTAGAATGTACACAATCCAGCTCACCAAGAACAGGATTGTAGAACTGGTGGACCAGTGGACTAACAACTGCCCATGTACCTAATGTGGACTCATATTTAATCATGAAATACAGTGATTGCTGTTAGTACTACATAATACACAACATACTAACTCTAAAACTAGTATATACAATTTAGGATATTATAACACAGTGATAAATAACATTGATATTAGTTCATCACCTACTCTCGTGGCTTGACAGACAAGATGATTATAGCTCAAATGCCATGTACTGTGTATACCCTGGTCTGCATTTTATGTAGGGCCCACATAATGTTTTATTCAATAAGGTCTCTCGACTGACGAACTATATAGGGAGAAAATTACACTGCTGCTGTGTCTTAAATCTCTGCAAAAGTGTTTCTTCCTCTTCTACAGTATCTCTTTCTCTGTACGTTCACTGTCTACTTTTTGAAATGGCGGCTTTCATCAAGAAAGTGAAACCTGCTTGTCATATGAATCATCTATCCCCACCCCTTCCATCTTCTTGTGTGCCTTTAACAATTTGTTTAGTTCAAAAACATTTTTATTTCAATATAAAATAGCATTAAAATATCCTCTATTTGTTCAGCACAGCAGCTCAAGTTTTTATTTGATATAGTATACTCTATACATTGACTCTCCACACTGGTTAGATCAGTTTGTGGAGATGATTTCGTTTGCTTTCCTAGCAAGACACCAAATATTAAAAGTTTCTCCTTATGCGATGGCATACAGTAATTCCCTTACCAACAACAGAGTTATTTTCTGCTAAGTATAAAAGTCGTTCAAGCCTGGGCCCAGTTTCTATCTTTTGGAAGGTATCAATAAAATCAGACGCCTTAAGCACAAGAGAAAAAGAGAACAGGTTTAATTATTAGCTGAACTTTAAAAGGCATACTGTAGACACTTATAAATAATAGATTTTAATTGTTAAGTGCAAGTTATGAATTGAGTTTTGTTCCATAAACTTTTTTAAAACAAGCTAATAAATGAGAAAAATAACTACCAGAAGCTGTAGAAACATTTTCTACCTGGAAACTGGCAGAAGATAATTGTATTTACTGTAGATTTATATTACCAAATTAACTCTCTCAATCATTAACATTATCAATCATTCAAACATTCTCGACATCTCAATCATATGTTTTGTAAATAATTACAATATATGCCTTAAACTAGACTTTGCTCTTTATACAGTATGTATGTAATTCATAAATGCAATTGGAACCCAATTGATGTTTTTGCCTGTTTTACTTGGGTTACATAGAAGAAAGATGTGGGGAAGGTAATCTATGCAGCTTTATGAATGCAGGCCAGAAAATCATAATGCTTGTGTTTTGTTACACAAAAATGACTGACAACTTTATCATCATCTTGCAATGTCTGTTTCTTTTATTTTTCCACTTACAATCTCTCCAGATTTGGGTTCCAGCAGGGTGGCGAATGGTGACCTACAGGCAATCCACACAAGGTCAACGCAGGATGCGTAACACAGCCCTGTGATCACTCCAGAGAAGCTCAGCTTCTGAATGAGCTGCCCGTCCTGGGACCATATACACACGGCATTGTCAAAGGAACCTGTCAGCAGGCTGAAGTGCACAGTGAGCACAGCATTTAGGAGAGGCCTTTCTAGAGGGAGCAAAACTTTCATTTGACATAGACAGTAAAATTTGTAAGAATATTTCAAGAAGGTAAGGCATGTGAGATTTATATAACTAGATGTGCAGTTTAGGAGACATTAACAGGGCAGTGGTAGAGGTGAAGAGAGCTTGCATGGTTGAGGCTAATGAGCAATATGAAAGGGTTAATAGGTTAATAAAGTAATTAGTGAGATTGGTGCAAATGTGTGCACATACAGTAGGTTAAGTGCACACATTTGCACATGCAGCTACATTGCTCTGTTCCTAAGCGCATGTTTTGAATATCTCTCTCGTTACTTTATTATTACAATCACCATTGTTTATATTACTACTTATAGTATTATTAACATTACTAATAGAATATTTGATTATATTAAAATTAGTAATATTTGTATTATTACCATTACTACAGCCCAGCAGCTACTGTATATCACCCTGCAGCTCTCAACTGGCTACTCACTAAAGGTAAGCGGGGTTGAGCCTGGTCAGTACCTGGATGGGAGACCTCCTGGGAAGCTATGGTTGTCTTTCGGATGAGACGTTAAACCGAGGTCCTGACTCTCAGTGGTCACTAAAGATGCCCGGGCAGTTCTCGATGAGAGTAGGGAGTTATCCTGGTGTCCGGGCCACATTTTCCCCCTCAGCCTTTTTCCATGGCCTCCAAATGGTCCCCATGTATGATTGGCTTGCACTCGCCCTACGATGGACTGGTGCCCCGTCCAGGGTGTACCCTGCCTTGCGATCGTTGCCGGGTAGGCTCCGGCTCCCCATGACACCGTATGGTATAAAGTAGTTTGGCAAATGACACGACTATAACTATAACTAAGCTCCCCTTGCCACTACTTCTGCCCTGTTACAGAGACATACTATCATCACACACCTGAAGAAGGCCGAAACGTTGTGTTCTCTTTCTTTTTTTTTCAGCATGGAATAAACCTATTACTTGTTCCTTTGCATACTATCATGTCAAGTACATCAAAGTATAGCAAATGTATTTCTACATTTGTGCTTATGTGAAATGCATAACAAATGGGGGTAACATGCATACAGTTTAATTAAAACTCTGGCCTTCTGAAATCAACCTGTGTGTTTCACCTCTGTGTTGAGTATCTCTCACCGCGTGTTCTCGCTCTCCTTTACTAGCAGCAAAGCTGTGATGCCAGCCTCATGGGCGCTGGAGTTACACTGCACTGCTGTCAGCCCGTTCTCTTTGGGGTAGGAGCTGGTGTCAAAGACGATAAACCTTCTGTCATAGCTGCCGAAACAGAATGGGGGGTTGGTGGTTTCAATCAGCGGCTTCCAGATGGAAATGTTCTTGGATCATTATGCAAGGCTGTGTTCTGCCTAGACAAAGCCACCTCACACAGAGGAATGTGAAAATCTTTTCAATGCTAATTGTGTTCACTGAAAGCACCAGGCAGATGGTAGGGTTTGTTGGTGTCATGGAGTCACAACAAACAAGTGATCTCCTGCACACCAATAAAAACCTGCATAACCCTTTCAAATGAACTTTTTACAGTATACTGTACTATGGTTTCAGCATTTATCTGTTTTGATTCTCATTTTTGTTAATGAAAAAAGTGATACTTGTGTCTCAGAGGGATGTACAGTACAGTATATACAGTACAGTACGTATTTTCATCCATTCATTCTGGGATCAGTACCTTTACAAAAAAGTCAAAATCAAGTACTCTCCAGAAGCCAGTGGCATACCTGTAGCACTTTGTGCTGCTTTTTCATGAAGTTAACATTAAAGCCCTAAGCAACATTAGTATCCAGATTCCAGATTCCATCAAAGCTAATGAAGTCCTCATAGTGGAAATACCATTGTTTTTTCATATTTAAGTCCTGTACTTTGAGACAATAATATCAATGATATTTTTAATGCAAAGTAAATATTTCTTGCTCATCTCTTTCTTGTCCATTTTGTTTTCTCCTTTCTTTTTTTCAAAATAACATTTTTTTTAATTAACATATCCCAGTGATAAAGAAGTGCAGCATCAGTCTATAGGGTTATATAACTCAACTGGACATCCATATCATTGTACATACCCGCCCGTGTAAATCTGAGCATCATGGCACACTATGCAGGACACGATATCCTTGTGTCTGCGGTCAGTGGAGCTCTCTGACATCCTAATGATATGGCCAGAAGTCCTGTTCTCATCCAAAGGGTAGACAACGATCCTACTCTTAAAACCACACACCAGCTGATGTCGACGGAGATTAATAGCCATGGAGAAAACAGGCCTGCCCATCTAAAGGAAGTGTAGACCTTTGTCAGATTGAAGTGCAACAGATACACATGGGAAAACAGGAATAGTTAACAACGGTATCTCGGACACTGCAGGACTCTGCAGCTTCATTGGGAAAAAACAATGTTTCTAAATACTTTGATGATTACGTTGATGAAACTAAGACAAAATCAGGGTTTAAAACTGTTTAAAGTTAAATAGTCATTGTGCAATAAGTATACCTGCCAATCTGCTGTATAGTTTCCTGAGACATTCTCAACAGCTCAACAGTGAAATATTCTTGCATTATCCTCTTCCTCCTCCTCATCTTAAAAAAGTAATAATGAACATACTGGAGCACTATGTGGAATTGTAGGACAATAACGCATTCCCTGCCCAAAACAAAGACATGTGCTCTCATCCTACCTTCAGCTCAGGTGGGTAAAGAAACAAAGAAAAAAAAAATCAAATGTTTTTAATAAACCTATAAATTGATTTTGATTCTAAATTATTACAAGTTTACATTCTCTGTGGTATATTTATAATCAGATTTCTACTGTACTCATCAAATGGGTAATTTATTTACATAAAACCAGGACAAGAAACAGCAACAAGAGTGAGTAAAAGATCTCAAATGGTTTAGCCTGGAACAGAGTTCTTGTCCTGTTTGCAACTTTCATATATTGTCATTTTCTAAGTAGTGTACAGTGAAAACAGTGAATAGCTGGCAAGACACATTTTCTGTGAATCTTGATTTTCTTCCAATTCTGAAGAAATTATCTTACATACATTAGCCACTTGATGGCAGCATCTGCTTTTGTGCTTTGGTAAGCTGACGAATGAAAAAAGGTTATGCCTAAGTGATAAATAAATAGACATCTAATTACTGCTGATGTCTGATCAATGTTTGGAGTTGTACACATTGTTCCTGAATTTAGATAGTAAAATAGACCAATTCCAGACTTAACTATGTCTGTTATGAGCAGACTTTACAGTAATATTATCTCTATTTAAAGGAAACTGTGTGAGAGAATAGTAAGGCTTAACATTAAAATTAGTATTAGATTAATCATAGGTCCTGAAATATTAATCTAATTTTTCTCTGGGACTCACTAAAAGCAAAGGTACAAGATCAAATACTTATAGATTTTTCTGTCCTGTTACAATAACAAGTAACTATTTAAAATGCATGCCATTTTAAAGTTTTCAGGCACTTTTTCTTCAGCACCCATGTTAAATTTAATCTGTTCAGGAAATCTATTTTTTTTAACAGCTGCTATAAAAGAGTGATAGTGTTTAATTCCTTCCACCAAGCTCGGAAATAAAATAACAAATCTAACATATAAACTCTTGTCCTTGTACAATAAACAGACAAAAGAGCCAGATTCAACAGGAAACAGATCTGTTGTTTTTAACAGATTTTACACATAGGGCACATGTGTATTGCTTGTCATTTTGATTGCAGTATGTCTAAAACCTTTGATTAAAATTATGTCTTGAATGTTAGAATGGCAACTGACAAAATAACTTAAGATGTCAAGAAATAATTGTGCCATCAGTGAAAAACACACATACTGTAGATTAACTTTAATATATTTACTTATTTTTCAGTTCTATTTTGTGTGGTATCTAATGCTTAAATATCGGCTCTTCTGATCTGAAATTATTCATTTCTGTATTTTTTTTATCTAGCATTGTAGTCCTATAAGCTACAATTCCAATAATATTAATCCTCCCAAGCTGTTGCTATACTGTTTTTTCCAAGACAGAGGAGTTGGTCCTGCTTTGCCACTCCTCTGAGCTTTGGTTGTATATTAGCCCTCCCCAGTGAGCTTCCCATTGCACTGAGGAAGAGCTCCAACAAAACAACCAGTCATTTAGAAAGATGGTAGTACAATAATCATTTATATGCAATGTGAGAGAGACTTAAATGATTATCTTATCTGATTTTGTCAATCTTGGAAATAAATCTTTTTTTTTAGAGAATTTTTTTTTTGTTTTACTGCTAGAGATACATGTTCATACCAGGCTCAAAAAGCAATATACTGTAACGCACTGAAGGAAGGAAGAAAAGGATTGTATTCGGTATCACATTGTGTTCGACAACCAATTTCTTTAAACAAATCGGCACTGGTACTTTTTGTGTCATAAAGTGAGTTGGAAATTGATATCCTGTTCCTACCTCTATCTTGTCATATATGGTGGCACCTGTGGTCCATGCAAGTACAGTTCCATCATTTGATGCAGAAAGGAGGAGCTTTGCTTCTTCCCAGTATAGGAAACTGGTGACCATTCCAGAATGCTTGGCAGCTTTGATGGATAGTTTTCCACTTTCTATATCCCACCATTTAATAACTCCATCTCAACAGAAAGACACAAAACCCAATATCAGATGAGATATGACTCTTAATTCATTTTCAGCCAATATGTTATGGAAGCAGTATATAGCTCTAAAGAATGGGAAAGTGTTCTTGCTCTGCAGGTTCACACTGCAAACCAGCCCAGCACAAGGTGAAACTCTTGATGGACCAGACCATTCAGAGCTTTTAGAGCTGAGCAAGTACATTTTCTTATTTTTGCCTTTGTCTTCCTCTGCAATTATTATCCAGCTATTCTTTAACAGCTCATGAAAGGGGAACTGCAACACTATTTTTATTTTTATGAGTGCATTTCAAGCCACAATAAAAAATAAAAATATAAAATGCTCTCGACTCTGAGTTTGTTTGTTTTTTCTTCTTTTTCTATCCCACCTCCACCCTTCCAAATTTGGAGGACTTCTCTATTCTTATTTTTTTTTCCTCTTTCTCTTTCTCACTCTTTATTTGTTTTTCTTTTCTTTTTTTCTTATTTGACAAAAATATAAAAACTTACTTTCACAAAAAAATAATTAAAACTCAACAAGAAAAAAAAAAGATTAATTCAAAAACTTCCTACTGATATTCTTAACATCCAATGCCATTCAAATATTTCTCTAACAGACCCCAAACATTCTTATACTCATTAAGTTACCCCTGTAAATTATATGAAATCTTTTCAAATTTAACTTGTTATACAGCCTCTTTAATCCGTTCTTTGCACACCAGTCCTGTACTGTCCACCCATTTTAGCAATATTATTTTTGTAGCAATAATACAGAGAGTCAAGAAAGTATTTTTATATTGAATTGCTGCTTTACCTTTGATTAATCACCAAGGATACATATAATGGGAGTAAGTGGAACTGAGGTATTTAGGTACTTGAGTGCTTTCCCCGCTGTGGAGGTCCAAAATGACTGTATGTGCTGACAATACCATAATAAGTGCAATAGTGATCCTTTATGTGTGTTATATTTTGAACACATTCCTGTATTATGCCACTTTATCTTTTTTAATTTTTCTGGGGTATAATAAAGTCTATTTAAAATGTTGTACTGAAGCAATTTGTATTATTAAACAGCTTTCTTGTATTATCTGAATATCTATTTTTCATAAGTCCTGTTTGATCCTGATGTATGATTATTGGTAGCATCTTACCTAACTGATTAGCAAGTATTTTAGCTAGAATTTTATTGTCCATATTCATTACGCTAATGGGGCGGTAACTACTACACAATGATGGATCTTTACCCTTCTTATATACAAGGGGTATTAGAGACTCCCGAAATGATAGTGAAGTCATATCTGTTAACCAAATATTATTAAATGTTTGCAGTCAGATTGGATTAAGTATGGGCTGAAATATCTGGTAGAACTCAGCTGTATACCCATTGGGTCCAGGTGATTTATTGTGTGAAAAGGAGGCAATAGCTTCTTTAACTTTAAGTTACTGATATGGCTCTAGCAGCTTTGCTGTATAAATATAAAAATACATTTTCTTCCTCGAACTGTAAGGCTAAGAGTTAACGTCTAAATCTTTTGCATGCATTCATGGAAAATACAAATGTACCATCATGAACCATAATATTTAGACAACAGGGAACATCACTGATAAACTGCCATGGTGCTTTGACACTGTGGACCACATCGCTTACCAGCACAGCCGGTGATGACCTCTCTCCTTGAGGGGTGGTACCCCAGAGCTGTGATGGGGCGACAGGCACCATCCCTGATCGACAGTTGTTTCTGCATGGACATCACTGATGAGATGTTATGAGGTGTTCACACTAGGATCTATCCTCAGGTACTAGAATTCAGATAGGAATAACAATGACAGTGACACTACTGATCTATCTCTGCTGCCACTACCAAACATAATAATAGAATTGTAAAATTGGCATTTTCACATTATAAACCACACACAGATAAAGAAGCCTATGCTGCATTCAGAAAGAAAATACAAATTTAAAATGTAAGTGTGTAGACTTAAAGTTTTATATAGTTATTATTTAGCATATTTCAAAATTGAAATGCAATATATTGTCCTTCTGATGTTCCCCAAATTAATGCCAAAGTCTGCCAATTTGTTTCCTTTGTAATTGTTGTCAACTTCTCCTTCCTCTTAAGTAAGAAACAAACAACAGTAAGAAAGTTCCTGACACCTGTAATTATTCTCCTTTATATCTTGTTTGGTTATGCTTTCCAGGAAAACCTAAATGGTGTCTGAATTAAATACTGTACATTCAAATGCCATCTGTCTGGATTATTTGTACAAGACAGGCAGATAGCTACGAAACCTGTAAGAGGTTAAATGTTATGGTCTTCACAGTGATGCAATCTCTTGTTTTTTTTTTAAACTAGTCGTCCATTCAAGCTACTTTTTAAGTTTCCTAATCTGAAAATATTGTCCCCCCTAAGGTAGACACAGAATGGAAACAAGGCAGGTAATTTAATATTATATTATTACTGCAGTGGCTTTATTCGGTAAACATTACACTTGCCATGTTGCCCCTAACAACCACAACACCATTTATTTTGATTACTTCTTTAACAGCTTGAAAAGAAGGAGTGTAAATGAAGTTTTTGGTGGGTGGAATAACTGCTAGAAGAAAAATGCTGTACTCCACTGACTAACACTGTTCGTTTCTCAGCAATGCAAAGTATAACAAAGCATTCAGCACCTTACAAGAGTCTTCTGTTATTCTCTTTAGTAATTATAAACTGCTTGAAAATTATAAGCATCACAGCTCATCTCAACCAGTCATCTTTCAAGTGGAGTGGACATTGCTGAACACCAAAGCAACTGTTGCTTTTTTTTCCCTCTCTTAAAGAGTTCATGCAAAAAAAAAATCAAAACAGTTTCACGCTGATCAGCAGTACTGTCAAAAATTCTGTTTAATGATGAAAAAATGTTTTTGTACAAAACAAATTGGAACCTTGTCATCCTGTAAACACAGCTGCATGAGGCTCCACTTAGCAATCAAATACCACAAAGTGGATCAATGGACAGCGACCCCCCCAGGGCACACAGGCTGAGAATGGATGGCTGAATGGGTCGATGAATGGTGGAATCTAAGGATTCAAATGATAGGCCCGTGTCCACATAGTGGGCTTGTACATTGGTCCTTGTTGCTATAAGTATGATTTTAGATATTTGTCAGGCCGACTTGACAGCCCATGACTCACTTGTGCTGTCTGTTGTAACACAGCTAACTATAAAAACACAAGGATGTGGGTTTCTGGCCACAAGAAAAACACAAGCATGACTAATGAAGCTTTTTAAACTTTGTAAGGGTTATGTGTAATGCAAATAATAATAATAATGCTATCCATTTGTAAATGGTTTCTTTTTTAATATGATATGATTTTAGATGATCTTTTTAATATGTAAATGAATATTCTTTTAATTTATAAGAGGAAATAAAACTTTTATTATAATATTTTCATACAAATTATTTTTGCTTCATAAACAGGTTTCAGAGAACAAATGTATTTCAATATTAATAATACTTTAATGCTTAAATGCTTTAGCCAGGGTATTATAATTATGTTATACATTATACATCATATTCATCTGAGAGTCAATTGTTAGCACGCAAACTCAAGAACATACTATATGTTCTATGAATCATTTCCTGAGACTGGCATTTTTTAGATGACTTTTTAGCAGTATGTTTCTACTGTTCAATTTATACCTTTAATGTGGCTGATTACTGAAGCATTTCATGCTGGTGTTGATGATGACAGTATTTTGTGATCTGTAGGCGTGGTGTTGAAACTCTTCTAAAAAGGAACATTTGCAAGACCAACTTCACAACAATCAAGTGACATCTAAATTCTCAAAGCTGTTTGTGTGAATCTATAGCCATGTCACTAGAGCAAGATCATTGATCTAATTCCAGAGCAGCAAAGTTTAAAATAATTGTTTTTTGTTAACTAAGGCCCCTTTAATATGCTGATGATACAGCAAATGTTCTTCACCAAGTGCTCCTATTTATTGTGGATTGCAGACTTTAGCACCATGCATGAAAACCAAGATATTAACTGAAGTTCAGGAGGAATAATGACAAGTCAATCTCACACAGCTATACCAGCTACACCAAACTAGCTACTGTACATAAACTGAATGTTCCGATGCCTCCCTTTGCATTTGTCTCAAGCATCCTCCTCCAACCCATTTCCATCTTGCTACTACCACTTGGTTCTATTAGTTTGAATGGGGTTCAAGCCTTGTCATCCTACGGCTTGGAGGCTACCCAGTAACCAAGCAGGTTAAGCCAAACTTATCTCATCAGTTTTCTAAGCATTCAGAAGCATTCAATTTTTAGATGTTGTTGTCCATAATGAAACCCTGTTAAGGTCAGTTTATCATATTACATGTACTGTAGGCTCATTGTCACCATGTAAGCTGCAATGCTGGAGACACAGGTTGTTACTCTGTACATGCTGTCTGTTTGTTTCCCTGGTGTTCTCGATTACAGTGGCATTTCTGGGCTGACCAGAACTATACTTGAACTCTGTTGTGAAAGTCTGTCAATGGTATTTGCTCCTGGTCTTCAGCATTCACTCTCTCTTTTTTCATTCTTCTTAGAACACCCATTGTTCAAATTAAACAAATCAAAATGTCATGTTTCCTTACTTGATAACCTTCATAACCTGGTATAATGCAAAACAGTCAGCATGCTTATGTACAAGGCTAAGCATTCTACCATCCAATTAAAACACAGTTTCAATATACCATATTATTTTCTAATTGTCTCTTATTGTTACTCAACAGGTTCCTCATTTTGTTTGTCCACTACATTAAATGTTTATAATTGAATACATAAATATATTTTAGAAATCTTTAACCTTCGTGTCTTTGCCCTTCACCAATTCATTAATATGAGGCAAAAGGGCAGACAAGACTTCATAATAAATCTCTGTCTTAATTGGATCTTATCTAAAGTTAAACGGGTACTTGGTATAATAATAATTCCTTGCATTTACTGCAAAGAGCACTTTTCATTCCAAAAGATCCCAGAGAGATTAATGCAGTATATAGGAGGGAACTCACATCATGACTAGTGAAGAGCAACACCCACAGCTGCACATTATTATAAACATTACAGCTTTACAGGAAAGACAGGGATGTAGAACAAATATGTTTATTGAACAATTTTTAAATAAAAAAAACATACATAAACTGGCAAAGGCTTAGAGGCAAGGAGCACCATTGATAGACTGAACTGAACCTTATTGCTTTATAGATCACACCAGGCAGATTGCTACAGTAATTGTCTTAAAATAACTTTGCCAGTCCTTTACCTCTCTTTTAATACAGCAGACACTACTGGTGAGGTAAGACAGCAGTAACATCTCTTTTTTTAAATGCTGTGTAATATTAACAGAGGAGCAAATATTGTAGCACAGCTTCAGCCTCACCCAGCCAATAAGCAGAGCAATCAAGCCTGAGTCCGGGTCTCCATCTGTCAGTGTCATCCCATTCCGTTCCTGATGATTAACTCACAAGACGAAATGCACACAGTCAACTTTTCCTGTCTCTCCTTTTAGTCACTGCACTGCTTCTCTCCATTCATTTGTTGTCTTTGTTAACAGCTTTCCCTGGAAGGTAGCCATAGCAACAAGAGTACACCAAGTCACTCAAAAGTATTAGACAATATATAGGCTGGCTGACAGACAGACTCTGGGTCCTAAAGCCTCTTCATTGTATGTTAAGGAAGCACCTTTTATATTGACATTTCTCATAAAATCTTATGGTGATTCAAAATATAAATATATATAAATATAATGGTACACAACACAAATGCAAAACAGACTCCGAACAAACAGTCTAAAACACTAATACAGTATTCAGCAGGCAATTATTACATGGTACTAAAACTAGCTTTATTTAGCTCTACAATTCCAGAAAGGATTTGTGTACAACTGGTCAGAATTCTCAACAGAAAACTATTCAGTTTTGTATTGTAAGTATTGGCCAATAAGTGAGTACTTTTTGACTACAGTAAAGAATTGTTGTGTGTGAGGTTTTTTTTGTGTGTGAGTTGCTTTTACTATACAGTATGATTTAGAATGCAATCAGGATCTAGAGAAAAAACTCAGATATTTGAAAGAGATGGAAAGGAAACAGTGCTGTAGATACTGAAGGGAGACTGCAGAATTTTTTATAAGCTTTGTTGCAGTTCCTTTTTCAACATGATACCTTTTTAATTTGAAGTTCCTGTTCCTGATGTAATTTTGTTCCTTTAATGTTTATTTCAGATAACCGTCCACTAGCCGTCCACTGGAAAGGCTATGATTACTTTCTTTGTTATTAATACAATTTTTGTTTGCTATTCTTTTTGTTGATAATTACTCAAACACAAAGCATGAATAAATTGTAGTACACTTCACTCACATCATCTTACAAAACCTCTCTGTCTAAGCTTGTATAACACAACATTATTACCAAATTTGAAAAATAAGTAATTGTTTTCATAAAAATAAAAACTCATTAAGTATTAATATGTCAGAAAATTACTCCAGTTAAAATTAATAACCAACAATGAAATAAACCAAGTTGAGATATTCTCAAGATAAAGTAATAAAGTAACAAAAACATTGATATAAGTTCCTAACAGTTTCTTTTCAAAATGTATCTCTTTCTAAAATGGTGTATGCTCTCAGCACACACTTATCTCAGAGATCAGGGCAACTGCTGATAGAAGAGATGTATTATGAACTATATATGCATTGATTAAATTTCCTGTATTTAACCAACATGGTACAATGTGGCTATATAATACTTTTGAGTCTGCATACTTCCTTTTTTGTAGATTTACCATGGTACCCTTTAGGTCATTTAAAGTTAAATAACTTAAATAACTTAAAAATAGAAAAGAAAATAGAAAAATAAACTTTCTTACCCACATTTTACTTAAATGTTTTACTCATATTTGTGGTTTTCCTCTTTTGATAAAATCACAGTAAATTAAAAATAATTATTATATTTATTTTGTGTATGGTTTCCATTTTACATTATAGACTGCTGGTAGTACTGTAGGTATTCAAGGAAACGCATATATTTGGATAAAGAACTGTTTAATGGATAGAAATTAGAGTATGGCTATGGGGCAAACGCAGTTTGTGGTGATGTAATTAGCAGAGTACTACAGGGATCTGTATTAGGAACATTATTTTTTGTAATACAGTATATACCAAGGATCAGGATGGTTCTAGAATTTGACATACATATTAAACCAGATACGTTGACAAATTTTGCCAAAATAGCAGTATTAAAAAACAAAGTAGAAGCTGAAGAGGAAATTTAAAAGTATTTAGACAAGATTGAAGACTGAGCAAGCACCTGTCAGATATCACATACTGTGTAATGTAGACCATTTCAGAGTTTTGTATACAGGTAGACTATACAGTATATCTGCTGTATGCAAATCAGTGTAAAATACTGATTTTTTCTGTTTAATTCTCTTTACGAAACAGACAGAAAATCTGTTGTGTTTACACCAAACATTTTGATATGCCACCACACTAGATTCTTAAATGCTTAAAATTGTTTTAGCACATTACTTGTTTTAAGAATGCCATTTTGCAATATTCTTGTATAAAGATATGGATCAAATATTTTCTTACAACTGGCAACAAATACGAATATGCAAAATCCTTCATTTAGGAGACTATATTCCAGCAGAGATTCATGTAAAATCAACTAAAGACAAAGAAAGAAACAGGTCCTGAAGCAAAATAGGTTTATAAAGCCTATTTGTTCGCCCATCTGCTCTGTAAATGCTGATGAAAGACTCCCTCTGTGGTTTCCAGGCTCTGTGGGCAATGTTTGCTAATCCAATTGCTTTTATTTTCAGGAGGTCTGAGATTTATTAGCCTAATGTGTTTGCTCTTTGATCACCCATCACTATTCCCTGGATCCTGCACCAACGTCACCTTTTCCTTTATTTGCTTAATGCTACCTTTCACCACAGACAGGCACAGCCCTGAAGCACACACCCCAGATGGTCACTCTTCTCCCCAGACCTGACATCGTCCACCTCCAAAGATGCTTTGTGAATCCAAGGAGAAGGTATCTTTGTACCTCTATTTCATTCACTTGTTTGTATATATACTGTATATGTGTGTCATTTTAGGGCAGAGCTGGTTATCTTTCCGTGTGAACATGTGTGGTTGACAATGCTGTACGCTAGAGCCTACAAACAAAGAAACAAGTAATAAAAGCCTTTTGCTTGCAGCAAGAAGGCTTTTGAAATCAAATGCAGTGGGCTGTCCTTGTCCCTTTGGTATTTCCTTCCTTGTTTTGCAGGATAAGCTTAAAGTACTGAATTATAGGCCTCTCAGTGGCTTGGTGTCTGTTAAATAAAACAGTTTAATAAAATGAAAAGTTCACACATGCTTTTCAGCATTTACTGTAGCTTCTTATCCATCAGATGCTCAATGCAAGCATCATTTACACTCAAATTAGGTGCTGATATTAGGTCCCAAAAAAGTCCTGATAATTAGCCCCAGACAAAAATGCACCTCATTATAAGATGCCTTATATCTTTTATTTTTCCCTTTAAATAATAGTTTTTCTTCTGCTACTGCATTTGTGATAGTGTTGCGTACTGTTCCAATACAACAAAATACATTTCAGTTTACGTGAAAAATTCATTCATTCAATTAATACTTTTTACAGAGTATTTTTGAGTCACACATTCATTACATGAGAAATACACCTCTTAAGCTGTTCTCGAGTGATGCCCAAGTATGATATTAAATCAACACAGCTTGAATACTTTTTAAGATGTCTGTTGAGTTTTTAATGGTTCATGTGTTGCAATGTGGAGATACACACAGCACTTTCTTTCTTCTAAGTGATTTAGTCTATGGTTCAGTTAGCTTAATCCCTGGCCAATTTGGAAGACAGCAGAGGAGCACTTTTTTAAATAACAGAGAAATGAAACAGAGAATTTATAGGAGGCTCAAAGGGACAGTGATTCATGCATTACCTAGTCGGCACACAGATATTTTATTTAGTATAAAGGAGTGTTATATAATTTGTATCATTTTATTAGATTTAGAGGTTAATTGTGAGTGTGTCCTTTATTCCTGTATTTATGGATTTTATTCTATTAAATGATAGCATGTTTGATAGCACAATTAAATAAAACCTAATACCCCTGTTCACAAGGAAATATCACGTCATGTCATGTCATTTGCCAAACCGCTTTATACCATACGGTGTCGCGGGAAGCCGGAGCCTACCTGGCAAGCAACGAGCGCAAGGCAGGGTACACCTGGACGGGGTGGCAGTCCATCGCAGGGCAAGTGAGAGCCAATCATACATGGGGACAAATTGGAGGCCACGGTAAAATCCGAGGGGGAAATTTGGCCCGGACACCAGGATAACTCCCTACTCTTATCGAGGAATGCCCGGGAATCTTTAATGACCACTGAGAGACAGGACCTTGGTTTAACGTCTCATCCCAAAGACAACCATAGCTTCCCAGGAGGTCTCCCATCCAGGTACTGACAAGGATCAACCCTGCTTAGCCTCAGTGGGTAGCCAGTTAAGAGCTGCAGGGTGATATAGATGCTGGCGAGAAGGAAATGTATTATTTGGAAGCTTGAAACCCAACAATTTAAATATCAGTCAGGACATCTCATTAATTTACCTCTTTATAGGTGCATGGATATTTTACTTACATTTATTACTTTACCTTATTACTGCATGTAATTTGCATTACATTTCTATGTCTTGCCCTTCACAGATTAGTTCATAAAATTATCTATTATCTATATTAATCTGTGGCTACAGGTAGTGTGGGGGTATCCTTTACATGTCATTCATCGGATATGGTGGTTTCTGATTATCTAATAAGCTACAAAGTGGACAAAATGCTGTGAATACTGAAAGTATTATGTGGGTTTAATTGTGTCTAATGTACAGGCATTGAGGTGCCTCTTTGAATTTCTAAAAGAACGAGTGAATTATTAAATTAGTTTTCTTTTTCTTTTTAACTGTCTTAGTATCTTTGGTTTCTCCGTAAATGTTTTAAAGAAAAACCCTTTGAACTGCATATTGTTTGATATTCAGTAAATTGTTTAAGCTATTGTAATATAGCAGATTTCCCATGAAAACTGTCATTCTAAATCAACATAGTCTTACAGCATATAACAAAGTACAATATCTTGGCTGAGGTCACTACCATCCAGTTCTACCAAAAATAGGTCTGTCACACAGATTGCACCTGTGGGAAGCACTCAAACATGCCAATTACAGAAGATCCACCAAAACAAGATACTGTAAATATATTTGTTTCATTTCAGCAGTCATAGCTTTGAAATTAACATGTGAGGGACTTACACATTTAACAGTTCATAATTAGAAACCAATGAATTCTTTGGAGTGGGCACCATCTCACTGAACAGAATTTAGTAAACGTAAGATATTTAAATCCACTTGAATAAGTTTCCAAGAATGTTTGACAAATAAATGAATAGTAATGACTATCAGTGGTGCTGCAATATAAATGTGAATATGAATTAATAATGTCAATTGAGGAGGAAAAAAAACTTGGATCAGTTTCCTGCATTGCACAGATAGACACAAGGATTCAACATAGTCAACACCAGGGGCTTGACATGGGAGAAAAGTGGTTACCAAGGTAACAGCCTTACGCAAACATTAAACATTTGATTTGTCCTTAACGTCCTTTGTGAAACAATGTGCACAAATAGCCTTAATGTCTGGAAGAGTTGCCTTGATTATTCTGGATTGAAAGTCAAGGACATAAATTATTCTTGAAAAAGTATACTAATATCTCAAGAAAAAAAATATTCAAGAACCAACTGCAGTTTGTTTGGTTATGGGTTTATTTTTGAGGGAAAATTAAATAATGGTAATCAACAGCTGATAACGATTATAATCAAATTAAGATGTATTTATATAACAATTTCTACAGCAAAAGGTACACATTGCATGTTTATATCAATGAAAACCTGATATCTCTGTGTAGTGGTAGTAGGTTAATTGTAAATAAAAACCGAGGTGAAAGAATGTGTTTCAGATTTATTTTTACCATATAAACAAAAATATAGACAGAGAATATTTAAGGAGTTATCCAAACAGTCTCAAAGAGGGATTCCCTGAAGTTACTTTGTTTAGGAATACATAGTTTTCTCATTGCTGTACTCTTCACACAAAGCAGGGATACCAGCTTTGTCTGCTCAATGTTGTAGGATGATTAGCACATCACAGATAGCTGAGAAATTAAGGCTATTGAATTCCATTTTTCATACACAGATGATGTGGGAAGTTTATAGCATTTGATATGTATATGGCATGTAATTCATTACAGCAAATTAAATAAGAACTTCATAATAAGCAGCCACACTGTAAGCACAAAAGACAAACAAGAACCAGTTTATCATCATTTTAGAGATAATGTGACCTAGAACGTGCAGGATGAAGTCACTCACTAGTAATAGCTGCTCTGAGATACATTTATTGAAAAGTGATAAATCTGACATATTTCTAAGGCTCTCTGAGGATATAGTTTTATGAGCAGAAATGTGCAATCATACTTCTTTTTCACTCCTCAAGTAGTAATAGTTTCAATGTTAACAAGGTTTTTCACCTATCTTTCAAATGCCTGTAAAAGTGGCTTTGTTTTGTTTCTTGTTTGCTGTCTATTAGGCATCACATACTGTCATAGGTAAGTTTAGAATTAGTATTTCATTTTATGCTTCATTTTCATGAAATAAATATTATTATCAACTTATTAATTAGTTATGACACCTCAAGTCGACATTAAGCCACAATGGGAATATGAAATTCCATTTGTTTATTGTAATTGGGCAAGAAACAGGTAATTATGGCTAGCCATAAGACATGGACTACTTTACATATGTTATTTCCTCACTATACTGTACCTTCACTTCATTGATCCTTTAGTCCATTCACCTACCCATTATCAGAATGTAATGAAACCCAGATATAATCCTGTAAGCAAATGCTGGTTGCTGGAATATGAATTCATTCCGTTTCCAAGATTGCTACATAAACAACTGGACAAATTTGTGATGTCTATCCTGCTCATATAAATTCCAGTTTATGGCAAATGGTGTTTATTGCTCTAATGTCGCTTGATCATTCAAAATAGTGAGTTATGAGAATATGCAATATGAGAAATCAATGATGTCTTGCTTTGTAGCACAGTGGTATAAAAAGTAAATAGGTATTTACTGACGCAACTTCTGACACAGCTACCCACCTGAACTACTTCAACCTACATCTGCTGTGACCCACTATGCATTCCTCTAAATCTTTTCCTATATCTCTTCATCATTCCTTCTCTTCACTTTCCCCCCCTCTCATACTATACCAGCATTCCGTCTCTTCACAGCGATCTGTTCCAAGACCAGGCTTTCTATCCACTTTCTATTCCTTTACAGATGTCTTCGACATAATATCATTCCTGAAGGATTTCGCCTAAAATTTAATACTTTTTCTTTTGACTCTGATACCACCCAGAGTAACACATTTAGAGACTTCTATAGCACTTTTCTAGGAAACTAATGCTTTCTACCATTTTCTCCCTCAAAAAACAGATTATCCTTTCCAACAACAGCAATAAAGAGGCTAAGGAATTTCTACGGCTCCTGTATAGCTCATTTCACCCCAAACACATTAAAAACTCTCCCTTTTTCACAGTTCCTTCAGCTACGATGACTCTGCAGCGACAACATTGATTTCCAGAACCAAGCCCTCAGAATGTACTCTTTTTTAATCAACAGAGGATACCCTAGCAGTAATATTGACAGGGCTCTTGCCAAAGCCAAAAACACCTCTTGGACCATAAACTCGAGCAGGAACTCTCGCTGTAACAACCACATTCCTTTGGTGCTTCCCCACCACCCCAACAAAATTTCTATCCCCAGTTCTATTAACGACAACTTTTCCATCCTACAGGATGATCCCTCCATTGTGGACCTCTTTTCAGACCACCCCATCATCTCATATTGCCGACCACCTAATCTGCGCAACCTTCTTGTTTACAGCTCCCTTGACCGCCCTCAGCAAACATACACACCAGGCACTTTCCCTTGCAAAAGAGCTCGCTGTATCACCTGCAAGTACACATCTAACACCACACTCATCCAAGGCTCCTCAGGACAATTCTGGATCATTCAGATGACATATTGTACCTCCAGCTACCTTATTTACTGTATCTCTTGCGGTAAATGCCCATCCATTTACATTGGGAAAACAGGAAGGAAACTAGGAGACCGCTTCAGAGAACAAGTTGAAGATTAAAGATTTCTCCAAGCAAATTGTTTCTCATTTCCCCTCTGACGGCCATGATCACACTAATCTATCCGTCTGTGTTCTCAAAGCTGGTTTTCCTAACTCCAACAACAGAAAGACCACAGAAACTAAAATTATTATGCAGCTAGGATCACACCTTTCCTCTTATCTCAATGACAGACTAATTTTCTTCTAAATTCTCTCTATTCATTGTAGGTTTCATTTCACACCTCACTTCATCTATCCTGACTTCACGTACCTGATTGACCACCTGCTCCCGCCTCCTGCTCCTTCTCTCTCCCAGCTTTTGTTCTCCTGCTACATTACCTTTGCTTACTGCCCTGTCTTTCTCACACCTGAAGAAGGCTCCACAGCCATAACATTGTGTTTTCTTTTTCTCTTTTCAGCATGGAATAAACCCATTGTTCTTTTTCAAATTATAAAGCAACTGTTGCATTTTCAAAATATATTTTTTTACATCTTTCTGTAATCAATTAATGCATGAAAGGGTTAAGAGAAAGTGGGTGTAAAATAGTATTGTAGAATCCAGATTATCAGGCACTGGTCAGCCTTGAGTGACTAGATATGCACTGCATGTTGGTAGCTTCACATTGTTTCTAGTTGACAAGTTGAATGTGTTTGCAGAACTCACTGTACATTGCTTTTGTGCTCCACAGAGGATGATAATGTTCCACGAGCTGTCAAAGGGATTCAGCTCCTTCACTCCACGAGCTTCTCTGCGAAGGAAGTTTGGGCGATACAACACATTCATCATTAATCGTCCCTTGAATTACACAAAAGTAAGTGTGCAATTTCAGACCCATAATAGAAAACAGTATATAACACTATACTTTAAAGTGATAACCATTACTGTTTTACACATTATCTGTTTTAATTTAATTGGCTAGTGCTCAAAGCACTAAGTATCTTTAGTGATGGTGTTTTAGGACAATAAATAAATGAATTGTAGTCTTGTTAAGAATTGTACTGTACATCAGTGTGTTTAATGGTGTTATTTCTCAGTTTCATATACAGTAGGTCATTTGCTGTGAAAATTACACTCAAAAAATGTATGCAATTAGATATTTTTAATGCTTAAAATGTTATATGTGAAATGGATTATAAAGGGCCCAAAAGCTGTTTCCAAAATACATTCCACAAATTAGAATGCCAGGCCATAGATCAAATTGTAAATCAGTCTTCTGTCTTATTGGTCAAGCACTTACATAGTGGCTTCTTACAGTTGCTCTGGCAGTGACTAATGAAGAGCAAAGCAGTATAGTCAAAAGTAAGAAGAAGAAAGCCTTTGCAATGATAAATGGTCACACAAATGTGAGAATTGAACCTATTCAAAGATCCCAAACACATTCTCAAATATCAACAGAACAGGACATTTTCACACATTGTCTTACATTGCACTTATCAGTATATGATTTAGTATCACATCATTAAGGCACGACTTCGCTCAAACATGCAACCTTGTCATGTGTTCATCTTTGAGGAAGTGGGTTCTGAGACAAATTGTTTAGATGATTGTAAGTATTCCCCACAAATAACCTTGTTTGATTAGTAGTTTTAATTATTTGATTAATAATTAAATCTGTTACTTTGCATGACTGATGTAATATGGGGTTTTAAAATGCCAGGATTAACAATATATACAAGATTGTAAAATGTCTTTCATTAGACCATATCACAGACAGTTCTTAGACTTTCTAGACCATCAAATTGGAATATTTCGCATAATTCATAGACAATAGCTGCATTCAGAGGTTTAGTTGCCCCCTTGACTGGATTATGTAGTTTGAATATATGTTGGAGGTTAAAAGTTATGTGTACACCAATTGCTTAATAAATGGGGTAGTGTACCTAAAATGGAATAGAAAAAGAAGCACAGGAAGTAATGTTTTTTTTTACTTTAACATAGCATGGACAACAACCAATTGAGCCCTTTTCATGACCGCTCTTCAGAAAAAAGACCTTTAAGGAAAAAAAAAGAGAAAAACTTAAAAAAAAGCTCACTTAAACCGCACTTCCCTTTTGCGGCCTGTTGCTATGGTAAAACTTCCTGTGGCAACAGGAAATGTTAGTGACTGTAAAATAAGGATGTCAAATGAGTGTCTGCTTAAAAAAAAGAAGCACATTCTACACACTTCTTGCACACCCATCTTTCTGGTTTGGGATTTCGGATTCGACTGATGTTCTAAACTTTGGATATGTCAAAGAAAATGAAACAACTTGGAATTCCAAATGGACACTTGGTGAGTTTTGAGGATCAATTGTTTTTATACAGATATTCAGATATATTAAAGTAAAAAAAAACCCAGAAAAGATGTATTTAATTCACATTGGTAAGATAAATAAAGTTTAGATTCAATCATCTCAATGAAGACTTCAACGGAAATTATATTTGGCATTGTTCTGGCTTATTTGTTAAAAATAATTGTATAATAAAGGTATTTTTATATAATACGTAGGTGTATGTGCTGTGTTGTCACAGTGCAATCAATGTAGATTAATATTAGGTATACCTAATGCTGTGAATAGGTCGCTTTTACAATGTTTATAGTACAAATACACATTAGATGGACTACACAGAGCTTGGGTTACCTTTAAGGAACCCAGAGCTTGGGTTATCAATGATGATCATTGTAGGAGTAAAGACCCTGTTGGTTTAAAAAGATGATGCTGGTTTTAAATAAAATTGCAAACATTTGTATGACATCTTTAATTGTAAATACAACACAATAATGAGAAATGCTGCAATGATGGTGGTTTCCAGTCCTTGAGGATTAGTAAGTCCTCATGTTTTCATTCACCTCCGAACGTAATTACACAATTTAACTAATTATCTAGTTGAAAAGTCAAATGATGTGTTTTCTTTAGCTCTTAATTGTTGGTTCTTGGAAAATACCTGAAAACCAGGATTCTGGACTGCAGGAGTTCCAGGAGTACAGCATCCTTGATGTATGAAAACTCAGATATACATTTTATTCTATGATTTTGTTTATCTGGTTTGCAAGTGTTTAACCATGAGGTTTCTGAGAGTTCATGATTATGAGACTTCAGGGCACCATGTGGTCCAGCAATCCAGCAGTGAGTTTCCTCACTTGTGCCCCATCCAAAGTCTAACCAGACACAGTCTTGGCTAACATCTGACACCTGATGGAATGGGTTTCCAATAGGACATGGGTAGCTCATTCTAGTTGTGGGCAAATAATGCACATAGCATAGCAAATCTTTAAAATATATGCAACATACTGTATATTTCAAAATTATATTACAGATAAAACATTAGCAATAATACATTGTTAATCCGGTTTGCTACACCATTACTGATGGCCGGTGTTTAGTTGTTTGTTCTTAAAAACACTTTCAGATGAAGAATTGCTACACCATGTAATCTGTTGAAATCTAATCAGCTATCAGTATAGTCCACATTTAAAATTAATGATAAAATTAAATTATTTGAATTATTATGTGGTTTATTGTATCAAAATAAGAACAATTCAGATTATGTTTTCTTTGTGGTTTCTTAGAATTTTGCAGTTAACGGTGCAGTTCTGGGGTGTGTTCACTACTGCTGCTGTTGTGTTTCCGTTTTTCAGATACTTGGTTTGATACCACATTGGGGTCGCTTCTGTGAGGATTTTACAAGTGCTTGCTGTGTTTGTGGAATATTTTTTGGGATTGTGTGAGATTTCTGGTTAGGATAATTAGTGTCTCCTCCAAAGTTTTCATCTCAATTGTTTGTGTGCCCTGAGATGGAAAAAAAGTCTTATTCAGGATGTGGTTCTACCGTCTCCCCTTTAGTTCTGGGATGATCTCAGGAGTTGCCTCAATACTGAACAGGAATACTCACCTTTCAGATAATGAAAGGATGGTTGGAACATCTCTGAAGTGAGAAGGTTTTTACAAAGCTTTAGATGTTGAATTCTATAGACTTATTTTTCAGTTGTTTTTTTTTTCTGCTGGATCCTGTAATGGAAACGGCTCTGCACTGTATTATATTTGAGCAGACAGTGGGCTGGGTATTGGTGTAGAAATGAGTTGTCAGGTTTATTATTATAGCTTTGGGATGCCCCTATAGGGGAGGCCATGACTAGTGCAGTTGCACCCACTTAAGATGGAAAAGCTGTAGGGCAGGGCTCTTTTGGCTTAACAAAATACCTGCATTTGCTTGCTATGCTATAATGAAAGTAGAATGTTCAACTTTCCAAACTGACAACATTCATCTCTCTCACATGCTGTATGTCTGTCAGAGGCTAGGAGAATGTTTTGGACAGAGTTTCTTCAGTGTAGCCCTCCTGCTCATCTTGCAATTCTCCACAGTTTTCATATCCTTTTCTCTGAAGTTTACCATAATCTAAATGTTCGGACTGAATTTGGAAGCAAGAATTTCTCATCTGGTATTGCCAGCTCTTGATGAGCTCACTTGCATAGCCACAGAAGTAAAAACAGGCACTGTCAGCCATGTCCCCACAGTGCCAGACCCAGTGTATACCCAGCAGAATTATAGTCAATTGGAGGAATAGAATATCTTTCACTTAAAACAGAGGTCACTGTGATGTGGCAAGACAAGGATGGCCTGGTATGTCATTTCTTGACATACTCAGACAGGATACAGTGATATCTGAACTACAGGACTCTGAATGAGAGCTTTACTCTCTGAAACACATGGTATGTTCTCTGTGTGTTTTAAGTTGACTATATATACCATTATAAATATTGCTTGTGCAATATGAGTTCTGTACTACAGTACATTCCCTGCCTTTTCTTACCTTTTCTTAGGCATACTTAGGCATACCTTTGTGTACTAAAGGTAGTGTTTTATAAAGCTACAGTATGTGGTATAAATTGAAATTTTATTCTGTTATTCTGGTTGTTTTTAATATTAAACAGTAATATCTGTTAATATGTATAATTATTATCATGTTTTTTCTTGTTCATAAGACAGTAAAAGTAATTAAGCTCCATGAAATGTACTAGATCAATGATGCTCTAGCAGGGGAAACAGAGAAATGGCAGTTTGGCTGCTAGTAAAATATTAATGGCTCTTTTATTAAACTGAGGGGCTTTTAACTGTAATAAAAATTACAGAATATTTATAACTACCTCAACTTGTTAGTTCCCACTAGCTTACCAAGCCAGTAAAACGTGACTTGCACTAATGCAACAGAAGCAGATAATTAACCACTGAGGATTATTCCATCTTTTTACATTGTTTTATTAATCCCATTTGAAGTGAACGGCATGTTCTAGCCTTTTCTTTAATAGTTTCAAGAAGAGAAAATTAATAACTTCAATTTTTTAAAAAATGGCATTCAAAGACAATGAACCTTTTGGTGGTCTGATTTCCTAATATTTTTTTGTCAATATTGTAGATGTGGATCCTATTATCATGTTTGATCTTTATGCTTGGCTGACAATGCTTTCTTTCCCAGCCACGATTCTTTTCTAGTCAGCCTAGAATTCGATTGTGCTGTATGTACAACATTGTTATGAGGTATGGTTACTTTTCTGAAGTATCTAGCCTAATTTAATGGACCATATACTCAATTTTATATTTGGAGCTGGGTACATAACTTAGTGGTTCATTATCACAGATTTCTGATAACTGAGAGTGATGATGCAGTACAGTATTTCTCAGTAATATTTTTGCAATAACTACAATTTACCTGAATGGAAGGCTCTTTTAGAAAGAAAAGATTTACACTGTTCGGATAGAATAAAGAGGTTGATCTCCATTAAACATACTATTCCATGTCTTCCTGTACCAATATAAATTGTGAAAAGCAGACATTAATGATTAACAGACATTTAATAACTGCACAGATTTGTTTTCCTTATTGCAAAAAGGGAAATTCATGACTGTTTTGATTGGTAAAACAAAGAGTTAATTGTTATGAAGGAACGACAAGACATCTGGCTTTGTCCTTCTGCATGTTTAGGATGTTTTCAGCACATTTGTATACGATATACCAGGCTTTATGTGTGTTAATGAACATGTTAATCCTATCCCTGAAGGAGGCACAACAGGTATGCGTAATGCCTCTAACCTTTAAGATACGATTATCATGTTAATCCAAACCCTAGGAGTTGCCTTCAATGTCCTTGGCAACATTTGAAACAATACAATGTTTTTGTGCATCTTTTTGAGTATGACAATATGCTGCTATCGCCAAATGCTATTGAAAAAAATAGTTCTTAGAAACTGAATAGTAAAAAGGATGGCCTTGAACTACTGCAGCATAAAAAAAGACAAAACAAAGTTAGATTTTTTTCAGGGTGACAGTTTATTTGCATAATGATATCCTTTGCATAGTGCTATCCTTTTAGTTTATTTATTTAGTTTTAAACCTTATCCCATCCAAAAAAGTATTTAAAAAATGTTAAAGTAACATGCTATTACCTTTGAAAGGATGTAACATTATTTCCTTTCCGAGTTTCACATTACCACTTCCACACCTACAGAATATGCGTCAAACCTTAGAGGTTCCGTTTTAGAATTTTTGCACATGCTGTTGATATTCAATCAATTCTTTGACCGCCATTAAGGTTTTTTCTACAGTATGCCTTTGTCAAGCACACTTATTTTAACACCAGGGTGGAACTCTTAAACATCTTCTTTTCCTTTTGAGATAAACTTGTTTTTGCTTTTGCAAGACAATGCAGAAATATAAGGAAGATTTCTAGCTTCCTGTTTTTCTAGGCATTTTATTGCCTACAGACTTGATTTTCCTTCAGTGATAGGCAAAGTGAAAGCCATTTGCTAAAACAATCAGTTAATTGATTCATTTAAATTACAGTTGTTATTCGTGGTCTTTATTTCTTTAAAATTATAACAGAAAATTTGCAGTCGTGGTTGTGATATTCTGTACTGTACTTTACGCAATTCACACACTGGTAGAGCAGGCTGACCCATGTGATTTCACCAAGTTGTAAGAAACCTTTCTCACTTTTTTTTTAAACCTTAAGCAGTGAATGCTATTGTAAGTATTTTAGATAAGGAGAGATGTGATAACTTTAAATAGTGCAATATAAACTTAGTGTGCAGATTTGCAGAGGTTTGGGGTTAGTTGTTTTTTTTTTTACAAATATGAGCTGATTGAAAAGCAAACACAGCAAGAAACACACCCATATCCTGTTTGAAAACAGTCTTGCTTCATTGCAATCTAGAAAAAGATATTTTGATATTTTCCTTTGTTGTATGACTGCACTTACAGTAGTTACCTTGAGACAATGCAATAACATATACAGTATACCAAATAATGATTTGGTGTAGCAGCTTACTGTATGTTGAACACAAGAACTACTTGATAGCCAAAACTAGGAACAATTGCATTAATGCTTTTATAAGTTTTACATTTTTTAAAGATCTTTGAAGATTAAGGCATTGGTACAGTATTTTTTTTGAAGAAAGTTGTGAAGGACACAGCTAAATTCTTCAGTTAGAAATGACCTTTCAACAGGCAGCCATAATACTGTCAAGTTTACAGACAGCAGACAAACTTTTTGTTTCTCTGCTCTGTCTATTTGCTTCTTGTTTACACAGTCCACATTAACCTTCACCACATCATCACTTTCAATAACTGCTTATCCAGTTCAGAGTTACAGTGTCCTGCAGTCTAGCCAGGGAAACGCTGATGGGACACCAGCTCATTGCAGGACAAAGACACAGGCACAAACATGCACATATTCACACCAGGGCCACACCTACACCCTGAAGTTAATAAACCTATCAGCATGTCTTTGGACTGTGGGAGTAAACCAGATCATCTGCAGGAACCCCACACAAACACAGGGAGAATACACAAACTCGTCACAGAGAGCACCCCAGGAGTTGAACCCAGGGTCTCAGTGCAGCACGGCAGTGATGCTAACCACTAGCCAACATGCCACCCAGCATCCATTTTATACAACACAAATCTTCACTGAAACAAATAACCCATTTCTCTGCTAATTTAGCCAAGAGGAAGTGAAATGCATGCAATGACAGTAACACTAGAAATAAAACCTGTCACTTGTAGTTTTTTTAATTAATATCTGTTAAGACACAGAGAAATACAGTGACAGAACAGCACAAGAGAAATGAAAGGATTTGATAATATTTGATTCTGTTTACTGTTATCGTGAATGCATGGTCTTCTCAAAACTTGTACAAAACTGCTTCTGTTCACTTTAGACACAACTTTTTTTTTCTCTAAAGCATTTTTGATTGTAGTACAAATAGGGATTATTAAGTAAATTACAGGAGGTCACAGGAGACTGTAATGAGCTCCTCTCATACATATACTTAGTTGAAGGTGTTTATATCTATGTCTGTATAATTCATGTGCATATATGTGTGTGGAGAATTTGAAATGTTGATGTTATGAAAAAACATGCTTTTTCACACTATCTATGCACCTGGGGACTTGAGCATGGCACTAACAATTGCAATACCCAGAGTTTGTACACTATGAAACCATCAAGTAACTTTTTAGAGTTTGTATACTGTATGTTTAGCTTTTTAGCTGTGCAACACCACTATCTTCTTCTATGAATGTTTACAAATTGATAATTCTGCTTACTTGTCCTGAGTTTCAAAGAACATGTTGTACTTCCTAGTTAAAATGATTATACAGTATAAACATTTTTAATAATTGACTGTCTTACTGTAAGTGATGGGTGAATCTAGTAGCTAATTAAGCTGGTTCTCATTTTCCAAAAAGTTTTTATTATTACTTGTTGTGTCCCTCAGGTGTCTATTCTTGGTCCAGTTTTATTCTCCTTCTACAGTACATGTACCCTGTAGGTTATATCATTTACAAATGTGATGTTAAATTTCCCTTTTGTGTCAATGACACATACAGTAGTTACACATATCTGTGAAACCTATTGACATTACCATTACTTCGGCCTCACTTGAAATGGATTGTTGTTTTTACATCCAATAGTTACATCCATTTATAACCATTATTTTGAGTAAAATAATGTTTGTTTTATTTTCCTTAAAACAATAAAATGTAGTTGTAGAATACTGTAGAGATATAAGAATTACCATTCCCCATCCCACATACTGTATACCCTCTTCACCCATCCTCTTTTGTTGTACTCTCCTCCAACCATTTCTACTTGAGGTCCTCTATAATATTGGTCAAGCAGCTGCAATTTTAGAACTAAATTCTGAGGAGTCGGAAAACCTGAATGTATGTTGTCAACAACTGGACTAGTGAAATAGTCGCTGGTGTCACTTAATGCCAAATGACACTAAATGACACATGAAGTGAGAAATCTGGGCATTATTCTTGACTCTATTTTAAGTTCTGAGTCTAACTATAAATGTTGACAAAATATGTTTTATCATTCAAAAAATAGTGCCAACAATCTTTATCCAGTGCTAAATGTATTAAGTGGAATGGCACCAAAGTCATACTCATAGCTGTCTGGCTATCACAATCAGTGTGCTTTAGTTTAGTCTGTGTGCTCCAAGAGGGGTTATTCACACACATTTTTTTTCTGGAGGTAAATAGCCCCCAGGGCTGCCCTACCTCGTGAACAGTGTTTTAGAGTTAGCTTTTTCCCTATGGTTGTGTAAGGCAACTGTTATAATGTGTAACTGGTCTCTCCTGGCAACTCCTTATCTTTTTATACTGGGGTCAAAATTTTGGTTTGATTTTTTGTTCAAGTTGCTGTTGTTTTGAGGAGCTACGAAACAACTTCATAGCGTAAGCTGAACTGCCATTCGCACCCTGGAGTTTATTATACAGGCTGATGCAGAAAATGAGACAAACCAAGAGGCCTTGGTCAGAAACAAGCAAGCTCTTAATTAAAGATGTTTTCTTTTCGTATTTATTGCGAACGTCCACCGCTAGTTTTCTCGTTCATTTTTTTAAGGCTTCACACAACTTTAAGTTGATATTTATTACCACCCTGTCGACAAATAGGTCACATGACCCGTTGCCGCCGCAGCCACAATCACATCTCCTAGCAACCTTACTTCCCCCTCAGAAAAAGTCATGTGAACCTGAGGACAATGAGATGGAACCCATGGAGAATCAAATGGAGAGGATTCTGCCACTAAAAACTAAAAGAAGACTTTAGGGGGAAAAGAGAAGTTTTTTTTTTTGTAGGGTCTGTGGATTTATAGAGTTCTCTGGCTCTGGTTCTTTTATGTAGCTCCTTTTTATTGCTAACTTTCTGATTTTCTATGGCTTTTTATAGCTCTTTTAAGAATTTTATAGGGTTATGCATTTTTTAACATTTGCAAGTGTTTAATGTACTTTTTATCTTCATAATCTGATAATTTAATCTTTTAATATACAGTGCATATGTATTAAATGTTGTAACTGTGTCTGCATTTGAACTTTGTGTGAAATGCCTTGCACCTTGAAAAGCACTATATAAACAATGTCTGTAATTTCATATTGTGTTGCCATGGTAATATTGTTTTAAACACCTTTGTACAGTCTGATGCCCAAACACTGGAACCTGTGTTGTCTCTCTGTAAAACATATAGTAGGAAAAACTTGAACATATCTTTTTTACTGCATTCTAAGTAAAAAGTCAAGTTTTATATGTGTCTAAAGTCATTAAATATGAGATGAAGTCAAGTTCCTCAGGTTATTTAAAATTATTCAGTATTCCACTGCTATTACAGTCCTTTCTGATTTAGATTAAGAAGAATGTTTTTGAAGTTACTCTCTGTACTATTCATCACAGTTTTAGAATTTGGATATAGTTCTGGGTTTTTATGTTCATAGAGAATCTACTTGTATTTGACTAATTGCTCCACTCTTTTCATTTTGCAGACACTGGCAGTGTCGGATGGAGGTAAGCTATAAAGCACTTTCTACATTGGAAGAATAAAGACAAGTTCGTATTTTCCAAATTGTGGCCCAGCATTAACGGCATATTTTATTATGCTGTAACATAAATTAAATTGGGCAGCACGGTGGTGCAGTGGTCAGTCAGCATTATTGGCTTACAATGCTGGGGCCCCAGATTCAGTCTCAGTAGAGTTTGTATGTTCTTCCCATCTTCACATGGGGTTCCTCTGGGTCTGTGTGTGTGTGTGTGTGTGTGCGCCTTGTGATGGACTGGTGTCCCATCCAGGGTGTATCCTGCCTTGTCCCCCTTGCTTACCGTGATAGACTCTGGCTCCCATGCAACCCTGAACTGGATAGTTATGAAATGAATGGATGGATGTTTTGCTATTACCTTAAATAAAGGTTAGGCATTGTGTTGGTATTGTGTGTTCTAAGAATTCTGTTATAATTTCCTCAAAATTAAATTACTGCTGCGTGAATATTCAATTCAATTCATGCTATATTGTCCCTTTTGGGGAAATTCATTTTACAGCACACTTCCAACCTAGCGACAAGGTATACTGTATATGCACTTATTTCTTATGTTTATTATCCCTAACCTCTTTCTGTGGTAACTGACCTTTAAAAATCTGAATTAGTGTAGTTTTCTTAAATCTCTGAAACATGTTCTGTTTCAGACCCAGTTTGTTTAATGCCTTATGTATGCTTTTATCTCATAAAGACTCTGTTTTCGAGCGTTTCTAGTATGCTCCTGCAGGGCCTGCAGTATATTCAAAACAGTGCTGTACAGTTTCTAACAAGGTCAAGAAAATATGATTAGATATCTCCAGTTTCAAAACTTCTTCACTAGCTATCTGTTGGATTTCATGTTTATTATAACATTACTTTAACTTTCAAGGCCTTAAATGGTCATGGCCACGCTTACATTTAAAATCTGTTTCTGTCAGGAACTTATGCTCTGACAAAAACGACATCTCTGTATGTATCTTGTACAAAGCTGTGCACAATGGGAGACCAAACCTCTGGAGCTGTCACACCAATCACAATCAAAATACATGTTTAGGAATTTTACACATTGATGTAGTGATCATGTGTAGTAAGAAATAATGCATATATTATTTCAGGTTTAGGCTATTCTCAGGTGTCACCTGTTTACTAAATTAAGGTTCCCCTAATTTGAAATAACTTCCTCTTCTAAGCATTTTGGGTTTTAATGTAAAGAGGAAAGTAGTTGTGCATCGGTGTTTGTCCCTATTATCAGAGATGTTCTGCTCTGCTGCATTTTTATCCTTGTTCTCAAATGGTTGTGGATTTGACAAATTTCAAAGAGATCCTGGTGAGTCTGAGGAAAGTTTGTGCTCAAAACGTTCATGTTTCACTTGGTTTCTTTTTCCTGAAAGTGTGGAGGGGCATGTCGCTGGATCTGCTTAAATTGACAAGAGTTGTGACCGTCATGAATGAACAATGAAAGGCTTTGATTATAAAATCAATTATTTAGACCGCTTACTATTATCTCTTTTGGGCAAAGAAGACTAGAGCAATTTTTAGATCTTTCAGGAGAACATTTTTGTTCCTGATGATTTGGGGAATTCTGCTTATTATCCAGAACTTATATTAAAACAAACTGCAAGCCAGCAGGATGTGGGATTCGTGCAGTAGCAGAGTTCAGTATTTGGATCTGCATGACGAGCAGCTCTTTGTCATCATTTAGAATTGAATGTCACCGAGGGAGATGGGCACGGCAGCACTCACAGCCTGAATAGCAACACCAGCTTGCCCAGTGTCCAGAGTGGCAGCCGTCGTGTGGAAAGGTCTGTGGCCAGCTGGGCAGTCTCATTCGAGAGGCTCCTGGAGGACCCCACAGGTGTCCGCTATTTCACGGTAAGGCTCCGACATAAGCCCACAAGCAGTAAGATTAATGCTGAAATTTAACTTGACTTGTTGTAGGTTGGTTACTGGTATTTAATGCTTTTTTTCACTACCAAAGATTATGAAAATCATCTTATTTGATCATTAGAGGCTAGAAATATCTAGTTAAAAGCAAATTACACAGGTTTTAGAGATACTTTTGAGAGTAGAGGGTTTACTTAAAAATGCGACTAGTTTATAGACTAGATTGTTACTGTTGTGAGGCTACCTTTGTTACCTCATTTGGAATAGTTTTTCACAGATTCTAAGTAGATTATACTTAGATTAAATACATGAAAATGATGAGATTAAGTAATTAGATTGTGTCTAGTAGCTATTATTCATTCATCCATTCTACACTATGCTGTGATTTGTGTATTACAGAATACTATTATGAATGAACAAAAATTGAACTTTATACATGTTAAAAAGTTTTTTTTTTTTACATTTCCTCATCCTCTTTGTTCAACTTCGGTCTGAAAACCTGTGAAGGTATTGTTTTGTGGCCATTAAAACAACCTCAATATTAGTAATTTCTGATTAAAATTGAACCTGCTCCATAAACAAATTTATAGCAGTTGGAGATGAGCCTGGTGTGTCTGTAAAGAATTATATCACTTCAGTAGTTCATCCAATTCTCAATACAACAAAGAGATTAAATGTATGGAATGTCTGAAAAGTATTAAAAGTTAATCTGGCATAACTCATGTGGCGGAGGGAAGGGCGGTCTCCCTGTGGGGATGAGGTTGTCAGGACCCTTCCTCTCTTTTTATGAGGAATGAGCCAGGGAGCTGCTGTGAAGGTGAAGATGGGATGGAAAGAGTGCAAGAAAGAATAGAAAAGGATGCACTTAGGGTGTGAGATATTTATACATAGGAGAGCTGAAATATTATCTCCTGAGCTGTGAAAAAACATCTTTTGGCTGTGGCTTTTTCTTATGTTCAATTAATCCCACAATTCCACAATAGTTGTATGTGGTGTAATATGAGCTTTGGTTTTTTGTGTATTGCAGGCTTTTCTGAAATCAGAAGTCAGCGCAGAGAATATCCTATTCTGGCAGGCTTGCGAGAAGTTCAGGCAGATTCCTCCCAGTCAGAAAGATGAGGTACTGTAGACTCACACGTTTTACTTTTTTCAAAACACAGATATGTAGTGCTAGATACTGTATGTATTTCTATCCTGAATTCTGCACTGAAATTATTATCTATCTTGGGCAACAAGCCCAAGACTAGAACCATTAACAATCATGAAGATTCAATATTTACTTTTGAATAAATTGGGATTCAAAAGAAGGACTCTTTAGTCCTATTCCAAGACTAATCATTTTGACTGTACAGCTGTTACGTGAGGCCAGAGAGATCTATGTCAACTACCTATCAAGCAACGCGCTACATGCCATTAACATTGATGACACAGCCAGGATAGAGGAGAGCCTGCTGGACAACCCCACACCGGACATGTTCCAGAAAGCCCAACAACAGGTAGTACACCAAGGCTAATTCTTTTTGTTATGGAATGCTGGTCAAGTCTGCTGAGTACATGTCTGTTGCATCTGATCTGATCTATAATGCATAATCATCAACATTTTATACTATAGTCAGTATAGTTTCTAAAAGTGATCAGAAAGTTTCAACCATATGTATTGCAGACTGAAGACACTTTTATTACCAGTGATTGCAAAATATTTCAGTTTAGTCCAGTCTATATTCATTTATCTTTAGCATATCTTTTGCTTTAGTGTTTGTTTATGCCATGTGGTCTTTCCTATTTTATAACTGAACAGGTGAATTGATTAGCACATTAATGTAATTTATATTTACATAATAATATTCCCAAATATACACTCGTTGACCAGCAATGTATTTACTTTTCATTTCGATTTCCCCTCCTCTCTGATGCAGATATTCAAGCTGATGAAATTTGACAGCTATACCCGCTTTGTTAGGTCCCAGCTCTACCAGAAATGTATGCTGGCCAATGTGGCAGGACAGCCCTTGCCTGACCTTTGGCCTGGTTCCAAGAGCCCAGGTTCTAGGAAGAGCATGATCAATGATAGTCCCTCTTTGACTGACTCCAAAAAGGTAAAGCATCGCATCTGAATCTGGTAACACTTTTCTCTAATGAAGCTAAAAAACACTGTCATAACACCTTCAGAAACACTCCCCCACACAATACTGTAAAACAACATCTATAAAAGCCACATGGCAAAATAAAACTTCACATAAACACACCAGGACCTCTGTTACTGAATGGATCAGTAGAAAGCTTTTGTCAGCTCACAGTTACTTCACAGTGTATTTAATTTTCACTTTTCTCTACCTAGGTTTAGCTTTCAGCTGTATTAATGTCTTATTATAAATCTTTGCGAATAATTGCATCCCATGTCATTTGGATAAATTGCTTTTGATTGAGGATTATGTGTGGTGTGTTATTTTGTGTTACTCTAATAGCTATGAAGATGTTTCTTAGCCTCATTCAAGCAAAAGTGTTACTGAAGTTCAAGAATTCTTCAACTGAGAGGGAGAGAAATTAGTAATATACGGTATAAACTAATTGCTAAAGAGCATACAAAATCTTGTGATGTAGTGTAAATTAATTATCTTACACTTTATTTTTTCTGACAAAAGATCCAAAATCTAGATGGCTTTTAAAAGAAGCCTTATTTTTCGTTTCAGTCTAAATTCAGATACATTGAATGGAAACCACAAATGTTAAAATACTGTGGTGCTTTTTATGATTAAACTCGGTGTTAATACCAGGGAGATTTTGTTTCTGAGTAATAATGGCAAGGCAGGGTCTAACAGAGGATTACCAGATAGTTCCCAACAGATTTTATTCTATCACTGACTAAATTTATGAAACACCAAGAAGATTTTTTTGAATCTAATTTTTTACTTAATTTCAAATTGTAATGTATGGATTGCTGTTTTAAGATAGTTTAGAACTAAATGCCTCAGATATGGTGTTTTTTAGAAGAAGAAGTTGAAGGCTGGAAAGTCCTTACCTTTTGATGTGGAGGACAGCTCAGAGAGAAAGAGAGCTACATTGGATGGCCGGCCCAGTCAGGACAAATCAAAGAGGGACAAGCGTCGTGAGATGAGAGGCTCATGGGGAGGTATGGTTATTAGCAAGATAAAAAATGATTCTAAATACAGTTCCAAATGAATAATTAAAAAAGGCATTGGATTTTGTTTGAAGGCTTAAGACAGCTTATCATCACAATCCAATGTAAGGACAAACCAAGTTCTATCGAGAAATGACGGGATTCTGATTTATTCAACTGAAATCACAAAATTTCTTTAAATGTAGAATATACATTATGCATTTTACTGTTTTACTCTAGGTTTGACTTGCATTAACATTTGTGCTTTTGGAACATTTTGAACAGTTTGGAACATTCTGAATGACCTGGATTGTGGGAATGGCCAAATCTTAGATAACTCCTTTAACCTAAATTCCTGAGTTTCAATTTATTTAACAGGTTCATTTTGAAACTTTGTTGTTGAGGGCAAGCTGTTAGGCTACAAGAACCAGTTTAACTAATGGGCTTTTACTGCTAAAATGTCACACTGCTGTTTCTGAATCTCACTTAGCCTGTCTCTTTCTTACAACACCTCTGTAACCAAGCCTCAGTTTCCTCTAAATTATTAAAAACCTGTTTCAACAGCAGAGCTGTCTGACCAGCGATCAATCTCAGTTTCCCGCCGTGAGTCCCAGAGCTCTGTCACCTCATCCACCAGTGTGGAACTGGGGTCTTTCTGCAATAAAGGAGAGGTACAGTATGTGCTCACTGTCTTAATGCCTCTTTCATGTTGTTTAAAACTTCAAATATCCAGAAACAACATGGCTTCCACTTTGTGACTTGTAATCTAAACATGCCAAAGAAAACTAAGGTGCTTTATAATTTACTGTATAAAACTTAGATGTTTTCATACATTTATCGATAGGTAAAATGCAGCAATGCGGCAATGTAAATAATGTAGAAACGATTATAACAATACACAATAAAACCCTTCTTCCTTAACAGATTAATCAGCGTGCGTCTAAAGTGATGGTTGATTACAGAAAGGAAGTGCTTTTTAATAGTTCAAGAACACTTCCCTTTTTTATTGATGCGGAATATGCTTTATCAGATCTATCTGTTTATGTCATCGACACCAGGCGAAAAAAGTATGTATTGAAATGCCTATAACAAGATACTCATGCTTTGTCATTCAATAATTATATTCCCGGAAACTCTGTCACTAAAGCCACAGCGTCTCACCAAACAAAGTATAAGCTGTTTTACTTTTGTGTTTTTTTTAATTAGATTGTTTGTCTTGAATCTTTCACTCTTGTCATGACAGAATGGGAGCTCCTGTCCTCGTGTTACTGACCAAGATAAAGAAAGCCGTGCTGTGAAGTACTGCTGTGTCTACCTGCCTGATGGGACAGCTTCCCTCGCCCCTGTGCGCGCCGACCTCACCGTACGAGACATGCTGTCGGGGATCTGCGAGAAGAGGGGAATCCTGCTAAAAGACGTCAAAATCTACTTAAAGGGGAATGATAAAGTGGGTCTCAGTGCTTTGTGAAGTTGCAACAAAACGCTAATATAACTGAGCTGTTACTCCACTAAGACCTGAACTTACGAAACCTTAAAAGCTTTTGAACTTAGCTTTTCCTGTAATATATTAAGTACCAACCTTGCAGGCTGGTTTTGTTTTAGGTTTTAATGTCATTCTAATATTCTGTAATAATAATAATATTCTGGAAGGTAAAAACTGAACAAAAAAGGAATCAAAACTAAAAAGGGGGAAATTGTTATTGTTGTTAAGATTATCTTAAATCAAAATTTACCTTTACATTTTTGTTTTATTAAATATAATGATAGTCAACAAACCATGTTGTAACACCTATTAAATTATTTGTATTTTATTTTTATATTTTTCATTACATGATTATTTTATTATTATAGCCTGATTAGAATCTATTATAATGTACAGTACATCTAGTTTTAGTCATCAACATTCATCTCATCTTCATATGGAAGATTCTTTTCCCGGTGTGGTTAGAATCTTTCCACCAAACGATGGTGTTAATTGGCAGGGGGTTAACGGGGGTAGAACTGGGATAAGTTGGCCAATGGCCTGAACCAAGGAGTGTATCCTCCAGTCAGTACAAACAAACAAAGGCGAGATGTAGCTTTCAGTGTGTCACAGGACAAGCCTGTCTGCCCTACCTCATTCTGCTCACGTGGGTACAGGAGTTGTTGCTGGATGCAGAGACACAATAAGCTCATCTGCAATTAGCAATTCCAGATTGGATGGGCATAAATAAAAACTATTAGAGAATCCCCATCTATCATCATCAATCATCTACCTGCCTTTTTTGTGCCACTGTTTGACAGAAACTCTCATCTCTCTTCTTCCCAACAGCCTCTTTCTCTTGACCAGGAAAGCCTTGTCCTAACAGATCAACAGGTCCTTCTGGAGACCATGATAACATTTACGTGAGTGGTTTTGGTGCACCTGTTAATCAGTGCTACTCAACCAACTATATTACTTTTTTTGGTATCATACCTTTTTTTTCCCCTGTTAATAATTGTATTGACTTTTAATGCTTAAAACTATAAGATAACTCCTGTAGTAAAAGAACTTTGTAGTAGCACGGTATACAGTATCATCTTTATATTATTTGCTTTTTAATTATGCTTTTCTTCTGCAAATGATTCAAAATTGGGAAACCAATGTTCGTTTTGCTACAATGCATCATTGTTTTTTCATAATGTTAGACTTGGGCTTCCTTTATTTTCAGTCTTTACAGCTACTGTAGATGTACTGGATGTACACTATGTGCCCCCTTTTGTTATAGTTTAATTTAATTGCAAGCTAATTACACAGTACTTCACCATTCAGTCAGTAGTTACTCAACCGGCACCGTAATATTGCTGTAGTAAGGACTGATGTTTATTTCCATTAAACTCTCTTTTATTTCATTTAGATTGGAGGTGGTGTTTCTTGGTAAAACTGTAGGAATTGTTGCTAAATCCAGCAAGGTTCTCTCTGAAGCTCTCGCCCCTGTCCTGAGGAAAAATGAACTCAGACCCGAAGAGGTGGTGGCTACTATTGTAAGTACTGCATTGGAAACATGCAGTAACTGGAATGAGCTTAACTGTTTATTAACAGTAGTTCTGGCTTGTCAAAAAGACAAAACTGCTTTTCCCAAGAGGTGTGTATATATATTCTATATGTATAACTGTGGAGGTAATAAACACTTTGCTTTTTTGAAGATATCTTATAATTTCCCCCAGAGATGAAGAAATTGCTCTGCCTTGTGTTAGTGGAAGTTTCCTTGAATCTAAATATTGTTTTTCAGAGTGGAAGCCAGGAGCCTTTAAACATGAGCATACCTGTCATGTCGTTAGCCAAAAAGAAAGTACTTTTGGACAGAATAAAAGGTAGAAACACACATTTTATTTTTTCATGCATTTTTTAAAATTCCTTAAATTCATTCACTGAGAAATAAATATTTAGTTTTAATGTTTAATGTCTGATGTTTTAATACCAGAATGAATGTATATGCTTCCTGTTAGATCAAATATTAAGATATATATGACTGGTGTAGAAATGGGATTTTCTTTAAACATACCACTTACAGTACAATGGATTATGTATATCATGATAGAGATTAAGTACTTTATAGGTTTTTATGTTTATATGTGCTTTTAGAACTTGTTTAGAGTGTGGTCAAGCCACAGGGAAAATGAATGTTTTTTTTGCTTATCAGAAGATCTAAATAATCTTTTCTTGAGTGTACGTAAATCAGCAACAATATAAGATACTATATATTTATGGAAAAATACTATATATTTTGATTCATTTTTAAAACACAACTGGACTAAGGTGTATTTGTGTACCAGACCAAATCAAATAAGATATTAAGGTCAAACTTTTATTTCTTACTTTCTTAGGTAAAGAACAGAATAGCAACACAAAAACACCTATTTCCCCTCCAGAGATTCAAGTGATTGTAAGTACTGTATGTCATTACATACTTTGAAAAAGAATTAAAGTATGCGCTCAGTATGTGAATTCTCATACTGATTTCATTTTTAATAGGAAAGTTCAATACAAGAAGAAAAGAGTGAGACTCCCTGCACTGGAAGAAACCAAACCAGAACAAACTCCAGAGTGAGAAACCCCATGCAGAGGAGAACATATGACATGGATGGTATTGAATTTTTCAGGTTTTAAAACATCGTCTTAAGGATCTAAGTGGGGCAATAAACTGATGTGGGATTTTAGTGACAAACTTTTGTTGATCAATCTTTAACATACAAAACAGATTTCACATGACAGAAATCCCAGAAATACACAGTGAAACTTCTTTTGTTCATCAGGGAATGTCTATGAACCTATTATCATCACCTTTAAAATATTTTTTTTTCAGTGAAAATGTAAGGATGGAATATTTTCATCAGAAGGGGGACTAGTATGAACTGTAAATCCAATTTAAGATATCATTTTTCTGCCCAGAAAAAGCTGTCCTTGTTTAAGATTAATGTGAGAAAGCTGGGGTCACCAAGGCGTTATAACCCTTGACCCCTCACACACCTCTGCAGGGTACAGACAACTGACAAAGACCCAATATTTTGTCATATTACTGAGGAGGTGGTAGGAGGTTTAAAATGGTTAAACATTTTTGTGGTTTCCAGACACATTTTCTGCACATAGGTTCTGAAACCATTATCACACAATTATCTCTCCATTACAGGTATTGGAATTAAATTGTCTTTGAGTCTTAATGTATTTCATGAAAACAATATAAATAAAATCAGAAATATTAAAATGAAGCCATACTGTTATTTTGAAATACCCCAAACTAAATGGTAACTTACCCAACAATATGAGCTGGAATGTTTTCTAGGAGTAAGATACTTTGTGTTCTTTTGTCCCAGTGGCACTCTATTACAAAGACTTTGATACATTTGGTTCTATGTATTGTAGTTCATGAGGCCTATTGTGGTTTATGAGGTACGAGGCCTTAATAGAAAAAGCACCCTATGAAAACACTTTGAATGCATTTTAAAAAGTTATGAAGAAACCACTTCAACAAAATAAACAAAATATGTTTATTGCTCCATGTTGGGCAAGCTAGAGACATTTGTAAGTGGTTGAGTGAATTCAGTGTTTGTGTTTTTGCCTTTTATTTATAATCATGTCAAAGGATCACAAAATTCAAAACTGTTTTTTTTTTACTACAGACATCCAGACTGTTGGAAATGAAAAAGTAGTATCACATATAATAATACTGTATATTGAATTGCAAAGCTATAAAAGAAAGCAAGTTGGAATATTGTTGTTCAAACTGAAAATTGAGACATTGAACCTGCAGTCCTAGTTGTGTGGAAAATGGTACAATCCTCCATAAATCTCACAGGGACACCCGTAGGATGAACATGCTGCTTTCCAATAGTTGTACATCATATTGTGGTTGAAAGTCTTTTATTAGATTATGCATTAAAAGCTGCTTCCCTTTCCTCCAAAGGGCTGATCGATCTTCTCTCCAAAGTGCAGAACTCCAGAGTGAATGATCAACGAGGCCTCCTTTGCAAAGAGAACTTGGTAATTCCCCACTTCTTGCAGCAGCCTCTGAGGGAGGAAGAAAGTGAGGAAGATGAGGACAAACGTGAGAAGCTGAAAGAGAGTCAGCTCGCGTCTGACCCTTCCCCTCCCCTGGCCCAACTGGACAGTGGTGGACAGGATGTTGAGAAGCAGCCTGCAAGCACCACCACACTTCCAGAATGCAACAAGCCAGTGAGTTCAGAGGACAGTGATACAGGACTAACTAATGACTCAGACCAAAGTGAATGTCAATCCAAACAGTCCAGCCAAGTGACAGACAGCAATGCACCTTCATTGCAGACGAAAATGCCCATTGTGCACACAGACTCCAGTCGCGAAACAACAGTATGATTTCCTGGCAGCAAAAAATGTTTTGCTTAACAAATGGGTTTTGCATTTTCCCCTCACTGTTTTTGTGAGAAGTCCTTTTTCAAGTTGGAAGAGTTCTGCTTTTCTCACTGCCATCTGTAGATAAAGTGAGCTGAAAGTGGCTCAGTAAAAGAGCAGTGTTCTTTCTGTTATCTGAGTTATACTGTGCACTATAGACTTTAAGGTAATGTGTGTGAAGTGGAGGGGTCAGATGGTTTATTGGGATTATTTTTGTGTATTTGGACTAGAAAGAGAAACTACATTTTAAGCTTTCAAAAACCTTTTCCCTCTAATTGTATATATATTGTAGTATAGTTTTCTGCTTTAACTTATTTTAAATAGTGATTAAACTTATGTAGGCTTCGGATACTGTAGATTGGAAGAATTTGTTGTATAATAACATACAAAAAATGCTACACCTTTGTGCCTTTTTCTAATTTAACTTATACTTTGTTTTTCCATTTTGCACATTTTAAAATAGAAACAATTGTCCATGCACTTTTTGCACTGTTCAGTAGTTCTTGTAAAATGTTGTGGTTTTCGGCTGTTAGTAAAAAGTATTAGATGCATCCAATAAAAAGAAAATCTCTGAAATTGCCTTGCTTTCCCTTTCAGCTGTTTGATTTTTTCCACTTTTAGAATTGCACTTTTGATTCTCTTAGCACCAATGAGGCACCTTGTTGTTTATATTGTGCTACAGCGGAGCAGTAATCGGTCATGTATTTTTTCAACATTAGTTTTATTCCAACACTGAAATTTGTGGATTATTGAATGAAAAACTTTAAGGGTAAGTTATTGTTATTTATTTTGTCTAGTTATTTTGCACTCCTCTATTTTAATTTATTTTTTTCCCCTTTTCACATTGTTTTTAGTTTGTATATGGGTATGTGTAATTATATTTCTTTGCTTTCAACTTCCTTATTCTTTGTTATGATGTTAATCATTCTTTACCAGCTTAATATGTACTCATCTGGAATGCATACAGACCAAAAATAATTATTCCAAACTGCTTTGTCCATGTTATAGTACAGAATAAATTGAATATGAAATGGAAAGTAACTGCTGGAGGCCTCTGATTTTTCACTTTGGAATGTTGCTTTAGCAAGTTAATCATGTATTAAGCGTTTCCTAGTTTTCATTTAAGAAAGCTGATCTGGGTGTCATGGTTTTGCAGTGGTTACCATTGCTGCCTTACAGTAATGGAGATCTTTCTTCTCAATCTCATTCCTTGGAAAAGTGCGAGAGGTTCTAACATAGCCACACTAAATAATGCATAACAGTTTTAGCATCCTCAGGAAATTATTTTTCAAAAACCTGTCATCTGCCAAGCTGTCAGACACTACTGGATGTGGCTATGAAAAACGTTTACCATACCTAAATTATTTCTTGTGTTTTTTGTGTGCTTAAACATGTTCATGGCTCTTAAAATATAAAGATCATTGTAGATTTAAATACAAAGACCTAGATTTTAATGTAATTTAAATGTGACAAAAGAAACTGAAGTCTACTGGTTTGAAACCACCCAGTTTACTTCTGGTTCTATTTGCAATGGACAGGATTTGGAGAATGAAATGCCTCTATATACAGGAACAAGTAATAGGTTTATTCCATGCTGAAAAAAAGAAAAAAGAGAACACAATGTTTCGGCCGGTGTGAGAGAGACAAGGCAGTAGGCAAAAGTAATGTAGCTGGAGAACAAAGGCTGGGAGAGAGGATGTATATATACTATATACTCTATATACAGTACTGAAATCAACTTCCCTTTAAATTGTTAAGTGAAGGCAAGACGCCAATGTTTTTTTTTCTGTGGGGGTGGCAACATATTGACTTTAACCTTGATTGTTTTCATTGACAATTTTAAGTCTAGACACCCCTAGGTGGGTCTGGCTATAAGTGTCTCCAAAACAGCAGGGGTTTGTTTTCTACATTTAGTGAGCTCTGGGAGATGTTTGATGCCTGGAGCCGAGATCTGGAATCACACCATTAATGCACTGACAGTTGTTGTACTTCTGAGTCTGAGGCAATTTCTGTGTTTAGGGAAATTGGATGAACACAGTTGTTTCCCTGTCAGTTGCTCTCTCTACAACACAGTAATATCACAAGGGAGAGCTGAACTCTCATATTCCCTCAAATGACTGATTTTGATTGGAGTAGGTCATATTAAGTTCTGGAACCTAGCTAAAGGTATTTTTTTTTCTAAAATCACCTTTCAAGTTGGACAAATGATTTCCATTTAGAGTAAATGAAGACCTCAAAATGTTTGCTACTGTACATGATACACATGTAAAAAAATCAATGAAGAAGATCTTGCAGTCTCTCTGTTTCAAACGTTTAATCAAAAACAATCTCCAAAAAGGACAAGGATTAAGCATTGTTTTTGGCACTCACTAGACAAGCTACAGAAGATTCAGTTCCTGCATAATAAATATCAAGAAGAGTGATAATTGATTTCTTCCCCCTTTTAGGTTTTACCTTTAAGTGTTCATAAATTCTTTAGTGAAACATTAAGAATTAACGCATCTATGTCCCCTGGGATGAAAAACAGTTTGTAGTTTTCATTGAAGTTCTGTATCAGACGGAAACTGCTCAAATGATGTTGTCAGTAATTAGAAGGGTTGATCTGTTATTTGATTGGATTTTTCTCCACTTCACAGTCTAGACCATTCTTCTTTGCACTAGGGCAAGTTATTTAAGATGAAATACCCACATGTTATAGTTATGTAATTGTGTGTAACTTGCAATGGCTGGCTAGCATACTGTACCATTGCAGTGTGCAATGATCTGATTTTCAGTGCTTTTTCATGGGTAATTAACTAAGAAAAAAGGGTTACGTAGCTCATTTAACATCTACAAAGCTGCCTTTTTTGCTAGGGATTACTGAGAATCAATCAAAAAGCATGTCTACCTGACTGTGAGAATATTCATAATTTTAGAAATAATATAAATGTTAAGACATTATGATTCAGTGTTTATTGCAAGTCTAGGCATGATGGGTTCTTGTTTGACCTGCTTGGGTAAGGGTCAACCACCTGCCTGTGGGACATTTGGACCTGCAAAGGTGGAGATGAGTTAATGGAGGGATACAGAAGAAAACCTTATGTGAAGAGATTTGCTTCCTTTATAGCTTTTCAGAAAGTGGCTTTGTGAAAGATTGTAGGAGCAAAAGAGGCGAAAGGAAAAAGGAATTGTCATTCCTGTAATATGCACACGACCACATAGTGAATATAGCTACAGTAAGTGCCATCGGCTGACGTCATTGACCACATGACGTTCCATGTTGATTAGTGTGTGGGAATGGGATTCATACAAGTTAAGGAACACAGGGTGAAGTACACATGGGTTAACATGTTTGGAGTTATATTACGGAATAAAGTGTTTTTGTTCTTGAGCAGCACATTGTTGACCTGGATCGTTTTTTCACACACAAAGCGCACGAACAAGACAATTCCTCAGTCGCTTTTGGTTAAAAACTCAATTCATTTACCTTTTAATTTAATTAATTCCATTGCTGTTCTAAGAATGTACAATATATGGGACAGTTAATGTGTTTTTAAAAATAGCAAAATGGTCAACCACCTTTATTTATTTTTTAATTTTGCAGAATAGCAGTCTGCTAAGAGTCACAGATATCCCCACCAGTAAAAGAAAATCAGTCTGCATGTCAATGAGATAGTCCTAAGTTAATGACATAGATGCATAGATGGGGCAATGACATGGCTGTGTGGAATACAGTCAAAACTTGCAAAAGCATGTTATGTGTATAAAAGTTTTCAAGACATCTTTCTGTAGCTATCTTTGATCAGTGTCATCAAATAGGTGTCAGCTTATTATCCAAAGTAAGTGCAGTGAACCAAATAAATAAATTATTTGTCAATTAATGTGTACTTGGTTCTGTTCATTGAATTCTCAGTCCCCCTACAAAGCTGCAAAAGGTATTTTCCACCTCACTCTGGGCTCCCTTGTTATTGAAGACATGTTGTGTATTACTGTATATTATGTCGGACTGGGATAATTGTGTTAGGAGATTGGCAGTATGTGGAGATGATTTGCATTTATTGGACTAAGCCTCACTGCTGTGCAGATGGACAGAGCTTGTCAGGCAGCTCGCAGGCATGCCAGTCAAATACCCTTTGGAACAGCTAACAGCTTGACATTTTTCTAAATGTAGATTAAAATAAATCACAGCACACAACAGTGGAAGATAACTTCAAAGTCTCTGTTAAACTGCAAGAAATCTCAGGATGTTTTATATGTGAAGCACTTATTGTAAACTTGTATTTTTAGATATTTCTTAAATGTGGAGTTTAACAGCTGTTTCTATTTTGGGGACTTGATAATAAGGCAGGGCATCCCTTTCATTCTAGAATTTGAACTTTTGGAGATGGAGTGAGCAATCAATATTATCTGAGTCATTCCTAGCTTGATTCACATTCTTGTTAAAAATAACTTTTCAGTTAGTAAAAGTAAACACAGTTATCCAAAGCACTTGTTACACAGAGGAGGCAGCCAGGGAATCTGTCTCTCTTTTGACAAACTGAAGTGATGACCCTGTCATCTCGTAGACTAATTTAATAACTCTGTGTACATGCCTTGGAGCAAAGAGAAAATTCAGGAGCAGCAGAAGTCCATGAGAATTTTACATCTGAATGATACTGGAAAACATAGTAAGGTTTTTTCTTTTTCTTAAATTGCATTCATGGCAATTAGATATAGATAATTTTGTTCAGACTTCAGTGACTCGTTTAGCCTTTCAGTACTTTGAAATTAAATATACTGAATATATCAGCATAAAAGACTTGACAATAATTATAAATGTCAACTCGAAGAGATGGCAACAACAAAAGTGTGTTATTACTAAGACACGAAGGTGAAAGTGCTGCATAGATGACTATCTACTATATATTCAGCAAATCTTAATTCAGGCAGTAGTGAGTATTTCTTAGCTAAAGATTGTTTTTCTTGCAGTTCTGGGGGAATAATCCCAAAGTAAAAATAATTCCAAAATATTTTAATGATCTAAAACCTCCCCATTTACAGTAGTGTAAAAGAGACTTGACCACCTTTATTATTAAAACATGTAAACATATTTATTTTTACAGCATGCAGTTTCCATGCATTTGGCAAAAGATTTCAGTGTCTCCGAATTCCAAGGATAACATAGAGCGAATTAAACAAGAGAGAGAAGAAACATTAGTTGAAGAAGCAGTCCTTTTGCATTCGCAACGCGTTGGTAGGTGGATAATGAGTCTCACAGACCCTAAACAGAGTCTCAGTGGCTAGGATTGGTGCAAAACTAAGCACCTGACATTCTCTGACGGGGCTGGGAGACTCAGAGGAGGGATGCTGCTTCGTATGTCACAGAAATTATGAATGGGCAGCAAAGAGTGCTTCAAGAAAGGCAAGAATTCACCAGCAGAATGAGGAGTGCAAACCTGTGAGCTTCATTGCTTCCTCTTGGTGGAGAGACACAGAGCAAAAAAAAGGTAATAGAATTCTCATTTTCATTTGCTTTTCGTTAGCTGTCTCTGCCTTATTTAAAATACTGTTTCGCAATACTGGAAAGAATAAGAATCTCTGAGGGTGTTCTTTAACTGATAACATGTAGAAGTGCTGGGATCACTTTTTATTATCATCTTTTACAATAAACTAGGGAGCAGAATGTTTTTGCTAGGCTGTAACAGGTTGTATATTAGGTCCATCAGACAGCTAATTTAAAACAGTATGCCATCTTGGTAATGTGTCTTGCTTTCTTTCACTACATGTATTAACAAGTAATTAATAAAATAAGCAATCCAGAAGTAAACAGATATAGTGATCTGGACAGAAATGCAGTAAACTGTTTGGAGGATAAATAAGGTTTGATATATATGTATTTGCTAGAAGAGCGTGTTCATATTTAAAGGTCCTTGACTGGTATATTCTGCATTTATAACAGTCTAGAGGTGATAATAATTTTTTATATTAATTCTAGACATGAAACCTTATATCTTATACCTTATATAAGGTAAACTGTATGTCTCATACCTGCTGTAAATATCAGCTACATCTGCAGACAGTTTCAAACACTAGTAATGTTTATAATTATATATATATATTATTATGATATATATCATTATAATGACATATACAGTGTATACAATATATAGTAACATATATTGTATCTGAATTTACTGATGAGCACAGAAATAAACATATTTATTGTTTATATTATAACAACACATTGTTAGACATTTATAAAATGATAGTGTGTATCTAAACTGACAAGGAGAGGAATGGAAAGAAGTCATTTTATTAAACATTGATATCTGTGTTCAATGTTTTAGTGTGTGTTTTCAAAATGGCTTTATCTTTGTACAACCAGTTGAAGATGACAATGTGCTGTTTTCTCTGGAGGTTGAAATGATAGCATGTGGAGCAAGTAAAATAAAACATTTCCTTTCAAGAAGAAATGACAGGCAAAGCTTCTTGTTCTATGAATGATGCAAATTCAAAGCTCTGGTACCTCAGTCAGGTGCCTCTGACAGAATATGGAAAGATATGTGTGGAAGGGTGTGTCTGCGCTTCTGCAGTTATGTTCAGAGCATTCATGGGTCGATGCAAGAGAGAGGGAGGACAAGGTTGTCCACTGAAGGAATGCCGCAGTTCAATGTTGAGTTTATTTCTTATCATCTTAAGGAATTCTGGGTTTTCAAAGATTTTAATTCATCATATACACAGCTGAAGCAATGTGTTTCTTTACTGAAGTCATTTCAATTTCCAGCTCTCCATATAAAAAGGATCCCTAAATTCCAATGGACTCGAAATCAAGTTGTGGACTTCAGGATTAGATATGATTTTTTTTTACAAGTGACCCATATCATTAGGGTAAGATGAAAAACCACACCGTGTACCATATAGTTCCTGGTTCCTTCTCATGTCCACATACTACTGAATGCGCAGCTGTGCACAGCTGTGTAAAATGGTCACTTATTCAGTATTGTTTGTTTAGAGACACTTGCCTGATCTGTTTTTTCATATTATTGTTGGTTTACCAGGTGCTTATGCAATAGGACTAGGATCACTGACTTCTGTGTGGTCTCTTGTTTCTTGACCTACTGTATCTGTACTTTAGCTTGGGGGTAAAACAGATTAATAGGATTCATGCTGTAAAATGGCTAGCTGTTCATTCAGTGACCAAGATGTAAAAACAACTGTATAATTTAGTCAATCTGTAAGAGAAAAGGATTTTGCAGTGGTGCATCTCTTAACATCTCTTAACATTACTGTCTACACAGTAATATACTGCATTTTATTTTAGTATCATGTATTTGACCATACATTGAGAGTTATGTTTTTTTTAATTACCAGCTGTGTAATATCTCATAGGGAGGAATGAATCATTGTCTTCAGGAAGAGTTTAAGCATCTGGAAATATGTTATAGATTGAAGAATCACAGATCCCAGTTTTGGTTTTGTTAACGAGACAAGAAGTCAGTATCTATCGGTTTTGATCAAACTGATCTGGAACAAAAATTAAACACCTGTCCTGATTTAGGCTTCATTTGGAAAGGGTAATTGTTACAGCACACTAAAGGTATGAACAATGCTTTTGTGCAGAGAAAACCAATATAAATGGTTTATATTGTAAAACAAGTAACATCCAGAAATATGTTATGTAGTTTACTTTATACCACATACAGTAATTATTTACCGAGATAATGCCTGCCTGCATATTTCAGTATGCACATTGCAATTACTTTTGTATTTTCCCCTTATTATATAGTCTCTTGATATATATAGTCTCTTGATATATATGCAATATTTTACTCTCCTAATGACATTTTAGATAGAACTGTGAGATGGAGGCTTATTGTTCCAGATGTAGCACTGTTTAACTTCCAGACTTGGATCTTCCATGACACATCTGGACCTCAGCTCACTAATAGAGGGCTATGGCAAATGTCTGTGCCATACATCTCTACAGATTGGACAGAATAGATAGACTGCAGTAGAAGTGCCATTCTGGAGGTGGAAATCTCAGGCATAGATGCAGCTTCTGCTGAAGTCTTTCATACTAAGAGGTCTCTGCTATGCTGGAAACCAATATGATTCTCCTACTGACTCTCTTCCACTCATTTGTTCAGTACTTGGAGAGTTGTACATGTCTTCTAAGGAAACTAATTTAAAGACACCAAGAAAATGAATGTATTCAGACTTGACATGTGATCTCCAGTGGGTCTTTAATACAATTGGCATTTCAGGTGCTCCTTGTTTATTAATGTAAAGGCTTTTTTGAGCATTGGATCAAATCTGTAGTTTTAATCAATTATTCAATGGCAGTGGAGGTATATTTATCTAGCTCTGGTAGCTACTCAACCTGTATCAAAGCCAAAAATACAAAAAAGGAGTTACTGAATACATTTACAGGAACATAGGAACTCAACATTTAACTTTTAACCATAAATCAATACAGTATATATATAATTATTTTCCTTTCTGGGTATTTTTGGGTTTCCTTGTAGTCATTATCTGCTTGTGCTAAACTAATTCTTCTTGTTCAGTTACATAGAGAATTAGCTTCTCTTGTTCATTATTGGTCAATTGTCATTTTTATCGTTTGTCAAAATTGAAAGATCGCCCGTTTTATAGAAAGAGAAGGGCCAGAACTAGGGGAATGATCACAAATTCTGGTAGGTTTTGGATTAAGAAATTAAGATACTGTAAATAATAGTATTGGAGTTGGCTTGTTGTTCAGAGGGATATTACAGCATTGAAGATGTGCCACCCAGTTAGGAACACAGATACGAATTTGCATTTAAATGAAAACCATAACCAAAACTCTGGGATGCCTATAATTTCTATTGCTTTTGACAGTGAAGGTACTGAAAACTTCTCTTAATATCAAATAACTATGTGCTCAAGGCATGTAAAACAGAACTACTGTACATTTCATTTGTTTGTCTTGATAAAAAGTATATTCGTAGGTTTGTGTCTTATGATTGAAACAAGGTTTAGCACATTAATAAATAAACAAAAAAGGAAAGTAGTTGTTTTACTAAATGCATACAGTCGTTTAAAGAACCTTCTGGGTTATTTAAAAGGGTTAACATTAGACAAAATGCTTAAGATGTTTAATGCTATTCAGTCTCCTACTGTAAAATGGCTTAATGGTAGCTTCATTTGTGAAGATTGAATTTTATTATTCAAAATAATTTGTTTTTAAAGTTTTTAAATTACATTTAAAGAGTGATGGGAGCCTCATATTTTCCAGTAGAGCTCATTGTTTAACGGCATGAAAGCGAGAAGCAAATTCAATTTGAACTTGAAGCGAGAAACACACACATCAGCCAAGATAATTGTGGAATTCCCTGCCACATCATATTCCTTTGAATGTCCTTTCTTTAAGCCTCAGCTGAACTTTGCCTACCTATGTGCTACTAACTGTCACAGGATAAAGAATTAGTTATTTGGAAGAGTTTGTAAGGAGAAAACATTACTGTTAGACATGCTAGACATGCTGTTTGTTACAACAGAGAAATGCATTTTTAAGCTTTCCCCCCCGAGATTCATATTGACTGCATTTAAAGACTGTCACATTTGGTGTACTTAATTCGTTCATGTGGATAAATTGAAGAGAAGTTCAGCTCAGGGGCCTTTGGATCTCACTAAAGTAAAGGCCAGCTCTTGGTGTTTATAAAGTTAGGCAGTTTTTCAGAAGAGCAATTATAGGGATAAAGACATGAAAAACTAGCATATTTGACGAATTACATAAAAACTATAACTGATGACTTTAATAATTTAAAACTCAATGGAAGCTTGGAGATGTGGCCACTCTAGAAGTAAAGAACATAAGAATTGGGGACATGAATGCTTGTGTTCCAAGCTGTGATTATGTGTTCAGTCAGTGTCTTAACATACCCATAACATGGCAGAGATCACCTGATATAAGAAACTGCTTACAAGGACAGCTCAATGCTGAGCTGTCCTTGTAAGCAAGGATCAGAGCCAATCTAGGTATTTCCAATATTAATACTTTATCCAATCATTTATCTCATAAAACGAGGTAAAATATTTTTGCTGTTGGCTAAGCAAAGCACTTTAGTTGTGCTTTGATTTAGTATTCTGTAGCCTTTCAGTTTGCTTTTTTCCTTGGATCTGGCATTTGAAGGGCTGTACTGTACATACTTTGCATAAAAGAAAAATAATTCATTACATAAAAACCTCCTTGTATCATCTGTGACCTGATTCCACACTTCGGCAGATTTCATTTGCCTAAAGGAAATAAAATCACAGAAAGTGATAATTGAGATTTTAAATGGATTTTTCTTGAAGGGTATTTTTGTCAGTGAACATGCCAGTGTGTGTACTGAATGAGAGCATGAAAAAAATGGCACGTTTGCAGTTCAGAGCTCGGTGATATAGGTGGTGTTATTATAAATGAAAGGCAGATAAGATACATAATAGAAATAAATTAAAATACTACACAGGGTCACAATGATATATC